CAGGGAGAATGGCAAAGCATTGTAAGCAGTAGCAGCAGCAGCAGTAGCAATGACTCTTTAAACAAAAACAACTCCAGAAGCCTCCAAGGCAGTGGTGACGACGACGGCAAGCACTTTTCCCCGAATCAAAATCAAACTATTTTCATTTTGTTATACCTGATCGCGTCCAGTTCGCTACTTTTGTTATCAAAGTGTTTGGTCAAGATAACTAAAACTCAATGTGCCGTCCAATTTCGACGATAGGAGGGGGATGAAATGTATAAATACTGTGTAGGAGTTATAAAAACAATGTAAATTTTGTGTGTGTGTTAGTTGACTGAACAACAACAACAACAACAACAACGATGGGTGGTGATTGGGATGCAACATTTAATAATCACAGAAGAATTACGCCTACGCGTATTCCGGATACTACAGTAACGATCGATGAACATATATATGTCGAGATGGATTGCGCCCAAGTACGCCTGTATGTTAATGGCCAGCAGCGACTAGACTTTACCCACGAGGCATTTTTGGAGTTTTTATATTTTATTGACGAGGAAATTGGAAATCTAAAATGGAACGACGTCATCTTCCCCCTAGGAGATTGCATGCAAGCGACTTATTGGCACGAAGAAGAACGGTGTGACTTAACGCTGAAAAAATTCAATCCGTTAATCGAAATATACCTTGAGCGCGAGGAAATAGAAAAGCTCGTGTCTCATAAAATGAACTTGTTCAATGCTTTAGAGTCTTTCCACTATATGCGTCTCGGTCAATAAAATATACATATTCTACTTATTGTTTTTTTTTTAATTTCTAATCAGTTTCTGACGGAAACACGCGCGCGCGGATGTACTCATCCGGCCACGTTATGTCTGGAAAATTAAAAATAAAATGCAATTTCCGGCAGCGAAGGAAACACATGCGGTAATAATAGCAACGTTTCGTATTTCCTGTGTCGCAGGATGTGTGGATTACTAATCGGACCGAGTGGCTCATTAATTTGTTTTAAACATTTTTTGCGGCGAAGGCAGGCGATGCGATGATCTCACCCGCTGCCCCGCGGCGGACGATGATGTCACCCAGCCGACGAGTTTCAACTCGCAAAAACTCGTCGGCTGGGTGACGGCGCTCCTTGAACCATTTCTGCGAATAAGCAATGTCGTGGGCCTTACACACCGCGTCCAAAGGATTCACGAAATATGTTGTATATATATAAAAGGGGGTGGTCGAATAAGGGTTGTAGTCATGCGGGTGGTGCAACAGAAACTCGCACTCCCCATCGAAAATTTAGATTTTGTTTGCGGCGAGGGCGGGAACAATAAAAGCAAACACGGAAAACTGTTACCCAACTCGTTTAGGGCGGTGTTTTGTGGACCGAGCGGGTGCGGTAAAACTAACGCCATGTTGACGCTACTCTTCAGCCCCAATGGAGCGCGTTTCGAGAACGTTTACGTCTACTCAAAGTCGCTGTATCAACCCAAATACCAACTACTGTCTCGCGTAATGAAGCAAACCAAAGGACTTGGATACTTTCCTTACAGGGATAGCGACGAGATAATCGACCCCAGTGAAGCGAAAGAGAATTCCGTGTTCATTTTCGACGACGTGTCGTGTGACAAACAAAATAAAATTCGCGAATATTTCTCAATGTGTCGACACAAGTCCATCGACGCGGCCTATCTCTGCCAGACGTACTCCAAAATACCCAAGCAACTGATAAGGGACAATTGCAACGTTATAGTACTGTTTAAACAGGATGACGTGAATTTATACCACGTTTACGACGAGCACGTCTCCCCCGACGTTTCGTACGACGCGTTCAAAAATATCTGTTCCGCCTGTTGGCAGGACAAGTACGGAAGTCTCGTAATTGTCAAAGATTTTGAATTGAAAAACGGCCGTTACCGCAAGGGTTTTGACAAATATATAAAAGTGGATGACAAGTGATCGTCGGAAACACACAGTGTCATGAAGGCGGCGCCCGTTGACATCGCCGACGCGGCGCTTAAACGGAAAGTAAACGACCTGTCCAAGTCAATTAGGAAAAAGTACTTGGCTCTAAAGTTGGGCAAGAGCGAGGAGGACGCGTCCATTCGGAAACTTTTTAAACCCGTCAGCGAGCCGCTCGAGCGTATTGCGAAAATAAAACCCCTCCAATCGGCGTTGTTAAAAGTAAAAAGCGAACATACCGGCCTCAAGCAAGAACCGAAAGCGGAAATCAAAAAGAACGAAAACGTGTCGTTTTTGCCGTTGGGAAACGGCGACATCCTCGCCTGCCATCGAAATTTAAAGCAAGCTTTAAAACACGGACTCGTTCTTACTAAAATACACAGAGTATTAAAATTTAGGCAATCTTCTTGGCTAAAAGAATATATCGATCTAAATAATCACTTACGGACGCAAGCCACTACCATTTTTGGTAAAAATCTTTTTAAATTATTTAACAACGCGGTGTTCGGAAAAACTATGGAAAACATACGTAAGCATCGGGTCGTAAAATTTGTTAGAAAGTGGGAGGGTCGTTACGGTGCTAAAAATTTAATTGCTAGTCCCCGATTTCACAATAGAACTATACTAGATGATAATCTAATGTTGGTGGAACTGAAAAAATCGGAACTTATTTTTAACAAACCCCTTTACATTGGAATGTCAATTCTGGATCTATCTAAAATTATCATGTATTCGTTTCATTACGATTACATGCTACCCAAGTTAGGTGCGGAGAAATGTAAAATTCAGTATATGGACACGGACAGTTTCATTTACAACATCCATTGTGATGATGTATACGAAGAGGTTATTAAGTCCAATTTAAGCAAATTCGACACGTCCGACTATCCAATTGATAATCCATACAATATGCCTCGCGTCAATAAGAAAGTACTGGGTCTAATGAAGGACGAGGCCAACGGTTCAATAATTTCACACTATGCCGGACTAAGATCGAAAATGTACACTTATAAAATCTTAAACGGAAAAACTGTAAAAAAATCAAAGGGTGTAAACTACCAGATTGTTAAAAATTAAATAACTTTTGAAGATTTTGTTGATTGCTTGAAAAATTTAAAAGAAAAACATGCTACTCAACGAACCATTCGTTCTTATACGCACGAGGTGTTTAGTATCGAACAAATTAAAGTGGCGCTAAGTCCGTATGACGACAAAAGATATCTTATAGCAAACACGTTTGATACTCTTCCGTGGGGACATTACAAGGCACTGTAATTTTTTTTTCTCTGTTGGAGACAATGGCCGAATTGTTGTCGTTGAAAGATCTATGTATAAAGTCAATTAGTGAAAACGTTCATTCTGTTGCACATTTTCTGCTTGAAACGACCTTACCGAGGACGCTAACGCTACGGATAATGGAAAAATATCCCGAATATAGGTGGAAATATATTAATGCACTCGCTGTCAAATGTGAACGACCACCTCCACCAGATTTGAGTTTGATAACCCGTCAAAAGAAAGTATTGTTGGCACATCGAAATGCCATTTTATTATGGCCAAGGTATACAGACCATCCTTTTGAGCATTATAGCTATTATTAATGGGAAAAACACTATATAGTGATGACCCGAACATTTTTGTTGATGGTTTGTGAATCTTGCAAAGACGCTTTTATAACTTTTGAAAAAAAAAATCAAAAATCAAATTTGACAAATTTGATTTTTGCGATTATCGGCACATACCTACAGTCGAAGCCTCTGCATTAACATATATGGTATACCAGAGTCAGAGGAGTTGGTTGAATTAGAACCCGAAGAAAACGATGATCACACCAGAATATATAATAATTTAATGGCGATAATTGATTTGTTTTAACATATTCATTGCGACCTAATAATAATAAAAATATTTGTAAAAAATTAGGCTTATGATAGTCTTTTTAGAATCCCCTCAGAAAAAACGACGATCACACCAGAATATATAATAATTTAATGGCGATTCATTGCGACCTAATAATAAAAAATATTTGTAAAAAAATTAGGCTTATGATGGTCTTTTTTTTTATTCTAATGTAAAAAAAAATGTATATGTATATGTCTAAATAAAAAAAACACTAAAGATTTTTTTTTTTACATCAACATCGACAATATTTTAAAAATTAAAAAAAAACTATGGGATTGATGTTGCTATACCGAAATACACTTTGAATTAGGACGGGTTTTCACGGCAGCCCCACCGTGATGGCGGGGGGGCGGGGGGGCGGGCACTCTACCAGCGGCAGCCCCCCCGCGGGGACTCTACCAGCGGAGGCTACGCCCCCCGGGGGCCCCCGCGGGCGAACTACGCACCACGGACAACGGTTTGGTTGGCACCACTGACAACGGTTGGCACCACGGACCACGGTTGGCACCACGGACAACGGTTTGGTTAGGTTGGAACCACGGACGACAGTTTGGTTAGGTTGGTACCACGGACGACGGTTTGGTTAGTTTAGGGCGAGCGGCCAATGGACGAACGGCCAGAACGCAAAAGAAGAAGGCCCTTGGGCGAGTGACCAATGGGAGAGTGGCCTATGGGCGAGTGGCCAACGGGCCAAAAGAAGAAGACCCGTGGCCGAGTGGCCCGGGGGCGGGGGCCCGTGGCCGGGAGGCCAAAAAGTGAGGTTATGGGGTCCCTGGAAGTCCCTTTATCCATCTACTAATCTAATTGTTTGTTTTCATGGGTACTTGTTATTTTGGTATCTTTTACTTTTTGCTTTTGTCATACTCCTTTACCTGAAGTGTGTAAATTGCTAGTTGTAATGAAACATGTATAAATTGGCATTCAATACTGTTGTTTTACAAAGTTTTACCGTGTAGTAGAACTTGCGTCAGGTAAGATAAACTTCCCCAGACACTCATTTATTAAACACTCGCTCAACTCGTCAGTCAATTAGCAGTGAACGTTAAATTCATTATAACTACGCGCCCAATCTTGGATAGTAACAATACTTTTTTTTTCCGATACTAACTGATATATTCTGATTAAAATTAATTACAAATTATTAAATTATTACTACTCACTATCAACCCATATTTCACCAAGTGTTCGGCAATCGCAGAACCGCATCCTGAGCTGGCACCGGTTACCACTGCTACTTTACCGGACCAGCGAGTCATCGAAAGTACCATTTTCAACCAAACGTTAACCAGGAAACTATTCAGTGTCAGGGTTTCTACTTAACTAGAGCTGATATATCGATTTGGTATTTCTATTTCCAAGGAACTGGTCATTTATTATTCATAACAGTCGTGCATGCATGTCGATTGATTGTGTTTGATAAGATAGTAATTAGGAGTTTATTAGCTCGTTCGGCAAGTGAGCGAGCAATACACAACCAAAGATAAAGGTAAATTGCTATTTCAAATATTATAATTAATTGCTATCCGGGAATTAAAAGTCATAAACAGGGTGTTATTTCGGTTATTTAGTGAATCTGAATCCCATCCTGATGCTGAATCGACATATTGTACAATCCCAATAGGATAAAAACTGCTATTTATTTGGTGACCTTGTGCATATGTATGTATATTTTATGTTAATTTCGATAAATAAGCTGCAGAACCCATTTAAAATCCAGTCAGAGCAGTTGTTCAGTTACCTAATCAAAAATGATCGGTATGGCTTAGCTAAAAAATTTTGATCTTGACGCGATTTTTGACACGGATTACAGAAATAACAAACAAAATACCTGTGTCAATTTACGACATCCTGTAATCAACTAGATAAAGATGTCATGCCATCACTTAACTGCATAAATGCTGTGACTGGATTGTTATATGGTTATGGAACACAACTAATCAGCAATAGCGTTTATTTGTGTTATGTTTTGTTTACAAACTGCGTTCTTTTCCAATAATTAGTAACATAAACTTAAAATCTTAAATGCCGCTTAAAATTGTGGGGTAAGTTGTCTATTGCGATGGGGCAAATTGTCCAATAACAAAAAAAACAAATGAATAACGCATTTTTTAATTCTCGAACCGCAAAAATTTAACATCAAATTTTAGAACAGCAAAAGTTAAACTAAAATTAGATATACTTAGTAATACGGTTATTAAACAGCATTGTATCACAAAAAGAATTTAAAAATGGTCCTCTGAGTTACAATTTAGAGAGATATAATGGGGAGTTGATGCACAGGCACTAGCTTCGTGAGCCCACATTTTGCAGGCATTCCATCTTATCCACCCTTCCTTTGAGCGGCTATTTTTGTAACTATCTGAGCATATTAAACAGAAACAGTCATCTTCATCCGTCTCATCAGAGCTGCTGATTTTAAGTTTTTTTAATGGCTACTCGTTGTCTGAAAGTTTCCTTTTTACCACTTTTGCCCTTCTAGATCTTTCTGCCTACTGCTTTTCCATTGCGTTTTTTTTCTTGGAGTACCTATTACAATGGCGGTTTTTACTTCCTTCTCTTAGTCTGCCTGGCCACTTTTGGAGCTACTTTAGGCAAGGGACTGGAGATTGAATATTGGAGTGAATTTTAATCTTACTGCAGGAAGCAACTGAAAAACCTTTTGATTCGGAATGGTGGTAAATCGGTGATATTTTGTTTGCCTGGCAATGGTAATTCTGTTGCATTTTCTGAATCTGGAGACGGTAAATCAGTGGCATATCTAGGCATAAAGCCTTATTCTCCAAACACATCTACGTTAAAGGATCAAATGCATGTAACACGAAATCCCGTTGTTAAATTGTTTGGTGTGACTGTCAATGAAAATGCTGTATTGATTATTTGGGGAATGTCATATATGGTGATAGTTTTACGTGGGTTATTTTAAATGGCCGAACACGCTTCTGTCCAATAGTTGGAGCTAATAGCTGCAATGGGAGGGAAAAGTTAACATTGTTATACCATTTTCTTCAGCATAATTTAATCCTTCTATTGAAATGGCAAATGAAATGACGCAACCTCCCTAAAAAAAAAACACCAAAATTTCCATCACATTAATTGAATTAAAGACTACCTCCAAAGTTCTCAGTGAATATAAATTGCGGCATGTACAGATCGATTGTTTATTATTCCACTGGTCGATTTTACCTACGCGTTCGGAGGCATATCCATTGCAATTTTTTTATCATCATGACGATGCGAATGCGAAATGTTATGAATGTTATTGTTAATAAAAGAAGATATTTTAGTTAGACTAATTATGTTGTTTTTTTTTTCTGTAAGTTCTTAATTATTTGGGTCCTCTGCAGCACTGCAGCACTTATGCACCATCCAGCCCTATACCCTAGCTACCTTGGTTACACCATTATATATAACGAACGCATTCTTTCACGATCTCCGCTCCTTTGCCTTTCTTGTTTGTCTCGGTTAGCACACAGATATGGATCATCATTCTCCTTATTTCCGCAAACACTTTTTGTTGTTTTGTCTTTATTCCTTGTGCTTAGTTTCAAAGTCCGTTTCCGCACTATTTGTCGCCTTCGATTTCATTCGTCCTTGCTCCGAGGCTTTCGATACAATTTTCAGATTACAGGGTGCCGGTCTCACTCCAACCAGCACCTTGAAGGACCAGACGTCTCTGGGTAGAAAGACTCAGCCTTCGAGGATTTCCGGTTTTGTACCGCCGGGGATTGACCATCGCCCTGTCAGCTATATAACAGGCACCTATTGACGAGCATACATTATCAGTGGTCACGCGGTCACGCGGTCACGCGGTTCTTATGAACCTTCGAGAACGTAGGAAGCAGAATTTCTAAAAGTTAGATTCAATGGACATTTGTCTAAATCTGTATAGTCTACCCAGATCAGCATTGGGCAGACTGCTCGAAGTCCTTTACCAGATTTCGACGACACCCTCTCCATTTTTACTGGAAATGTTGTGATTAAAGAATGTACTTAATGGTAAATGTAATATTAAAATCTGGTGCTAGGTCAAAAAATCAAATAACTGTATACTATAATTTATAAATGTTTAATAACTATAATGTACTAGATTCGATTAGGTTATTTTGGCCAATTAGTTTTAGATTAGTAATAGTACCTTGTGGAAAACAAATTACTTATGTGTCCAATAGACTTACCTAATTCGTACATTTATTCGAAAAATTAATTCTTCCTTAAACTTACACTAGGCTTGTCCTTTTGCTTTTGCTTTATTGTTTTGATGCAGACTAAAAGAGCAATGCCAATTTAGGAAATAGTGTATTACGCAACAACTATGATAAATGCCACTTTGTGGCAAGTCTGATTTGGCAAAAAGACACGAATACATTTACTGAGTCAAATGTGAAGTAACCATCGGAATAAACAGATAAACTGGAAGGGACTCGCAACCATGGCTAATGAAGCTTACATCCTTAAGTGACACTTTGCGCGTGCTTGATCGGTGCATAAATGGGTATATAGTAGCGAGTACAAAAGACTATTTTGAATGGAAATTTGAAGCGAAAGAAAGAGACCTTTAGTTGTATTCAACGCTTTTCAATGAGAAATTTTACCTTATTAACCAACAATTGACCCTTCTGAGAACATCAGGAACCAAATATGTAGACGTCGTTACAATGCAAGAATTGAAGAAAAATATTTTGCTTTATATCTTTCACTCCTTTACGCCATTGCTGTAATTTCTAATCAGTGTCATTTTTGTTTGTTATTGGGGTGATACAAAGAATTAAAAAAAATCCATAAGGTTGATTCCACACTGCACATATCAACATTTACGCCCAAGTATTAATGAAGGGAAACGTTTATTGTTGTTGTTGTTTTAACCAACTTTGCCTCGAAATATTTAATAATTCTGCGGTATTATGGATCAATGCGTTTACTATTTCTTAACCAGAGATAACTATTATCTTCAGTATTAAATAATGAATCACTATAAAAATAAAAGACGATTTATTTGCATCTAATTTCTAAAAAACACATTTTCGAACACAAACTGTTCAAAAGTAGTTTTCTACAAATTTTCACTACTAACGTAATCAATAGTTTCCGGGTTTTTCATAGAAGCCGTTCGTAAAGGTATTTCGACCGTTAACGTAGTTACTGTAGTGATCAAGGAACTTCTGTTGGCATTGAAGCCGCTGCTTGATTTGTTGCTTGTGGTTGTCTCGCCGATTTTTTTAAATTGTGCCGTATAGGGCAATGGTTTACCTGCAAAATAGTATATCTCATATCAACCTAAAATACTTTTGAACACTTTAAGAACAGGGAGAAATTGAAAAACGGAAGTATCAAATGAAACTTTGAACATTCTGACCACCGAAAATTATTATTTTCTAAACATACAATACCTCTAATTGCTCCTCTTTTTGACTCGGCGTGCTCTGTGCACAATCCCAACTTCCCCAGAAACAGAAAAAAATCCTTCCTATATTGCTGAGTCAATAGGGCATACAGACAGGGATTGGCACACGAATTAAGAGGATAAATGAAAACCAACAAAATTTTCGTTTGGGTTACTGTTATCAGGGGATATCCCAATAGAGCGGTAGTACCGAAGAAAGCTATAGGTGACCAACAGGCGAAATCCGTGAACACTAGCAAGGCCATCTTCTTGGCGACCGTCTGATCGTTCCTCACCGACGATGTTAGTCCAGTTCTGCTAGCTAAAAATAGCAAAATCTTAACAATTTATCGAAAATTTTGTAAAGGGGGGTTTCTTTAATTTTATAGATAGTTTAACGTCTTTTGAATCCGCATACAAGCCATCATCGTGATACATTAAAATGAACTGATTTGAAATGTCCATGAAAAGCTGTTTGCAATATGAAAGAAAATATTTGCATTTTCCAAAAAGACATACATATCGCCAACCACAATGTTTTTGAGTAACAATACAAGTGAAAAATTTAAATTAAATTAGTTAGTTACTGTGAGTTAATCCCTTTATTTCAAAGCAGTTTTAATGAATATATAACAACATATATTTCTCTCATTGTGATTAATACATTTCTTGCATATCGAGTTGAATGAATGAAATGTTTTTAAAATGGGCGAATTAAATGAGAAGTCGTTTAGATTATGTATTATATAAAAAAAGATTTTGAAAATATGCCAGGCAGCCTTTTTGACATATATAGCTGTTAAGCCGGGAAAATCGAAAATTTGCAAATACATTATTATATTTTCTAATATCGTTGAAATATTCCGACCGTCTCATTCTATCCACAAGGCATATGTATTAATGATAATTCGTCCTAATGATGACACTAAATTTTCAAATTTTTCTTAGTAACACATTTTTCAATAAAAATGATAGTTCTTCGCAGTGAATCTTTTTTTTTGGCGAATAAATTATTTAGCTATATTTAAGAAACGCTATACCTGCTATTATAGTTCTGTACATGCTACCATAACAAATACATATCAATGTAAACGCAGCACAATTGAACGCGAGCAGAACACCTAAATAAATCGAGTCGATGCGATTTTTGCTTTCCAAAGGTAAACATATGCTCGTTCTGGAATAGTTGCTAATTCCGGTCAGTGGTAAGACGGCCATGAAAGTTGCGCAAATCCATCCAAATAACATCAGCTTTATGCACGTACGCAACTTCAACCGTTTATTTAAATGAGCTGCCCATGTAATGGTACACCTAAAAGCACACGGACATTTAAAAATGAAACAAGTGTATTATTGCGTGTAAGTATGGAGCTATAACTCGATATGCTAAAAAATTAATTAGAGCATGATTTAAGAAATGAATTGTTGAAAAAAAAACGTTCCTTTTGCTAACTAAATAAATTAATCGGAAAGCCTTTAGTATTAGCTACAACCTAATAACGTCTATTGTGGTTTGCACAATTTTTAAATTTTAAAATGGATAAAGATTTGCGACACTGACTAGATTGGCTAAATATTTTTCAAAATTGTATTTTTCAAAACAGGTACGTTAGAATAAAAGTTATTGAAGAAACATATTTGAGAAATTTTAGGCTCTATTGAGAAAAATCTTATTGTTGAATAAATACTTATCACTCACCCTGTACATTTTAATTAGTTTGATTAAAATTCCTAATGAAATAAATTGTTGAAAATTCTTAAACAAGATAGTTAGTTAGATAGTTAGATATATTCTATGCGTTATTTAGAGATCATTACATCTTCTACCCAAAATTTCAATCTGCTCAGTTTTAAATCTGTTCTATTAAGTTGATTTCAGATTAAAGTGTCTGGTACCACAGCCGATTGTCAAATAAAAATGTATTTAAAATCGCTTCTGTCAAGTATTTCATTTATACGTACCATCTTTCAACAGTTATTACTGCTAATGTAAATACTGAAAGGACATTGCCAAATACTGTCAAGAAACCAGCTATCTTGCAACCAGAACCTAAAATTTGTAATAATTCAGTATAAATACAACAATATAAAAACTTGGTTTATATATTTTTTGCAATTTTATTGAAACTCGCTTTAAAAAACGTTTCTACTTTATTTATTATTTATTTATTAATAAATAATAATCTTATTAGATTCATAGCTTGGAAATTGTTTTATTATCATCAAACATTAAATGTCTCAAAAATAATAATAATAGCAGAAAACAATCTATTTACAGAGCAATGCATAGTAACAAAAAAAAGAAACAGTATGTAATATAATGTAACCTAACTTATTCTCGTGAGTAGTTCGAGCAGGTTGACAAAGTGAGCTCCAAAGAAATTAGAATAATCATAGATCTTGATTCGAGCTAGCGACGGCTAGACATCAAACATATATTTCTCAATTCCCTCAGTCCACAGTCAAATATGTCACACACGTCCGAAACACAATTACAATTGGAACATGCTATATTTATAACCGAATTTTTTAATAAGTTTGTTCTTGCCCGAACACAGTAAAAGATGTGTGTGTGTTTGGTGCGCGAATTGAGCCGTGGTACACGAATATCCAAATACTCTATTAGATTCGGACTATCTATAATGTTGTGTAGCAATTTATAAACAAGGATAACTGACACACACTTCCGCCTATATTTCAGGCTATTCATATTAAATTTTTCCTAGTAAAATTCGTAGTTTATGCCTCTCGGTGGATAAGCGCCTTCTGTTTTGAACAACAAATACTTCAAAAACTTTTTCTGTACAACATCGACCTCCTAACTATGACAAGAGTAAATCGAATTCCACACAACCGAGGCGTATTCAAGCTTAGATCGAAAATACAGGGCCTTCAAAGAAGCAATGTCGGTTAAAGAATTGCAGATGTGTACTATAGAACCATCATTACAGTTAGCCCCAGATACAATGCTCGTTATGTGGTTCACGAATGTAAGTTTTTGATCAAAATGCACGCCCAGACCTTTAGTATTTGTAACACGTCGGAGAACAATATTTGAGAATCTATATTGAAAATCGATAGTTTCTTTCTAACGCGTGAAGTTTACAACTTTGCATTTATCTACGTTAAGACTCAATTCATTTGACATACACCAGTCAAAGAGTATATCTACTGATCTCTGCAACGTAACATAATCAGCAATACTGGAAATGGAAGTATAAATTTTTAAGTCATCCGCGAATAACAGGTTCCGTGTATCATTGAGATTTGAAACAACGTCATTAATAAAAATTAGAAATAGTAATGGTCCTAAGTTAGAACCCTGTGGCATCCCTGATGTTGTGAAATATCTATTAGATGTATACCCATTGTAAGCTATGTACTATGTCCCGTCACTTAAGTAGTTTCTGAGAAACATCACCGCACCATCGGCAAATCCAAAACGCTTAAGTTTCTGAAGCAAACCAGCTGACTGATTTTGTCGAATGCTTTACTAAAATCGGTATATACAACATCTACTTGTCCTTGACTGTCAAGCACCCTTGCTGCATACTCCGTAAACTGTAACAAATTAGTAACTGTAGAGCGGGAGTTATAAAATCCGGGCTGACTTGAAGAGATAATGCAGTTAAAAATACGGTCATACAGAACGACCTCAAGTATTTTACAAAAAATGCGTAAGATTTTGATAGGTGATAGTTGGTTATGTGATTTCCTTCATGACTTTTAAAAATTGGACAGACCCTGGATTCCTTCCAACATGGCGAATATATTTTGGAAGAGAGCATAAGGTTAAATATTTTAAGTAAAGGCTTGGAAAAGACACTAATAAAATCTTTTACTAAAAAAAGAAGGAATTCCATCGTGTCCTGAGGTCATTTTATTTTTTAATTTCTTTGCGGCCTTTATTATGTCTTTCTCAGTAATTGGATAGAAATTTATAGTGCTTGAGTTTAAATCCACTACGTTACAAAGGGTGCGCTCAGGACCAGAAGGGAGAAATACACTCTCAAAAAAGGTAGCAAACGCTTCCAGAATAGAAAGGGGATCATCAAGGACATTACCGTCGAAAACCATGTTACCGGGGATTCGCGTGGATTTATTTTTTTGGTGTACATACGACCAAAATGTACGAGGATCATTGGAAACACCTTGTTGCACTGCGCCAAGGTAAACGCCATAAGCAGTCTTAATCTGAGATTTAATTTTACATCTAAGCCTTTGAAACTCGACTAAGTGGGCCCTAACACCAGTTTTCTTGTATTTTTTGTGTATTTTTGCTTTTTGTTTTATATCTTTTATTAACTGGAAGTTTATGATATTTATGAGCGTAATTTTTAAACAGAGGTACATTTCGATCAAAAAGGCCATACAATTTTTCATTAAAGCCCTGCAATGCTTCATCGACATCGTGAAAGTGATTTAAAAAGTCCCAATTCGTGTTTAGAAGGTCATTATATAATGCAACATAATCAGCCTTACTGAAATGATAATGTTTTTGCATAGCCCCAGTTCCAAACTGTAGCTCCCTTATTGTCAGTTGATTAAGACAAATAGTCAATGCGGGATGGTCTTGACTTTCTTTAACAAGAGGTACAGTATCGCATGCTATGCTACAATATTAGATAATACTAAATCAAGAAGCCTGTCTCTGCTATTAAATATACAATTGTATTGTTTCATATTTAAAAAATCTAGCATACAGTTGATAGTAACCGTTTTACGGTTGTTGTTGCTTTGGTGGACATAATCTGGGCAGTTGAAGTCACCCAAAGCTACTACATTCTGATTGTGCAGAATTTCGAAATGCTGAAGTGCTTCAAAATGCAACATAACAATCTACGACTACGGAAGGTGGTATATACAAGAGCGATAAATGAATGAATTATGTTGCAGAGTGCATTTACAAATTAATAGATCAATATTTGGAAAATTTCTATCGCTGTATGCCGCTTCAACAATTTCTGTTTTTATATCACTTCTCAACACAAAAACCACTCCACCTCCACGTGCTTCCTTAACAAGATGTAGACTGCGATCCTTTCTGAAAAGATTATATACTGATGGAACTAGTTCACTGACCTACCGAACTAAAAAATTCATCCACTTTCGTATCAAGACCGCTGATAATATATAGATAATTCAGATAGATAGTTCAGATATCCTGTTGAGCAGATTTAGTTTACCTCCGCAATTTTCGGATGTCCGTTGAAATAAGAGGTGTTTTTTTTTCGATGTATAGAACTTTAAGTTGCAATAAAACAACGATGGATTATTCGATTGACATGAATTTTATTTATCCGAAAGATAATCTTGGGGCATTACATTCTAAATATGACTTCTGGCATATGACCGCCACGGCTGGCGCGGATGTAGTCCAATCTGGACGTCTAATTTTCGATGACTTTTTCCAACATTTGTGCCGGTATATCGGCAATAACACGGCGAATGTTGTCTTCCAAATGGTCAAGCGTTTGTGGCTTATCCGCATAGACCAATGACTTTACATAGCAGAAAGTAATCTAGCGGTGTTCACAGGTCCAAAACGTGAAATTAGGCGGTCACCAAACTTGTCTTTCAATAAATCGATTGTGGCACGAGCTGTGTGATATGTTGCGCCGTCTTGTTGAAACCACATCTCCTGGACATCATAGTTATTCAATTCAGGAATGAAAGAGTTAGTAATCATAGCTCTATACCGATCACCATTGACTGTAACGTTCTGACCATCATCGTTTTTGAAGAAGTACGGATCAATGATTCCACCAGCCCATAAAGCGCACCAAACAGTCAGTTTCAACATACACTTAAGGATTAGCTTCGCTCCAAATGTGGCAGTTTTGTTTGTTGCCGTAGCCATTCAACCAGAAGTGCGCTTCCTCGCTAAACAAAATTCGCTTATGAAAATCGGGAACAACGGCAATCTCGTTTTGGGCCCATTCGACGAATCTACGCCTTACTTGATGATCGTTTGGCTTCAATTCTTACACGAGTTGGATTTTGTAAGCACGTAAACTAAGATCCTTCCCAAAATCTTCCATAAAGTGGATGGACACAGTTCCAATTCCTGTGCTCGATGGCGGATGGACTCATTCGGGTCTTCCTCAATGCTACGCTCTACAGCAGCAATAGTTTCTTCTGTACGCACCGTACGGCGTCTCTGGGGATGCAAGTTATTAATAAGAGTAAACGTGGTGCGAAAACCTTTCATGGTTAATCGAATTAACTGCTCTGATGGACGATTTTGTCGACGATAAAATGGACGTAGTGCGCGATACGTATTCCGCACAGAACCATTATTTTCGAAATAAAATTGCACTATTTGCAAGCGTTGTTCAGGCGTGAGTCTATTCATGATGAATTGTCAAACCAAACTGAGAATAAATCACTTGACAGCTGTTAAATCGGTCGCCATATTGAACAGTAATGCCAACTTAAAGTTCTATACATCGAAAAAAACACCCATTATTTAATTCGATAGCTTTTCCCGCTATTGTCGGTCTGAAGTTGGATTAACTTCTGCTAAGTCTTTTGTAATGTTCCATCTGGCGTTTAGTTCTATCATAAGCCATGACTACCCTCTGATAGATGTGGTTCTTTTTTAGTTTTTTAGCCTTCCGGATCACACTGTGTACAGAACTCTCGTCCGAAAGAGTTATTTTTATTGGGCGCGGCTTGTCTGTACCCAGCACGTCCTAAACGTATGTGTTTGATCGATTCTGCTTGTTGGATTTCTGGATCAATACAATCCGGAATAAACTTGACTATCTGTATATCGCTTCGCTCACGTGCATCTGTTGACTGCTGCAGATCTGCTTCCGGGACACCATAGAGAATAACGCTACGCTTCCGTTTATTGATGTCCGGTCTGGCCACTTGTACACTCGTTTGAGGGTTCTCCCTTAGAATTTTTATATCATTTTGAAATTGAAGAATAAGGGATTTCAAGCCATTAAGTTCGTTACCAAATTCTCTACAACTCCAAGTATAGCCCTTGTTACTGCTTAAAGTTCGCACCTCAGTAGTCGTTAAATCTACGCAAGAATTCTTGTAGGCTTTATTGCAAATGCAACACTTAACCATACCCACTGAATCGTAAGTACGATTGCAACAAGAGCAAATTGATGAAGGCATTGGTTGCCTTGTTATTTATTGCTACGGGCCGGCAAATTCTGCATTAAACGCATAAAAGAAACGAATGCAAGTGACGGCGGAGAATTGACACAGTCCTCACAAAAAAAAACTTCACAATCTATTATTTCAATTTAGCCGCTACGAGCCCTAACAACTAATTGTTCAGACGATGTACGAAATAATAAGAAAACATATTTATACTTATTTTAAATTGATTTTTATTGCCTTTTCGATTGAAAAATGAAATCACACACTTATTTTTATACCAAAAAGTGATATCGTAATGAATTATTTTCTTATTTCACATAAATTACATAACAAAATATCAAAAACATACTGGATTTGCTGAGAAATAAATATTCGGACGCATTTAAATCTTTTACTTTAAATCGGACATTAATAAGAAGTAAAGAAGAAGAAATAAAAGTAAAAAGTAAAAGTAAGAAATATTGCAATATTCGGGGGTGAAAGTGTTCCAAATTTCGGTGATTTTTGTCTTTAATGCTGGAACTGTACGCTGAGGATTGTTACGCAAAGTCTTTTTCATCCGATGCCATAAAGTTTCAATAATATTCAAGTCGGGGCTACTTGATGGCCACGATAAAACTTTCATATTATGGTCCTCAAACCCCTTTTTTGTTGTTTTCGCAGTATGGCAGAACGCACCGTCATGTTGAAATATAAAATTTTCATTTCCAAAAGTTCGTTCTATTGATGGAATCAAACTTCTTGATAAAATTTGATAACGTTACTCCACGTTTCCGTTGTCCAGGATATTTTAGATTTTGCCCAATCCAAACGTTTTTTCTTCTGAATAGGCGTTAATAATGGGTTTTCCTCTGCCTTTAATACATGTAGATCATAGAATATTAATAATGTTTATATTGAAACAGGAAAAATTGTAGACTTACCTTATAAAAACTCAAACCAGACTTATGCATCCATTGTCTACAACATTCTCTGGAGACATTTAAGTTTGCCTCGTGATTCCATTGGGCTTGAATTTGTCGTAAGACGCTTCGTCTGCTAGTTTTACAAATCTTGACCAGAATACGACGATCTCTTTCAGTGATTTTACGGGGCCGGCATAAACTTTTACCACGAACGCTAACACTAGCTGTCTCTCCATACTTTTTTATAATATCCCCGAGTGTTGATTTTGCAATACTCAAGTCATTTGAAATTTTTTGCATTGATTTACCTCTGCAGTACTGAGATATGATAATTTCTCGCACTTTTTTGTTTGTTGCAACACTATGCGACATTTTCTTATAAACTATTATGCAAACTTGAAAGATACAACCCGAACTGACATTGCATGGGTAGCATTGATTTCTTGGTCAATAAACATTCGTGTCCGAATATTAATTTGTCAGCAAATTTGGTATGTTTCCGTTATTTTACTACGTAATTCGTGAGAAATAAAAAATAATTCATTACAATAGCACTGTGCTATTGTAATGAAAATTTTCAATTGATATAAAAATGTCTTTTTTATCATTTTTTACATCGTCCGAACATTTAGTTGTTAGGGTTCGTATAAACAACCAAATACTAATACGGAACAATATATCAAACGTCCGACGCACGCGACTACTGGACTACTACTGACTAATGACATATAAAATAATAATAATTTCGGTCGAGGGTGTGGTTGGTGTTCAAATTAAATCCCGATAAAAAAGTCTACACTGAATAATTACCTACGTCTCGTAACAAAGTTTAGACTGAAACGTGCACAGCTGAAAAAATTTAGTCTTTCATTAAATTATAATTAAAACGGTAGCAATTATCAAATGAAGTTAAAATCTGGAAGCTAAATTTGATGTCGCGTCGTGGTTGACAAAATAATTATGTTGATATTTATATAAACAGACGCAAGCGTATGTAGAGGACTTGAGATAATAAATAACCCCTGCTTACAAATTAATTCCCACAATTTTATTTCTTTCTTTAAAGTTTACTGGCCCTCGTTTTGATTATTGGGAAATTGTAATTGTTCCCTCTTTTGCTTAATTCACAAAATTAAATTACAGAAAGGTTCGAAGTTAGTGCTGCTGATGGGGAAATTTGGTCAGCGAAACGGCGAGTCCAGAACATCAAATTTGTTGTGGTATAGTTGAGGTTGTACCTAAACTCAGCATTTAACCTGCTTCACAAAGCCCTCGTTTGTGGAATACTCCGCTGTCAACTGGATAATTGAGTTTTAAAATTAATTTACAAATTTCTTAACTTTGAAATTTACTAAAAATTACATGAAGAGGTAAAATTATCACATTTAGCGATGGCGTTTTGTAGGGTACAAAGAAACACATCGTTCTCAACAAAAAAATTGACACGCCATAAACCCCAATGGAAAAATGTGAGAAAGAAAAAACAATTTATTAGAATATAATGTAAACACAAACAACAAAACAAAAAATAAAAACATATACGAATAAAAACATTAAAGGCACTTGGGAATATTCAAAATGACTGTTGTTTACTTCCACTAGTATTAAAAATGAAGAATAGACATTTTTTTATTGAATATTTACACGGTATAAAACAATAGGACAACGAAAGAACGAAATAACAACAGATTGACTTTTTACTTACCTTCTTGCCAATCAATAGCAAAATTAAAATAGGCGCCCATCGAATGCGCATCAATACCAGCCAATAGCATCAAATGAATGCCGATACACAAATCGGCAATGGACAAATTGCACATTAAAAATTTAGAAACCGTTAAGCGAAAGTGCGAAGTACAGATGACCACTAGCACCAAAAGGTTTCCGATCACTGCTGAATGAGATATTATCCATACCGGAATTCGCAAACCCCAGTTTCCCATGAGATCTTCGCAGGGATTAAACGGGTCTGGTATCGGAATGCATCGAACCTACATCAAAAAGAATTGCTATATTAACTTGCTAAATTATATCCAAAGGAGATGAGATAGGTCATGATGAAGTAAAGCTCCGAAGAACCCAACAGGATGATTACAGAAACGTCAGCAAGTTAGCTTTGCCAACAACGAAAGCAGGAGTAAGCAAAAAGATGTGTAAATAGTATTAGTTTATAGCTGTAGCTTGTGGAAGTTTCTATGGAAAATTAACAATAGAATGTGTTTTAGAATGCGAACGAGAAACAAATAGTTCTAGACAATTTTTTGTTTAATTAATTGATTAAAATTTATTGAAATGTTTTATAAGCAATTGCGTCGGCACTTTTTGAATAGCAAAGAGGAAAGTAGCTCTACTCACTGTATTTCATTTTCCTGCATCTCTATTGAAAATTGAGTATAAAGCCGTTTTATAAAAAAATATAAGCTTTTTCGCAAGAAACGGTAACAAACGATGGTTGCTAAGCTATGCTGGGCTAAACAAATAGATGGTGATTAGAATTTTAAATTTCTGCCAATTCTTATTTTTTATTTTGGCGGTCTTTCAGTAGTGTTTTTACAGGAAAAATCATAAATATCTAAGTGAAATAAATCACACTCTCCAACACCGACTATTTAATAACAACTCGTTGCTTAGCCACTAAAGCAATTTTAGCAAATAAAAATTAAAGTAGTCGAGTGTTTATTATTCTTACCATTTTACTGCGGGAACTTTTAGGAAAATACATTGACGGATTTTGCGAATAAAAATACAAGTTTTCAAAATTAAAAGGAATATATTTAGTTCGAAACGTGTTTGTTCCGACTGAGTCATATGATTACGCTAATATAGTATAAAAAGCGCCTTAACCACGCGTTAGAGGTGACAAATATTTCACATGGCGGATGTTGATTTTTTTATACTATCAAACCATGAAGATTAGTCTAGATGTAATCAGCATATTCGATTTAATTACTAAAAAATATTGCTTCTAAAGAGACAGTATTTATTTAAGATTAATATTAAAGTGACCCTATAGATGTCAAATTTTTCTTAGATCAGTAAAACAGCCGGAAATTTACCTCGAATAACTCCGCCATATAATGAAGCGTCTGATTAAAAAATGTCTACCTGTGTCACGTTGCGCATATAATAAATCCCCAAACGATATTCCATTCACAATATACCAAAAAGGTGCCAGGCACAAAACGCAGATATTAGTAGAACCAAATATAAAACCAATTTCCATTTTGCGTCCATATTGGGAGTGATAAGTTCGTTACTGAAACAATCTATAGAAAATATTTTTTTTTAAATAATAAATAAATTTTATTTTACATTATAATAAGCAATTTGGCACCTCTCTTTATATAGAATTTTATTTTTATTCTGACTCAAATAATTATCTGCTCAAATATCGAAAGTGCTTAGTGATTATCCTATAGAAGATACATACTTCACACAAGGACCACACAAACTTTACTATTAATATATTATTATTATTATTAAAGTATATGAATTAGTTAAAAATAATAATCCGTATTCTAATGGAAATAGCACATCTGAGCACTACAATTGGAAGAACTAGATATCCTGTTTTTCAACTAAAGAAAAATAACAAATGAGCAAATGATCTACTAAATTCTACGAGTGTTGAAAAAATGTTGAAAATTTGGCACAGTTTGACGTGAAATATAAAATCACATTGTGATGACAGAACTCTTTTAAAAAATACGATTTTTAAATGAACAATTTATTTATTTAACTGTTGCTATGGAATTGAAACTTAATATTTGGGTAACGATTTAATATGAGCAACATCTACAGGTGTTGTTAATTACTTAATTAACAGAAAACAGAAATACAGAAAATGAATACATCCAAACAGCTTAGCCCTGGAAGATAAAATCCATGCTCCTTATAATTTTTTATTCGATTTAGTGGATACAGAAATTATATTTTAAATTATTGTGATTACCTCTTGGAAATCTCTGATCCCCTCATTATCGCAATGGGGCTCTACGGAAACTTTCCTAGCGACGTTATGGAAAACTCCCATTTCGTCGCCCCACACTTCGTTATTTTCGACGTAAAGTCGTGGTGACTCGGACTCTAAAACTTTCCAACTGAAACCGAAGAGAATTTGAACTTTGAACTAAAGAAAAGTTGGCAATCCTATTAGTTACCACAAAACACATAGAACTTTTTGTAAATATTATCAAACTATTCAAAATTCGGTTAATAAACAAATACCTTCAGAGTGCTTGTGGGCACCAGAGAATTCAGTCTGATGCAAAGAATATTATACAAGACTCTATTCCAGCATGTCTGTTTTTATTATTAATTCTTAAAAATGGAGGTCGTTTAATTAAATTGTCTATGCAAAAGTATTAACATATCAAGAGAATTTTGGGAGGTTGTTCTTAATTGTTACATTACAACAAAAAAATCCGGTTTGGTAATTTTAATAAAGAGCGTATTCTAATATTCTAGACATTTTTTCCGAATTCTTGAAATGGTGTAAAAATTGGATATTTCTTCTGAGGAATCTCTTTTACATAGGAAATTATATTGGTATTCGAAAATGAAATTAGATAGTCCGGTCTCGATAACAGACTCAATTTTTCTCCACAATGGAATATTTACCTCACAATCGATGTATTTTTGTTGCATTCGTCTCGTAACTTCTTGAAGGCGGAAGTTTGCTTTTTAAATTCATTCGGATCGTGAGTGCCCGGATATTTGAATGCACAGCAGTGGTAGGGGTAGGTGAGCCATGCTTCTTTGATATACTGAAACATTGACGAAAAATTATCCCAGAATTTATTTATAGAGGTGCTCGAAGTTAAAGTTTGAACTGGGTAACGCGAACCTTTAATAATATATTTCCTATCTATTAGGTCATTAACAAGAAAAGATTGGATAAAATGAAAATTTATAAAACTAGAATTTTTTCAATTTTGAAAAACAATGCGGATAGAATAATAGTACATTATCGGTTTTCAAAAAGTTGTAACGCAAATTATTGTATATCAAAAAACGCAGTTCCATGTATTTTTTCGAATGAGAAATTTGTTCAATCTCGAAAATCAAGAAATAGAATCTACTTTGGGCAGTACCAGAAATATAACAGTCACCACCACAGCTACTTGTACTTCCTACTTTAAAATACACAATTATTCACGGATTAAACGGGCAGAAAGTATCACTTCAAGACGTGACGTCAGCTTCGTTACCTACGAGCCATTTTGTTTCCCGGCATGCCAGTAAAAAAATAGTGCTCCTAACTCATGCGCGAAGTGTATTTTCCTCACTAATTGCAGTTCGGATTGCAATTCGGTGTGGAAAAGTATCACTTTCCGCACTTGTTACAGAATATAGTATTTTCTACTAGCCTCCGGGAAATCAGATTTTCCAGAGCGGTTCGGTCCCGAATAATCACAAAAAAAATTCGGCGATCATCACTCGGAAGGCAATGGCAAACCACCGAGAGTAATCTGCCTAATAAAGCCTCTCACCTTTGTCGTTCGGAACCGGCGTTAAACTGTAGGTCCCTTCTATCTGTGCATCCACTTTAAAACACGCACAACACAGATAGATGCGAGAGGTCGCCAACGCCATATTTGGGTAAGGCACATTAAGAAAAATAAAATGCCGTCATCTGCTCACCGACACGAAAAACGAGGGCTTGTCCATTTTATACAAAAAGAAATTTAACGTTTGGTGATATTTTATTGTTCTAACAAAACAACATATTTGTAGTAATTTTAAACAATAATCAACCGCTTATTGGAGGAGAAACTTTTAATAATATACGATATGCAGGCGATACCACAATTAAAGCAGAAAATCTCGAAGACCTGCAAAACTAAGTAAACAAATAACAAGATGCCGCATAGAACAAGCAATAAATGCATTTCAGAAGTTGAGGTCGCTGCTTTCAAATAATAAACTAAACATCCAAACAAGAGAAAAGTTTGTAAAATGTTACATACAGTCGATTCTTATGTTTGAATACGAAACACGGACGCTTAATAAAGAAATGCTCAATAAGATCGAAGCATTTGAAATGTGGACATTAAAATATCCTGGACCACAAGAACCAGAAATGAAGAAGTTCTTCGAAGAATGGGACACCACAGAAAACTACCCCATATAATTAGAGTACCTCGATATGACTTTCTTCGACTTATGCTTATGAAAAAATAGAACGAAAAAAGTGAATTGGGAGTAAGAGGCTTTCATGGCTAAGAAACCTGAGACAATGGACAGGCCTGAACGCAGAGTTATTCCATGTTGCACAAGATCCGGGAGAGATATAGAAACATCGTAAACATGGCAGTCGTCAACGTTCAATAGGAACATGACACTTGAAAAAGAACGGCTTATTTGAAAGTAAAAACTAGGTTGCAATAAAAATGGAGTCAAAATTACTGAACAGTACTTAAACAGTGCAGAAATTCTTGTTTTGTAGTGACCAGCCTGAAGTCCAAATGCGAACCCAATTGAACATGTTAAATAAAGTACATTTGTTCTAATTAAATAATTTACTTCATATCGAGCAATTAAATATTGAATTCAGGGATTTTTTTTTCAATTCGTGACTCAACTAAAATATATTTGTCGCAAGAAAATTCTATTTACCAGGATAAATCTTACACTATTACAAGAAAAATGTTTGTATTATTAAAATTTTACTCTATTTATTGCAGGAAAATGACTGTACTAGGTACAGTTATTATTTATTTCCGAGAACTTTTCGTTGAAGTAACAAAAGTGAAATATTTATTTCAAGCATTGTAAAATTAACGTTATAAAGAAAGAGTAACTTGCAAACAATAATATTTAAATGAATGAAATGCAGCGAAAGTCGACGTTTTTGCAAAATCAAATTTGCCATCTTCACTTTACTTGTCGGTAATTTTACAAAAACATTCTTTATAAAATACCTAGAAATGTTAATTTGCAACAGCAAGAGCAATGTAGGTGTAACATTAGTGACTGTGGCAGCTTCTCTCTTTTTGCACTTATAGCTTCTTCTCTCTGAGAAGGTGTCTAAAATAACCCATAATTTCAATTTATTCTCTTCAAAATAAACAAGGTACCTTTACTTGATCAACAATAACTTCCCTAGCAATATTACGTTTCCACTTTTTTTAAGAGTGAGGGATCTATTACGTTTTAAATAATTTAATTTCTACATACTTTGAAACACCAGATGTTCCCCTCCCCATTCAGATAATAATTTATCTATTATCCACTTTCTCAATCAGCATGGCGGCAGTACAAATGGCGATGTGCGCAGCTTCCGTTCCCGTCGGAATGTCCAAAAAAAAGACGGTTACTGGCGTCAAAAATATTATAAATATGGTAACATGCCATTAATTTATCATTCGCTTTATTCCAAGCAATAATGTTTGTATTCCAGTTTGTAGAAAATTTCAGCAAAATTTTATTGTCCCATTAAGAATATAATTTGTTAAAGTAAAAATATAATCAATTTGGTGGCCACAAAAGCTTATTTACTGTTAACGTAATTTTATTCTTGTAATTATTTTTTTCATTACGTTTGTTAATAAAATGAATTAATTCATCTTAGGGAAAAATTTCTCTCTGTGCATAAGTCTTTCAAATATAAAAAAAAACATCCGCCATAAACTTACTGACTGGTAGAGCGATATGGATTTCGGATTACAATAACGATCACTCGATCCAAAAAGTACATTTACAACCATACATTTTGGAAGCAAACTCGCTAAACCCAATTTATAACACCAAAAACCGTTTAAATTCTGCTATCCGTCGACAATGGATTGTCTCAGCGTAAAATATAACGGAATTTATCCACGAATAAGCTTGAACCTGTATTTAGCAGAACGAGCATCAATAAATTTCTGGATAACCCTTTACTGGGCAGCCAGCGAGCAGCGTCGAAAATATAATAAAAACGACCCTTTTCGGTAACTCTATTGAAAGCCATCCAAATGAACGTGACGGGTCGACCTTAATCTGATTTGGTAGATATGAGCAAATGAATACATGAAATGTAGAACTTTCTGAAAATAATTATACTGAAAATTTGGAAAAAAATAATTTGACGATCTACGGTAGCCTGCAAAATTTGACGATTCATATTAAACGGTCGATCGATATTCACACTAAACTTAACTTTTTAAACTTCTTTACTTTAGTTTGCAAAAGTTTTGTTCTTAATTGAAACCAAGAAGTATTTACCTATTTAATCTTAGTTTATGAACATTTTATTATTCTTACTTAGAAAGTAGACAGTAAAACTAAATTGGGATTTAAAACTATACTTCCTTTATCCTCCTTCGGTGGAAACATTCTACTCATCAGTAACAAATATTACAGAACTGACACAACAAAGATGTTTATTTGGGCAATATTGTTTGGTGCATAAATATATATAAACTATATATAATTACCTAAGATGCAGCAAAATCTCTCACCAACTCTAAAGCTTTGCATATTTCTTCGAAACAATCCGCAAATCTGTTTTGTTTGGAAAGTTGTGCGGAAGTTAAAGGTATTTAATGTACAAAGCCCCAAGAACAACAATTACTTTTCAACGCCTATGGAAATCAAAATATTTGAAAAACCAATTATTTTACCATTCAATGTATTTTCGTGGCGTTGCCTGCTAACAATTTACTTTCACACACGATTCGTGCAAAAGTTTGAGAAATTGGTTTGCGAAACGTATATTTAATTTTAGTTAGTTAAGATTTTGCTTGAGCGATCTTTTTCAGCTTTGACTCCACTTTCGCACTCTTGCGTAACCATTGCACTATATGACTATAGATCCATTACTTAAAGCATGTAATAACTTAAAGCGAAGTAAAAATTTATAACCGCCATAACAAAAGAAAATTATTGAATCGTTATCTTTACTTATAATTTCCGGAGAAAAAAAAAGAGTTTATGTTATTTATTACAGTATTTTTAAGTGCCCTTTCAATAATAACCCCTATTACCTTGAAATTAAAAACTGATGGAAATATCTTCAGCGAATATGTGTCTTCTATCTTAAGTACGTCCACCTCCTGGAGGCCATCGGTGGGTAAAGCTGTAATAGCTGTGCCGGAAAGATCACTAAAAAAAGCGGAATAAAAATTAACAGGTTAGCAAACTAACAAAATTATACTCTACTTTTTTCCTTACTTTTTAATAATTTAATATTTAATTATGTTTAGGTAATTTAATGTAATATTTAAGTAAATAAACCAAAATTTTCTGAAAAGAAGAATCTGTGATGTATATGGGGAAACTTAAACAAAATTGGGGTAATTAAAGAATTATGCAAATATGTATATTGTACATAAAGAATATATTTTGTATTTGAGCGATGAAGCCTCTCCACTTAAGTAATGCATTAATAATAACCTCATTGGTAAATTCGCCATTTAATATTTAATGCAGCCACCCGGTATCGCGAAATGTACTTACAGACGCCTCAAATTTTGAAGTTTGTGGAACGCCCTCCCATGCAAAAATTCTAAATTTGTATTTCCTCTTAAGCTCCTAAAGAATTAAATTAAATGATTAATAGGCATAGACATAAACAGCATAGCATAGGTTTATTATAAAACCAGAATAGTATATTATGCAACAAGTACGGTAAACGGCATTTGACTCACTAGTCACGTGTTGCATACTATATTTTTTCTACGACCGTTAGTTTTTGGGTACATTGTCTCAAAACACGAATACATTCACTGACATGACTGTCAGAATTGACAAACGTCAAAATTCAAAGCGTGGGAAATATCTCTGAAAACATCCGATTGCGGTAAAATCCCGGAAATGTCCGAAGTGGCTCGGATTTGTGGGAAACGAAACTTGACGTGGTAAAGCGACGCTTCCCGCACGCTAGATCGGTGCGTAATTAGGTATTTTACAGACGGGAGTAGAAAAAAGGTATTTTCCTACTTCCTACTCTAAAATACCCAGTTATGCACCGATCGAGCGAGCGGTTAGTTGCACTTTAACCTACAGCTTTTGTTATTTTAATCAGGGTTCTGGAAGTCATGTTTTCGGTAGAATTTAGCCAGGGTGTTAGGTCGTTTCTCAGTTCTGATGGTCACGTTACACGTCAATCAGTGAATAGAATGTATTCGTACTATTTTGCTGCACTGTTTCCAAAAACATCCAACACGCTGATAAATGTTTTTAGTCACTTCATCGTTTATTATAACTCGTTCTAATAATATCTGTTGAACTTCAACCGGGTGGAAAATCTATACGTGTGTGAAATATATCACGTAATTATGTAAAGCAACGGGAACAAATGATCCCTACTTAATGCGCAGAAGAAAACAAAATGGCACATACAGGAGTAGCGTATTATCAAATGCGAAACAGTAAGAAAATACGCGAAACGGGTTTTAAATCAAATGGAAATTGAAATCGGTCGGAACTGTTTATCCGAACGAAATGTGCTTTGGCACCTGCGAATTTCCACTTTGCTCAACCAAATCCTCCATCACATAATGGAAGAATTGTGGTATAAAAAAATCAACAGCAATGTTGGGTTAATTAGTTTGGTTGAGTTAATTGGGCAGTTTTGCATTGTTTTTTAATACAATTTTTTAAATACTGAGTTGCATTTTTTCATATTTTGAGAAGAAATTTAATTTGTTACATAACCATTGAATCAAGTGGTTGCATTTTTATACGAAAATGCAAATTTAGAACAATTTTCTTTTTAAGTACCTTTTATAAACTCAAATATCTATCTCGTTAAATAAGTTGCTAAAATGAAAATAACATTGAGGTCACTGTTTTTTTATTGTTATATCGAAACTTGTAATAATAAGTTTTTAATAAGATGGATTTATAAAAATGGATGTATGATGGATGTATCATCCCATATTATGGTGGTTTATTATAGATAGAATGTATAAAAACAAAAAGTTCTATAAACGACACTTTGGAATTTGTTAAGTTTTTGGGTACATTTTTGGAAAACGGCATTGAACACAACAGAACTAACAACATCCGATCGCTCCCAACCCCTTAAAATTTATCAACATGTTGCAACTATGCTTTATCGTCTTAAAGTGACACTTCCCACACGCATGATCTATGCACAATTGAGTATTTTAGAGCAGAGAGTAGAAAAATCCCTAGTTTTGAAGATATTCATTTGTAACGATTAAAATTTTGTACAAAATACTCGAAATAGTAAATACTTACAAATACGCAACTTGCGATCCTGAAAAGGCCTGTGCCTCGACTACTCGCAGGTCGTTGTAGCTCAAAATTCTAAAACAAAACACACAATGTCTCCACACTCTGAATTAAAAATACCAATGAATCATGTTAAAGATTTTTGAAGATTTCAGAAATATCGATGAGAATATGGGGACCATACCAATAATTGGCCGTACTTCACTGTTTTTTATCGGAACTAACAAAAATTATTTATAGAAATTCCAAAACATTGATCACATATAATACTTTCTGCATTTTTCAACTAAATGGCGTAAAGGCTACACGAACTGCAAAATCAAACCTAAACAAAACAAAGCAAACAAACACGAAGCCCCTAATTTTAACCCTGGCCGACTACAGTTTCATGTTTCGGTGGAGAAAGCACATTTTGCAAATTCTCTAGTGACGTTTAATTGACCATACTTGAGGTTTAACCGCATTTGCAGCAATTATATAGTTGATTGATTGATCGTAGTATTTCTTGTGTATTGCAAATAATCACGCCATTTTGATTGCACGAATTATAAAACTGATCTCCGAGTATTTGCAGGTATTTCTTAAATATCAAATAACTAATTTATTATGAAAAGCAGGTAAAAAAAAATATCCATTTTGGTAATCGAGATATTAAGTAATTATTCTGCTCCACTTTTTGCTTGTCCGCTGAGTAGTTTCGTTCCTTTTCCGATGTCAAAAAAATGAATTTATTTTTTATCGGCCAGCTATTGGGTATTCGTAAGTAGATTATAGTCTTATATATTTAATAACAAATGACTTTTATAGTCTACAAACCTTTAAAAATTAAGTAAAACTTTGTTTAGCTTGCCCAATAGAATCGGATTTACTTCTGTTTTAAAAATTTAGTCAATGAGCCACGCTGCATATACGTATGGGAGTCGAATTTGAGACTATAATACAATTTTGTACATTTGCCTAATTGAGCCTGCTGAAAGAAAAATGACGGGCTATTGGAATACTTTATTGATCGTAAGAATAATACCGCGTAATCTGAATACATAATAAATGAGCCGCTAACTGTTTATCACTGTACGCCAAAATATTAAAATTAGATTCCGCACTCTCATAAATACTTCGCAACTACCGGCCATTATTAGGGAATTCTAAGCCCGATGGAAATGAAGTGAGTAAAATATGGTGCAATATCTTAATCAATTTAATGGAATTCGGTGTGTTACTTACAACTGACTTACAGCGAGATTTCTTATTTCTTCCTTTGTTATCTTCTTTATGCCATTATGATCCAAATCTCTGCAACGATAATTAATCAAAGAAAATACAAGTAGTGAGAACAAAGATAAAGCGAACTTGTTTTTCAATCATATCATGTCCTACATACATACATATACTCACATCATATGCAAAACGGAGTTGGTGTTCAATCCATTAAAATCAGGTACATGTTCAAGTCCTGTGTAGACGATTCTTCTAAAAAATTCAGTTGAAATTTAAAATATCAATAATTTAGGGAGAAGGGGGGGCACCTTGATATTTTTACAAAGCGAGTAGGGCCATGGTTTGGATATATATTATATTATCTTATATATCTTATATATTTCACTACTTTATACACGCTTTATCCCACAATTTCCGTTGACGTTTGACATACCGTTAGAATTTCATTTCTGAGATAGTTGAATTTTTTTACACAGTTAGTGAAACTTGTCTGCTTTGATTGAAATATTTGATTTTTTAATTATAGTTTAATTGCTCTGTGCAGCCAGATATAACTAATAAAGGTAAGCAAACTTCATAATTTTGTTAGAGGGTCACTGTTGAATTCTGGATAATTAACTTCAAAAAATATAAGAATGGCTTAGCGGAAAGGAAGGCTTGCTTAAACCCCATCCTAGTAAGGTAAATTGGGCGGCGTCTACAGGCCTTATGGGCAGGGCTAAAAGGTAGAGGAGTGGGAAGCGTCTTTACCGAAGGCCAACACTATAGCAACTCGAAGTCAGAAATCATCACGTCCTAAACGTAAGCCGAAATTTTAAGCATCTTATTGCACCTTTTTTTTGAAAGAGCCATTAAACTCTCAAAGGTATCTGGAATGAATCTACCCAAAAAAAATGTGCCATTTTCAAGATATTATTTAGATATCTAAATTTTTTAAATACCTACATAGGTATAAATCTATATACTGTACTGTGTAAAAAATAAATATGTCATTTTCATGGTCGCATTTTAGATATGTATTTTCAATAAAAATTATTCTAAATTCAACCCAGAATAATAAAAATGTGACTTATAAGGATTTCCATTGGATGTCATTGCGGAAAATTACTACAAAGTTCAATTTTCAGTGCGCTTAAGGTAAAAACGAAAGTTTTTTTTTTCACTTGTATCAAATGGTTTTTTATAAAAATACTCTATCTGTCAATCTGTTGGTTAAAATATATTTTTTTCCAATTTAAATTGACTTAAGAATAATGACATATTGAAATTTTTTAATTCTATTATCTTGAAAACTAACTAACCAAAACTATTAGAGCCACGGACAAAAGAGGAAGAACATTTGCTACTTGGATTTAGCTGTAGAAGACAAAAATGGAAAAATGTACAGGGTGTTTTATTTCAAATAAAACCGGAAGTGCTATTCAACTGTTTTATATGTCAAAATGTAGTCATAATTTATTTATATAGTATCTCCTGAACTTTATTCAGTTTTTTTACAGGGTTATCGTAGTAAGTTCATTGACACCCGGTATAGGATCCTCGAGCGAGCAACGGTAAAAATATAAGCATAATATATATTTTCCTTGTACCAAAATAACTTCATATTAATGCAAAATAAATTCAACACCCTGTATTTGTTAGTACATCTTCCGTTGGTCCCGTGGCACAATTCTAATGAAATGTTTAAAACATTTTCCCGCAAAGCGTCTGACAAAATAGACAATTTTCTAATTCGTAACAAATTCGGTAGCCCTCACATTTTCGCCGACGATTCAATGGGGCCAGATCAAAAACCCAACTTACAGAAAGGGTACAAGGAACAAAAGAACATCGATTTGTCTTCACGTAATTCCTGACACTTAAATCTCTTCTGGAAACCTGTAAATGCGTAAAATTGCTTTTCCAGTATTTACGTGCCGCGTCAATAAAATGCTTCCCAACTAATTAATCGTTGACGAACTTTAAAAGCAACAAGTATTTCACGAAAAATATATATACTTAATGACGGTTTTGTAGTAATGTGAGGACATTATTTTTATTTTTGTTGTTCAGGTCGCAGTACGAAAAAACTTAGGCTATGTATCAGTATGTATATATAAAATCAAATGTTGTTTTATGTTGTTTATTGTTATTAACAATTGTTACTATTTTTAATCATGTATCATATATTTTTGTATGTTTACTATAACGAATGCATTTTCATTTTCAAATCACACAAATGGACAGACCATACTTCTATTATTTCATTTGGTTTGAGTTTTGTAACATTTTTTACAGCGAATGAAAAGTCTAAATCTTTTTATTTATACTATCTTGTCTCTTTGTAATTCATAAATACAAGAAACAAGTCCCTACTATTTAATTAGGAAATTTTATAGATTCGATGTTGAAGATGGCACAAATTGGAAGTTAAAACGATAAAAAACATAGCAACATATCCTGCAAATACTCTCTGAATTGTGAACTATTTTATACATATTATTGTACATATACGAAATATAAAAACATTCATATGTAATTTCAAATTTGTTCGCTCATTCGGAAGTGTGTAATAATTTTTCACGTACCATATATCGACATCTCGATTTTTGTCTATCTAGTTTAGAAATACATTTTTCTCATTAAAAAAAAACACTCCGATTACGATCACCCTATACAGGGTTCAACCCATTCACGGCTATCTCACTTACCTTCAAAGATAGGAAGATGCAAGCTTCCCAATAGGTTTTGCTACGTTTTTATCGAAATAAATATGGAATAAATAGAATTTCATTAGTCAATTTCTTTTTTGAGATACAAAATTTATTATCTTTTCGACAAGCTGAAAATAGTACCCTAGAATAATGCGTGCTGAGAAATATAATTTGAAAAACCGGAAACATTTTTTTTTTAATTTTTCATCCCCCCAAAAACATATTTGCTTAAGCGTGATTAGATCTACAATGTTCTAGTGCCTTCGTGTACGAACATGCAATTTATCAAGCCCCATTCCCCCACATAAGGCATACTAAACTGATAGTTTTGCAGATTAACCGTAAGAGTGACACACAAATTCCCTCAATTTCCATAGCATATACGAAGCTATCTTGTATGCGACGCGACACGACGGTTGAATTTTCGCTGTGTAGCATTTCAATTTCAGACTAGCTTTTACAGACTGAGAAATAGCTTACAATAATTCACCACATAACCGAAATAAACAGTACAATATTCTTTTCGACGTACACTGCATCCCAACTGCAAACATTTCCGAACTATATAGAGGATGTTTGAGATGTTTCAGTCAGTAGTGAAATTCTAAACCTGTATAGTAGATTCAGATCGCTTACATTCCACATAGACAATTGATGCTGTAATAACGATACGTTGCAATTATTTTCAGTGAATATATTAGAGAAACTTTTTAATTATTGGTTGTTATACAAGGTGATTGAGTTTGGTATTAAAGATTCTAAAGAACTAAAAAAAATCTATTTTCAAATAAATGATATACTATGTTCAAAAAATATTACAACTGGTACAACTGTCCCTAATCACTGAATCCCTAAACTGCAATAGTAACGGCGTGATAGATTTTTGAAAATAAATAAGTACCAACGCCATATATTTCGATAGGTAGTGAACATTTCCCAAAAATCGAGATTAAGACGATTTTCCTCTATCATAGTTTCGAAATACGTTTTTTCTATTAAAACACTCTGATTACGACCGACTTGTAGAGGATTCAACCCATTGACTTATATTTATAGGTAGGAAGGTGGAAGTTTCGAAGTAGTTTGCTACTATTTGGCAAACGAGGGATTGGATAAAAATTTTATTAATCCCTTTGGTTTTTGCAAAACAGAACGTTTTTCAATTTTTTTTTTGCGAAATGCAATGCAACTTAATGTACATGTACATTACTTTTTACAAAACTTTTGGATTCCTCCTGTGTTGGTTTTTACTGAGTCGAACTTACTAACGTTTCGCCAATCATCTTGTTGGCTTCTTTAGAGCTTGACTGAAACTGGATGATTGGCGAAAAGTTAGCAAGCTCGACTCAGTAAGAACTGACGCAGGAGGAATCCAGAAGTTTTGTAAAAAGTATTACACTAACCTGTGGAAGTTCCTTTGACAAATTAACGAGCCTTTATGGAGAGGACAGTTTCAGTCAAGCTCTGAAGAAGCGAACAGGATGATGACTTACTAACGTTTCGCCAATCATCCTGTTGGCTTCTTTAGAGCTTGACTGAAACTGGATGATTGGCGAAACGTTAGCAAGTTTGACTCAGCAAAAACCGACGAAGGAGGAATCCAGAAAATTTGTAAAAAGTATTATAGTAGCCTGTGGAAGTTTCTTTGAAAAATCCTGAATATTATTTTTAATTTTGATTAAGAATAATTCTTACTACTTACTACTAAATGTAATAAATTAGGAAATTCGGTTTAAACTGAAATAGGAACGGCCTCATAGATTTTTGTTATCTTTCTCTTTCTCATTTATATAACTGGAAGTTTGTGGTGCTTTCGTTGTTTGATTACCTTAATTACCGACATATTCTTACTGAAATTATTTACACAGTATTATTTGATGATCAAACAATATATTCTTCAAATATTTGTAAAAAATATAATTTATAATTATCTACCTTCTGAAAAATTCGTCGAAAACGCTCATACAGATCGATATACTTACAAATTCAATATTTAAGTTTAAAAAAAAATTAATGGAAAACTAGTGGAACAGAAAATACTAGTATGTATTGTAGAGTGGAGTACTGTTTCGTAAAATACTTAAAATACACACGCATTTACCAACAGACAAAGAATGACAAAATCCTGACCAAAAAAACTCCTAGAAATTATTACAGTTGTCTGTCATTAGTATTGAGGTGTATGGCAGAGACAACAGTCTCCATTACTAGACCCCTCACATAGATAATATCTACCTTAGAAGAAAGGAATAATTTACTAAGAATCTGTGAGATTTTCCGGGCTGTTAGGCCGTGGTCCATTGGTATTGCTACCAAAGCTTGCAGCTGATACTGCGGCAGCCATCTTCAGTGGAACGTAGATTGTAGCGCGACGGCTGTATCGGTACTGTTGCCGGTTGTCGAAGTCGTACCTGTTTCGAACCGCTCGGACGGACGGCGGACTGAAAGGTCGTTTGAATGTCCGGGCCCCCCTCCGTGTTGTTAGTTTACTTGTAACCCCTCTTCACGTTTATTGAAATTGTTTTTGTGTTTGTGTATTTCAATTGCTTCTCGATGTAGTCTTGCGTGGTAATGTTTCTCTGTAGACAGAACTTCGGTGTTATCGAATTTGATGTTGTGATCGCCATTACTAAACACGTGTTCTGCCACCGCCGATTTTTCTATTTGTTCCAAGCGACAGGATCTTTTGTGTTCAATCAAGCGCGTAGATATGGTGCGTTTTGTTGTTCCAATATACACGTGTCGGGGATCTTTGGAAAATTTTAAGTATTGTCGTATTTGTCCTGTGAGTTTAAAAATTGGCTTTATGTTATGTCTCGCCATTATTTTGCCGATCCGGTCCGTTACTCCTCCGATATATGGGAGGAAAACCAAACCGTCCGGAGGCATTTCTTTGTTAGGCTCCCGTCTATTTTGTTTCTTCAGTCTTATGGCCCGTTGTATTTCGTTGGTTTTGTAGCCATTTGCTTTTGGACCACGGCCTAACAGCCCGGAAAATCTCACAGATTATGACGCCGGCCGTGAAAGTCTAGACAATTATATTAATCGCCTCTACGTGGAGGAGACCTACAGTGAAGTAAGAAAATCGGAGTCGATAAAGAAGAAAAAGGCCAAACTTTTGTGCACCCTAACCTTTCTTTTACGTTGTCAAGACACAAAAACGATGCCGATTTAGCGAAACTTTTTGAACACTGCCTCATGACCACGTACTCGAGCAAAGAACCGGGGTCACCATTAGCCCAGTTGTTGCCAATTTTTACATGGAAAGCTTCGAAGAAACGGCACTAAGAGCTGCCAAAAAACAACCTAGCCACTGTCTACGGTACGTCGACGGTACGTCATATGAAGTCACGGTCGGGAAGAATTAGAGAACTTCCTCCGGCATCTGAACAGTATACATCCAAAAATCCAATTTACTATGGAAATTCAACAGGATCGACAACTCCCATTTTTGGATGTAATGGTAAACTGAGGCGATAACCTAAGGTTGGGACATAGAGTTTACCGAAAAGTCACTCACACGGACCACTGCTTGCAAAAAGAATCTAACCACCATCCAAAACAAAAGAGAGGAGTTATTAAAACACTAGTCGACGGGGCAACTAGAATATCCAATCCACAATATCTGTCAGAGGAATTAGGACATTTAGAGAGAGCGCTTCAAGCAAATGGCTACAAAACCAACGAAATACAACGGGCCATAAGACCGAAGAAACAAAATAAACAGGAGCCTAACAAAGTCCGGACGGTTTGGTTTTCCTCCTCTATATCGGAGGAGTAACGGACCGGATACATACATAAAGCCAATTTTTAAACCCACAGGACAAATACAACAATTCTTAAGATAGGCCAAAGATCCCCGAAAACCCCTGTCTTCGGCCGGGGTATACAGAATCCCATGTTCATGCTGACACGTGTATATTGGAGCAACAAAATGCACCATATCTACTCGCTTGACTGAACACAAAAGATCCTGTCGCTTGGGACAAATATAAAAATCGGCGGTGGCAGAACACGTGTTTACTAATGGCGATCACAACATCAAATTCGACAACACCGAAGTTCTGTCTACAGAGAAACATTACCACGCAAGACTACATCGAGAAGCAATTGAAATACACAAACACAAAAACAATTTCAACAAACGTGAAGAGGGATTACAAATAAACAAAATATGGCATAACGTCCTGCAAAAAACGCAAACAAAACCTACTACTAACAGCACGGAGGGGGGGCGGCACGCTCAAACGACCGTTCAGTCCGCCGTCCGTCCAAGCGGTTCGAAACAGGTACGACTTCGACAACCGACAACAGTACCCATAGAGTCGTCGCGCTACAATCTACGTTCTACTGAAGATGGCTGCCGCAGTAGCAGCTGAAGGCTTTGGTAGAAAAACCAATGGACCACGGCCTAACAGCCCAGAAAATCTCACAGATTATGACGCCGGCCGTGAAAGCCTACGCAATTATATTAATTTACTAATACTATGTTTTTTAAACTTTCATATACCGGGTGGCCAATTAGAAGGACACTCAAACCTACCTCGAAAAGTCCTCAAGTCGTAATTGTTTTAAAGAAAATTTACAACATCAGCGACCAATAGAAAATGCTGTTATTTTGAGATTTCTAGAATGGTCACCAGGGAGCGTAATCGCATTCTTGAATCCTTATATTAGAAATAATTTTATTGCAATAAAAGAGAGCCAAGTAAAAGTTAGTGAAAACCACAAAACTATCCTATATAACATAACAACTACAAATAATATCGCATCATTCAATATGATTGAATATCGCATAAATAATAATCCACATAAAACTCGAAATTTTTAAAATAAAAAAAGCAAAATAGCAAAAATTATAAGGGTGGTGTTTAAGTGTCGATCACATTAAGATTGCAGCTCTTTATAGTGTATTTTGGTTCGCCTTATTTGTAAAAAACTTGACTGTTTCGTATTTATTTTCCAAACCTTGAAAATGCAACTGTTTCTGTTAAAACCTAGGCGATGGAGTATTCTGCATTAAACAAAGATCTGTGTTTTTCCTGTGTTGTTTTTCATTATTGAACATATTGTATTGCAATATTTGAATCATATGGGAATGAATATTAATTGTTACTGACATTCTAAATATAATTTTGGTGTCAACAGTAAATTTACGTATATTTTTCTAAAAGAATGAAGATTAGTGTTTAATAATATACATAATATAATATCTCTTTTACTGATGTTATATTTTAGGAGAGAGAAATCGAAATTATGTTTCTACTAACGTGTTAGACCGTTATTTGTCTATATTTTTTTGCAATAAAAGTGATGCAGCGATGCAAGCAATCGAAATCAATTCGTTCAGGGCAATGTTATGGCCCTTTTCAACGACACGAAGTTTGAAAAAAAACGTTCAGGGATTCTGAAGTTATTGACATTTATTTGGAAAATGTCGGAACAACCCCCACCACTTTCCCTTAAGAGATAGAGCAATAACTATTCTACGAAAAAGAATATAATTTATAACAACTTCAAACCGATGTTCATTTTAGTTATCTCCAATATAAGTTAGTTTATTTCTCAAAAAAACGAGATTTTAAATTCAAGAATGCGACTAGTCCCCGTGGCGGTAATTCTAGAAACTTCAAAATAATTTCCCGCTTTAGCCATATGTCTTTAAGACAATTACTTTTCGAGGTAGGGCCAAGTATCATTCGTAATTGACCTACCCGGTACATTCGTTTTCTAGCGTAAAAAAAATTATTTCTGGCTGGCTTGGTTTATCTGACAGACTTTAACAAACTTTTCTGTTTACAACATCGCCAGCACCAAACGAAACAAAAACGCAAAGTTTTGCGAGATATCAACGTCAAATTAAACCTCATTTTAAACATAAAGCCTTGTCGTCTCGTATATGCAGAATATTGCATCTTGGGTTTTCAATTTACGCTCGAAAAGTGTGCGTATTAGGTATTATTTCACGTTAAATCTGTTATAGGATTAACAAGTTTTGTTAATGAAACTAATCGGCCTTAAACAATTGTTCCTGTTTATATGGCGTAATTAAGTCTTGTACCCTGCTATCTCCGTATCTTTGATAGCCAGGCGCATTAGAGTCTAGCAATCGATAGGTTAACTAAATTGAGCTGCACTTTATAGCCCCTTAAAAAAAATGATAAAACATATTTTATAATTACCGTTATGTAATTCAGTTGTGCAGAAAAAAAACATTTAGAGACAGATTTGTTCTTTAGATACAAACGTCTGTAGACGGATTAGGATATGATGAAAATACATAAATTGCATATGAATGTTATAAATAAAATACGAAAGTTTTTGTAAAAATTGTAAAACAACAAAAATCAAAATATATACAGGGTGGAGCAATCTCCCCATATCTCCCTTAATAATTAGGATTTTGAAAAATATAAAAGAAGATGTTAAATATATTTAGTTCCCTCCTATCAATTTTGCGCTCTACTTAGCCGTAAATGTAATGTATAGTGGTTTGTTTCGAAAATATTCTACAAAATTATAACCTATCTAGAGACATACAACTTGTTAAACATAATGTCAATTTTTTTAAATCATAATACGAAAATCGCACTTAAGACGCTTGCCTTTGTATGTGTTACTCTCAATTAATGATTAGGGCTCATATACGGTGTGAATAAATAAAATTGCTAGACTTACACCACTTTCAAATTTGGTAAGCTTGCATTAAATACCTCTGGCAGAATTTTTCTCAGTTTCGGAGCCATGTAGATGTATCTGGAAAAAAATATAAAAAACTGAATATGTAGAAAAATTAACAGATAATAACTACCTTCAAATTAATAAAGTGTTTACATTCCTTAATGCGAATTGATGATTATTGGAATCGCGATAATATATTCGAGATACTTTTCACTTTTCGGTCGCTATCAGTTTCAAATTTTTAAACAGGTAACTGCGTATATTTTAAAATTTTTGAAATAGATTGTGACATTTTAAAATGTTTTTAAACCTTTTTCTGTTTTACCTAAGAGACTAAGATGGCTAGGAGCCAGATAAGTTAGTAAATTGATATTTTCATTTCCAATTATTTTTTTTTAATGGAAAAACACTTTCGACAAAGAACTTTAATTTTAGTATTTTAATTACGATTACGATAGGAGATGCGAAAAAAGTTTCGTACAAAAGTTTCTTGGACTCTCCTGAAGATTTAAAATATTATAATTTTGTTTACATATATATGTACACCATGTGCCAAATAAAAGCAATCCACTATACGTTCTGAAAAACCCATACGAGATACGAAAAAAAGTTTCTTGGACTCTCCTAAAGATTTGAAATATTATAGTTTTGTTGATACAGGGTGTTAGTTTTTGTCCTAGAATTGATATCTGAATAAAATTATAGGGTGTTCCATTAGAAAATCTTGAGATTTTGTTAATTGAATTCGCCAAAACGACACCACCTATTTGGGACACCTTGTATAAGCTGAGGCGCATCTGTCAGACTGATTGAGTAGTGCATCATCTCCTTAGTCTGTGGTTAAATTTTCGCTTCAACATTTGGGTCAGTAGCGTCAAAACACAATTTTATAGGGGCCTATCAAAATATGCAAAGCAAAAAAAAACACAACTCAATTTCTGCGAAAAATATGCAAAATTCGAATAAGAATTTCTTTTCTTTCTTTTTACCAGGGATTCAAAAAAATGACGAAATACACTGTATTTCTTTCTTCAACATTTGTACAATGTGCTTGGGAAATTATAAGCCAATTGAAATCTAAACATAGCGTAGGCATGCTAAACAGATTCATATAAATTTTAGACAATTAATTTATTTAGCGTACAACACGTTTGCATTATACCTGCTTAATATCACTGCTATCTTGGAATTGACCAATTCTGCCAAGGTATTCATGCGTTAATTGAGTGGAAATGAACCACTAAAGGGAACTTTAAGTAATAAATCTATGAAAGCGCTTTATCTGCAGGAATATATTTTACTGAATTACACTTCGGCAGCAATCTCTGGGAAATTTAACCATTGTTTAAGCTTCGGTACCATTCTCCCAAGTCTTGCTCGTTATGTAGAAACCTGTTCGCTAATTAGATATTCAACGTCAGTATTTGTGCGCAAATAACTTTTTATATTAGTTACTGACATGTTTGATAATAATAAATAAAAGCTTCTCTTTATTTTTACAAAAATTGCGGACGTATGATGTACAATTGGAGTGTTTTCAGTAGATTTTTCTCCGGTTGTCCGTAAGTTGTTTTGTTCTGATACAACTTTCTGATTTTATGTAACAATCATAACTGGCTATGACACTAACAAAAACTCCGTGGCATTAACATTTTCGTAGAGAAGGTAATTATTTTCCGGGCAAGACTTTAGATTTAACTCAGCAACCTGCAATTTACGCCATTTTCTTCTCTTCTCAAACTTACTGACGATGTGTCAGCTGCCATGTTGGTTGTTGAGAGAAGAAATGTTAGTGGTTAAAAAATATATTTTAAATCTCGCACATGCGCATGTTGAATGGACCTTCTCAAAAATGTGTTCATAATCATATCGGCATAGACAAGTAATCCGTTTCTAGAGTATGCATATAACTGTCAATGTCAATTAAAGACATCGCCTATATTCATTTATTTATTAATCCATTCTAATCTAAATGTCTAAAATTAATGAGAACTTATTTTGTTTTTCACGTAGTTCTAATTAATATTCTGTTTCTTCTATTACATTAAAATAACTGTAATTTTGCCTATACCTCCCAAAATATGTGGTTCGTATTATTCATTAAATATTTTTCACTTTCATTTCATAAAATACTTTTAACTGACTTTCTTTTAATGTCCAGGGTTAGTTAAATTGTTCTTGAAGTCTCTCTGCGTTTAATTGACATTGACTATGCTTTAATGCACGATGTACTTATAGATAACCAAAAAATATCTTACATACAGCATTATTATTAAGATTAAATAAAAAAGATTAAATAAGAAAGTTGTATTCATTGAATTGGCAAATAAAAAAGTTATCTATAATTTTCAAAATACGCCGTATATCTCGGTTTGTAGTGAAGCTGCGGTTATTTTTCAAAAATCAAACCTATGACATGTAAATCAATTGTGCATTATCTAGTTTATGAATAGGATTTTCTTCTAAAATTAATCAATTACAACCACCCTGTACGAAGACATAAATATTTTTGTAATATCTGCATCGTTGAAAATGATTGTAATAAGAACAAACGAATGGAAATATTACGGATTCCAAGATACACTAATAAGTAGGAAATCCAGTTTTCACTGCCGGTCCCTCACTTAGTGTGCTAGAAAAAGCGAAGCCTTTAAATCTCGCACATTGAAGTAGTAACAAAAGGACTTATTGAGATATATTTCGAACAATTCAAACTGAAGCTCAAATTTAATCGATCGTTTAAATAACACGTTTGGATGTATATAATTTCAATAGTTTCTGGGCAACAAAAATTTTTTTAATGAAAATGTAATTTTGATATAAAATTGTAAAATCTAATGCAATTTAAACTAAAAATGAGTTGAATATTTTAACATCGGTTTAAAGTAAGCGTAACAAAATAAGAATCAAATTTTACAATTTGAAGAACAACTGAAATTTTCAAACCTGATAAATACCTCACCTCACCTCCCACAAAAATGCGTTTCCAAAGGCAGTAAATTGTAAATTTGATTTTGATGTCGGCTAAGCAATTGCTATGTTATTCTTGTATACTGACATAGTGATCACTGTACAGTTTCTCAATGGTCAAACAAAAAATTTGCTTTTTTAAATTTATACCATCAAATTGCATATCAATAATCCGATGCAATCTCTCATCCATTAACACTTTATTTGACTTTTGAGAAACGTCCATTACAAACGTAAATTTTGTTGCAAACTGACATAACCGTAAATAATTATATCGAAAAAAAAATGTTGATACTTACAAAGTTTGCAGTTGTTTCAGGTTATGGAATACGCCAGTTTCGATGTGGTAAAATTGTTCCAAGTTTTCCAAGTTCCTGTAAAAAAGTACCAATATATTTTTCTACTCCCTTCTGTAAAAAACCTATATACACTATATACACTATATACTATATACACCGATTTAGTGCGCTGAAACTGTCGTTCTGTCATTTCACCTCGTGAGTTTGGTTTCCCACTGATTCGAGCCACTTCGGGCATTTCCGGAATATGATCGCACCGCTCGTGCGAAATCAACTCGTGATTCAAATGCCATTTACCACATTTGGTGCATAATGTACTACTAAACACTTAATTGGTAATAATTTTTGGCTAGAAAATTCTGTGATTAATTGAGGAAAGGAGTTCTTCAAAAGTCTTTTTTAAAACAAATATACTAAACATACCCTCGATAACAGATGAGGCATTCCTCCATTATTTTATTCTTATTTTTTGTTTTGCTTTTAGACGAAACAGTTACAAAACTATTAAATCAAAACGTTTGTGACTGTTTCAGTTAATGGCAAACGCTTATGAATGAATTTGCCGCCCTCGAGCAGGATCAATATTAATTAATTTCGTTCTCTTCTGTTTTACCTTAATTGTGGTTACTTTTAAGACAATCGTAGTTCTGGCTTATCGAGAAATTTGAAATGCCGATGCGGGAGGAAGGTATTTTAATTTAACTTAATTATCACAGGCCTCCTTCTTAGAAAATCTTCCATTTTTTGTATAAATAATAATGCTGATATTGCTCACTTATAATATATCACTGCACATATAGTGCACATTTGACAAAAACGTAGTTCGTCCTAAGCGATATCTCAAGCCAAGCTATTTGCGAGATATTCCTTTTGAAATATTCCTCCTTATCAATGTAGGAAAGCCTTAAATTTCACAAACTGGACCTGAACGTTTCCATGGTAACAGCTTTGGTTATTTTTCTATTTTGTTAAATTTTTAATGACCAACAGATTCAGCATAATACAGGCGCAACCAACCACATGTGCATTTAACTAAAATATGTAATTTTTGGATATAATAATAATTTTTCTAAATATAGGCTTTGCAACTTTTTATTAAAGCCGATCAGAGGCCTTTTCTTTTTCTTCCCAACAAAACAGAGTGTAACCAGATACCGCCAAAAGCAGAATTTCCATGACAAATAAACACTCGAAACTCGAATTGTGAACGTAACAAAAGAGTTTTTAAAAGCCCCTAACACCACAAGCGTGTACCCTGTCAGCGTTTATTCAAAAATGTGTCAGACAATGAATCAAATGAAAACGAGCAATCAGTTCCGAATGCGAAATATTTCCCTAATTTTTCAAGACACTACACGTGTCCCCATAAAAAATTTTCGTTTTTGTGTACTCCTTGCATATATACAGGATTGTTATATATGTTTTATGGAGTAATTCGATCTGTTTTTTTACAACTATCTCAGTGTCAGAATAACCTAATTGTTAAACCTCAAAGTCATTGGTATCGAATTACATTGTCTGCTTACTAGTGCTGACTAAGCAAGCTGGGCGCCGTAGAACGACGAAGTTTGTTGTTATTAAACCTCGAAACGATTTGCTTGTATTTGTTCAGTTCGAAATAAACTAATGTTTTAAAATTTTGTGTCATGTTCTAAAGGGCTTTTTTTATAAACAAAATAATATAACAATATATATATATATATATATATATATATATATATATATATATATATATATATATATATATATATATATATATATATATATATATCATCCGTTCGCTCGTTGAACTAGGACTGGAATCCTGCATCCGACTGGAATCCTGCAAATCCTGCATCCGACTGGAATCCTGCAGACGTTTCGCCAAAATCTCACTTGGCATCTTCAATGCTCGCGCTCCGAAAACACTTCGACCACTCATCATATTTTTCCATCCGTGAATCAATACGTGAGAATATATATATATATATATATATATATATATATATATATATATATATATATATATATATATATATATATATATACTCAGTGAACACATTAGTGTTATTTTGCAAAAAAAAAGTATAGTAAGCAACACTTTGAAAATGTATTACTAAAGCATTAAAGTTGAAGGATTTTAATGAATAATATACTATGAATGTTGATACCAATAAATTATTATTATTAAGAACTCAGAAATAAGAAATGTCTCTTTCCTCTATGAAGAATAAACTTGATCAGCATCTCTTCCAAAGTTATAAATTTTTCGTCTTGTAGTCAATAGTCAGCTTATTAGTAGATCGTCCAACTAAGGTATAATTAAGTCATTGTAAAATGAGAGCACGATCTTATTGCTGATTGACCATTCTGACAAACGAAGAAAATTCTATTTTATGTCCTAAATTGCCTTTCAAACGTCATTGACTTTATTCTTGCTATTACTTTATCAAAACGCCGCAATTTATCATTCTTTTGTAAATAAAATCGGCCTTATTATATCAAGCACGGTAAAAGCTAAATTGCAAAACACACATTTTATCGAGCTCATGCTGACGTTGACGATGAAAATATTAAAAACAAGCAGATCAATAAGTAGACATGTCAAGAATACATCCGTTAAACGCTGGAACAATTGGATCGGAATCAGGCTAATTGTTTGTCGCTGTTCCTGGAATACGGAATCAGAAAAAACAGTTATATATGTGCCGCAACCTTATGGCGTCCTATTTTTCATCGTTCTATTAATTAAATTTATCGATACATTTTTGCCGAAGTAAAAGCCAACCTTTATCAAAAATATGGGCCGTCAAATTAACGTAAACAACATGACGTGACGTTTACGATAGCTCAGTGCTTTTACTTTTATTAGGGTGGCTTATGGTAAGTATTAGTTTGATTAGTGCCACAAAAACTATCGTAAATTATATAGGGTTGCGATATTTTCCTATTAGTCGTTGTGTATTGTAATAGTATATTTGCAACAAGTTTTATAAACGACCTTGCTGTCACGAGTGTGTTTGGGTACGAGCAAAGCGCAGCGGAGCGACTGTTTAATATACGAGTGTTTTTAATGACTACAGTCCTGCAAACGTTTGAAGTAGTTCGTGACAGAAATAAGTAATGTAAGTGATGTGATTATTATTAGTAAATCGATTAGCTCATAATACTGGACATTAGAAGTATCTGGAAAGCGAAGTAAGCAGAAGGATAGCATCTATAGCGTTTCGTTTTGTTAATTCTATATGGACCTGGCATCAGCTCAAAAGGAGTAGAAATAAGCATTATAAGAGATGTAATTATTATATACACATAGAAGTGACTAATACTACACTAAAGTAGACCGATTAGCTCATAATGCTGGATATTAGAAGTACCTGGAAAGCGAAGTATGCAGAAGGATAGCAACTATAGCGTTTCGTTTTGTTAATTCTATATGAAGATGGCATTAGCTCGTTTATTTTATCATTTATTGATATGCCCATTTGTTGAATTTAAAATTGGGTATATTCGGAATTATACCCATTTGTAATGTCGTGATTTTTATTTAAAATATTACAAACAGCAGTGACAAAGTCTTCGTTCAAAGTTATTCCTTTTTTTATATACTTTTATTTCAGTTTGTGTGAAATATCCATATAGCTATTAGTTAATCACTACCCCCCACTGCTCTACTACGTAAAAATGTTGCACCGTAGGCGGCATTGAAATTTGCGTAGAGAATGTTATAATTTTTCTGGACATGCTTCTACAGTTTACCCACTAACAGCAATTTCCGCACACTTAACTCGTTTTTCTAGAACATTTAATAAGATCTAGCGATATTTTAAGTAAAAAAAATAATTGACTATCTATCAAGAGCCACGTTGGTTGTTGAATACCTCAAGGTCATTGGTTATAAACTAGATTTCAAATCGCTTGCGCATCTCGATTGGACCTTCTCAAAATTTTTTTTCATTGTTACTTCATAAGTTTCTGTTTTATCGGTATAAGCAAGGCCTCTATACCTGTAGTAGCGGTATTTAAATATTCATCACTGTCAGTCAAAAAATTGGTTTGCGATCTTGTCGAAAGTTATTTCATCAATAAAACAATCGCAGCTGATAGTTATAAATATCAAACAAGAAATTAAAACTACGCACGGAACCGTGCCTTAATATTCTCAAGGTAATATGAGATTTTTGTCCACCACTGTTGTTTTCTAATTGCCCGCCCAAACACGGCAACGCAACAACGAGTTTACGTTATTTTTTAATATTGTTAAAACAGGGTTCGATTCAATGCGGTACTTATGTGAATATAGCCAGTATTAAAAGTTACAGTAATTTATTATCCAACAAACACACTTAGTGAAAATATCACGAACGAATGCGAATTAACAATCTGTAATGGGAAATAATCATAATAATTTCGACTATACTATCGATTGTCAGACGCATATATACTATAATAAAGCGATACACGGCTATGAAGTTTCGAAATTAAGATTAATTTCTTACCAAAGAAATTGATCATTTGGATATTTATTACTAATTTTGCCTGTTAATAAATAAATTCAAATTTTTAAATTCAGGAAAATCTTTTCTATCAAACCCAAAAGCTATATAATGCCTATATAATTCATATTTCGTTCACAGGAAATAATAATACAAGATGTGATGTTTCTAGAATTCATTTACAAACTATGATTTTCCAATCACGGCCTAGAAGCAAACTGATACACCCTGTACATCAATACAGTTAGTACCTATAGTTTGCAAAAATGTGTCTTTTTTTAAACAGTTATTAGAATATGTTATAGGTAAGTAAAATGTGTCACTTTTCTGAATAATCGGTAATTGGTTATTTTGTAATCTATTACTCGCGTAATATGATACAAATACCCACTTTCTTCGTTGGAAATTACAGTTTCCTCCACTCAAGGAAATAAACGTGTTAACGCAAGCTTACACTGTTTGTCGGGTCGAATATTTGGTTACACTCAACAGCCTGCGCTTTCCACTAAAACGAGAAATTTGTGAAAAATGTTTGAAAACTTTTACTCGCTTTCTTCTTCATATTAATATTAATTAATATATTAATATAATATTACAGCACTAAATGGGTGGGTTTCAGATTTTTTTTTATTATTTGAACTAAACCTTGACGATATGATGATCGATATTGCGTCTTATTTGACCAAAACGAACCAAAAATTTGCAATTTGTTCTAAAAAAAGCATCTTTCGGTTAGCATTCAATAAACAAAAATCCACTAATTTTACAACTTTTATACTGGTAATACTTTTAATTATCTGTGGCGATGTTAAAAACCAATGCGTTATTAAACCTTTGCGCAATTTTTTTCCTTTTATCCGCCAACGTTGTTTTCCGAACACTAGCAAAAACTTTTATTAATTTTTGACTGCAAAACACACGAATATTTATTTTATCGATTCGCTTTCCCGGTATTGGTACTATTCGACTTATGGTAACATCCAATAATCCGAACTATCATTTTTTATTTTGTTGGACAGCTTATCAGTTATTCGTGAAACGTGTTCGTTACTCTTATAAAATCCCTACAGCAATTAAATGGAGAAGCTTAGAAACGTAAAGGTGACCAAATTTTAGTAACTTATAAAACTTTTACTCGCCATTTACTCGTAACTGAGAGAATGTACCTTTATAAACCATTAATAAGCTATTAAACCTACCTACAGTGGTTACACCAAACAACAAACGCCCACTTTTGCTTCACCTATTTCTATATCAATTGTTCACAATATATTTTTTCTACTCCCGTCTGTAAAATACCTAATTACACACCGATCTAGCGTGCGGAAAGCGTCACTTCACCCCGTGAGTTTCTTGTCCCACGGATCCGAGCCACTTTGGACATTTCAGGTATTTTACCGCACGGGTTTGGGAGCAATCGGATGTTTTCGGAGATATTTCTCATGCCTTGAATTTTGACGTTTGTCAGTTCTGACGTTCATGTCAGTGAATCTATTCGTGTTGTTTTGCGAAAATGCACCCAAAAACTAACGGTCGTAGAAAAAGTATAGTATGCAACACGTTTGGTAAACTTTTTACTCGTTTATTAAACACTCGCTACGCTCATGTCAAATAAACTCGTGAATCAAATGCCGTTTGCCGCACTTATTGCATAATATACTATTATTTCGCGTGCTTGTCATGATATTTTGCTTTTGCTGTGAAATAAACAGCAATAGATTTTACTTGGACATTATTATTAAAATGTCTTAATAGATGTTATAACACTTAAAAAATTGAAAATTTTGTTTTAGTTTCTTCCTTTTTGTGAAGGTATCTCGCAGATTGAAGGATTAAACATACTCTCATATTCTTCAATTTGTATCAAAATTACATCAAACAGGTTGGAATCTAAAGCTTCTGAGCTTGAGTGCATCTTCTAAAACTAACTAACATTTAATATATTTTTTTATTTGCTAAACAAACAGATCTAAAATCATAGATAAATATTATTCTTTGTTTTGCCTTCATTTTAGTGAAATAAAATGCGTTTCAAAAACAGGGTTGAGGTGGGGGTGGGGGTTGTGTTTTTAGGTTATGTTCGCCCAAACCTCCTTTATTCATCTACTACGAGAACGACTTCAAGACTCAAGCTTCATAGTCAGGCGGGCGAAACTCGGAACGACATACAGCGATTTTAGATTAAGAGTTTATCATCTCGTATGTTTGAAAATGGAAGCCCGGAAAACTTTAAACAAATACTAACTAGATACCAATTTTGTTATTCTTTTTCCATTTTTGTTTGAATAACAACAACAACAGCCCAGAAAATTTTAAACAAATAATACTTTGCAGAGCTTTTTACCAGCGATTTTAATATAATGTCACCAAGAGGATCAAAGTTTTCTGAAAATGGCGCAGTGTTCTATGCCCTGCTCTAAACTACCCATTTATGCACCGATCAATCGTGCAGAAAGTTTCTTTTTAAGACATCAGCTTTATGTCTGATTGAAGCGAGTAGAATGCAGTGCGCAGATCCGGCTTAAATACGGATTTTATATGGGTTAAAGTGAATCATTGGGTCCGAATTTTAACAAAGAGTTCGTACAAGTGTCCAGTTAGGAGTTGGTGAAGGTTCGTATTTGCAGAAATAATTTTATGCCCGTTATTAGTTCAAAACCAATTAAATCTGTAGTGTGCACATCTGTCGAAAATGGTTTTTACGGTTTTACGGTTTTAAAGGATTTATAGGGTGAATCGTATATACGTTTTATTGATTAATATATTCTGGTTTTTGTCTTTTGTTTACATGAAAAATATTTGTACAACTTTTTTGAATGTGAGGTCTCTTCACTAATTCCCAGACTGTGGAAAAAACTCAATGATCTGATTATCTACACATTAAGGCACAATGAAAGTTTAGAAAGATTAATAGTTTTCAGATATTCATAATTTAGGAATCAATAATATTTGGCAAACAGTGAAATTTGGTAGAAATTTGGGACTAGATTTCGATATTAATATTTGTTTTAAACATCATGTTAATAAGATGATACCCACTGGATATGGCAATCTAGGAAGGTTATATAAAAATTGCGTTTGTTGTCAAAGTCATTGAAAAGAAGTTTCGAAAAATCGTCGCTGAGCGGGGCAAGTGTGATAGACTATAACCGTAAAAATTGTTGCTCTCGATGTGCCCTATTACACTGTTTAAACCAATTAGCCATCTTTTTTAAGAATTTTGATTTACGGCTCATAATTTACTCTGGAAACGGACAATTTTTCAGGGTCTTTTAGGTTTTTGTCCATTACAGAAAAATCCTGTATATAACTAAAAAAATGCTAGAAATAAAATTTATAGTACTGGATCTTGCGCGTCTGCTGGTTAAAAAATTTTGCCGATCGGAATAATGGTTTTGGAGAAAATAATTTTTTTCTTGAAACTAAAATAACTCCAAAAAAATTTCAATTTTTTTTAGAAAATGCTTTGCGCCACTTGATCGCGAACACCCTGTGCAATCGGTAAAAACTTTAAATGCAAAAGTCTTAGCTGACTACATGAGCTATATTCTGGTGTAACACAAATTGACTTCTAAATCGCAATCATCTAGTTATGATATATTTTCATTAAAAGAGAAACCTCACTGTCAGTTTTTTGCGAATACTGGCCACACAATGTACATTAAAAAAAAGTCTATTACATTGGGTCTTGCGGATCTTTTGATATTCAATTTTTTTTGATCTCGTACACCGTTTTCGAGAAATGATTTCTTTTTAGATCTATGCAAACGCGTTTATTATTTTTTTAATTTCCCGGCCCCGCAACCTCCCCGATTTCAATAGGTTCCGTTAGGGGACCACACGCTATTTGCCTGCCAAATTTGAAGTGGATAGCTTCAAATTTCGGACACTTATCGTTCAAAATTTATAGCCAATTAATACCCTGTCTACAGAGAAGCGGAGTACAGGGAACAGAGAAACAGACAAACAGACAAAAAAAACGTGTTCATCGATTCTTCGAAAGTAACAAGGTTGACTGATTCGTTGGTTTTAAGGTCACTTTAATGTTTCTGATTCTGTATATGGTCAATGTTTGGATTTGTCTGACGTCAACTTAAAGAAATAAGTGACTAACAATGGAAAGTAGGAGTATATTCCTTTCAGTTACTCTACTTTATAATATAATATTGAAAAAAATGTCTCCAGTAACTTTATAGTAAAATTAGCTTTGGTACTGACATAAGCATACTCCGAAGTTAAGATTTTGTGACTATATATCGCCTTCACCAGATTAACTAATCCTCCTTTAAGGAAGTATCTCTTATAATGTCTATAGCATGTACAATGGAGTTCGGAGAGAATTCAAATGCTTAATCATAAACTTATTTAAACGTCCCTATAGAAACTACCTTCTCTAGAACGATTGTGTGTAGCGGGCGACTTTGCGCAGAGCGGGATTTGTTGTTTCTTTTTTCTTTTTTTTTTGTAATGTTTTTATTAGTTTTTTTTTCCTCGCATACTATTTTTATTTCCAACTTTAGAAAACTTTTTCATTTATTGTTTCTTAATATTCAAGTACCTATTTGAATATTACTTTCAGTATCTAGGGGTTGAACTTGAACTTTTTGTAATTATTTTCAACTATTTTTTGCAACCATAAGGCTAAATTTTGTGATACGTTCTGTATTATTTTCTTGCGAAATAAATATTATTATTATTGTTATTATTATTGTTATTATTATTATTATTATTATTATTATTATTATTATTATTATTATTATTATTATTATTATTATTATTCACTGTTTCAAGTCACTTCGGACATTCGATTTTGATGGTCACTGATAGTATTTGGGCGTTTTTCAGTTCTGATGTTCAGATCACATGTCACTCAGTGAATTTATTCTTACTATTTTGCTAAAACGTACCCAAAAACTAACGGTGGGTGTAAAAATTAAAATTATAAACTTCTTCAGACACTCACTTATTAAACACTTGTTCCGGTGCGTTTCGCTTGTGGCTAAACAAACTCATTAAATTACATAATATACTAATAAAAATGCAAAAGTATGCTTTCCTGTCAAAACAATAAATGACGTTGAAACGAACATTTTTGCAATGGATACTTTTACGAAAACTCTATAATAATTAGAATATTATAAGTAAGTTATTAACGCTTATAATGGTACCATTTTCTTGCAGGAATACTTACAATTCATGCAACGTATCGGCATATTCTACAAGAGAATTGCTTTTCAGAACTTCCAGGCCGGCATTCTGGACCGATCTGCAACAAAAAACAAATGCTCATCATAAATGTAGCACGTCATATTGTGCAATAGCGACGAACGATACCTAACCGAAATGCTATAGTTGTGGGAGAGTATTTTTCCATTTTGCTCCCTTTAATAAGTCTTACAACCATTGGTTTTTGTAAACAACTTTTTTTCTCTAAATACCTGACTTGCGCAAAGTGTCACTTTAAGACGCCAATTTTGTTAAATACTGTCGTTTCGATAGTATTTAACAAAATGATGGTATTTTGATGTTTGTTGGTTCTGATGATCACGTTATATGTCACTCGTGCAATCCACATAATAGGACCATATTCACTCTCATTAGTTATTTATCAAAACAGGGTCGCGATTTCTTCTTCATATGTTCGTAATTTTTGTGACAATTTTGCTGAGGGACGCAGTTTTTGATATTTAAACATTTTAAAAAACTAACCAAAACATGTGAAAAATATTTAAGAGGATAATTTTTAGAGCTTCATGTAATAAATCTGGCACCTGCATCATTTTCTTCTTCGATCTAGTTGCAGTACATAGAATAAAATATACTTCGTATCGGAGCCCGATAAAAGGAGATCTAAAATACTTTAATATACTATATTCCCTCCAACACAAATAAAGAGCGGCAATCCATCAGAGCAGAAATATAAAGAAATTCAGATGTCCCAAATAGAATTTATTTACGATTTCAATAATCGGAAAAATAAATCTTGTGGGAAAAATACGTAAAAATTCCAGCTAAAGAAACGCAAAAATTGAAACTTGTTTTAGTTGAAACCTGAAGTACTCTTTCTAAACAGCGCAGCTTTCTCTGCTTTTAATTTTGCCCAATGCAAACTAAAATTAAACTAATTTAAGAAAAACCAAGTAAAAGGCGGAATATTGCAAGACAATTGCAAATTAAAGCAGTCGTAACTTTTAAATTAATACGCATTTTTAATATCCTTATTCGTGAAGGCTAAGTAAGCTTTTGGAAATGTCTTTTATGGTTTAAAATTATGAAATTAATTTTTATAGGTAAATTTTTATTTGTTCGTTTCCACTTTTGTTTTTTAAGAAAAAGGTGTTTAGCTAAATAAATTAATTTAATTTGTTATACCATGATTCCTCGTGCTATAAGTACAACCAAAATAACCTACAAAAAATGCCATTTTCAGGATTATGGAAGTTATATTACATATTAGTTACATTTAAAAATTATTTTCATGTTATACAGATAGTTTCAAAAACCCTAATTGTAAAGAGGTTATTGGCCATAGAACATGGTAACAATAGTTAATACATAATTAAGTTTAAAAAAATAATTATAAGAAATGGGATATAAAATATAATTTATCGCAAGTCCTCCTTGCAAATTTCCTAAATATTTCTTCAGTATATAAAAAATTTAAAACAGATTTGGACATAAAATGCTTAAATGCTGAGTGCACGGTTTAAACATTTTATATTATACACAAAAATAATAAAATGTATTTCTTTGACATCATGCAGAATTACAAACAGAAAGAAACTAATCAATCAAACCATACATTCTTTGGATATCACACAATAGTTTTTTAAGGTTTCACCTTAACCTATTTTTCATTAAAACGTACTTTAAAATACTTACAAAATACTGATATTATTCGGCAAGTTTCGTGGTATATCATTAAAATCTTGACCCTGGCAATGACAGAGATGATCTTCAATGCTTACATCTTCGCAGATGCAGTGCTGCGTTAGGTCGGATGATATTGGCTGATATAACATTTTTCCTCCATAACATATTTGTAACGACTCTAACATAATATATATTCTGAAAAAAAAAGAATGAACTAGATTCAGCAAAGTTAAATACACAGTGAAATCGTGTTTTTTTAGATTTGAAACAACTTTTAAAATCTATCAAGGATCATTTACGATAGATAGCATTTCCTTTTAATTGTTCTTGAAAATATATCATTATTTTCTATTTCACTGGAAAATTAAGTAAAATTAATATTTAATGAAGTTCAAGTTTTGCCCTAGTGAAACTATGTATTAATTATTAACATTTTAATAAAAGAATCAACAGAAACAATTTCAAAAAATGTTAATTGTTGCTTGCTATTGGTGAAGAAGTGATTTGCTTATATTATTTAAGAACCTATGCCCTATTAAATTATATTAGGCAAATCTCTGTATCGAGAATTAAAACAGAACTAAAATTCTATTTCTGCATTGTCAAAAGTAATAAGGATTTGTTAAATTCAATGTTATCTTCTTGACCGCAATTTTTCCAGAGTAATATTCAACAGGTGATATAACATAAATGTCTATGTATAAATAAATAAATAATAAGTAGCTCAAAATGAGCAAAAATATCAAAGCTAATGGTTTTCTTACAGAAAACTTTTTAAAAAATGACCGCGAAAATGACGTCAATAATAAAGAATATTGTTAAAAACTTGCAACTAATATATTGCCTTAAAAAAATAATTCAAATTAAAATATACTGGAAATGTATTTAAAAAATAAAAAATCAAAAACAGATATCAAAACTGATAAAATCTCCACCACTTATTGCTACAAGAAATGAAATTTTTGCCTGAAAAACAACTTAATAAATTGTAATGAAAAGTTTTCGTGAATAGCCCTCTATAATACCAGCGGTAAATATGTATGCAAATTCATATGCATTTTCATCAAAGCATCGCAATGCGCGTTACTCAAAACAGCTAAGCTTAAATATATCCGTAGAATAAAGGAACTTTGTGATATCCAGCGTATCGTCACTTAATGATGTTGAAATTCTACCAAAACTTAATTTCTTTAAATAAAATGTACGTATAGTAACTGAGTATTTACGTCATTTTTAATCGTCTGAGTAATACCCCGCACCCGACACCATCCAACTTCGGAATCTAATAATATATAAGATTAATAATAATGATAATAATAATAATTCCCTCGGCGGCTAACACTTGTGAGTACGGGAGCGGCGGTCCCGAGGTGCCCCAGCTAGCTTCCTCACTTTGTTTCAACTAGTCTTGGGTGAGATCCTCTTCTTCTGTTTTCTGTCTTCTTGGCTTACCTTAGCCAACTCTTGTTTTCTTCCGACCCCAATGCTATTAGGTTTCCGAAGGTTAGTGGTCTCTCTTTTCACAGCTATTTCTTCTGGAACCAGTTCTTAATAAAGACCCGGCGACGAACAGCCTTCTTTTTCTATGGACGGACAAACGAAGAGTACTACGTTTACGGAGCAGGGGAGGGAGACCCCAGTTCCGGTCGGTGTGGTGGGTGTACGGGCAGCCCCCCCCCCTTAACCGTCAGCCAACGACTGTGCAGCGTCTGCGGTGGTGTACCAGACCGAGGCGCAGGAAGGAGCTACTGGACATCCATTTTCTCAGACAGGTGAGAAAGCTAACTTCTTCAGAAAAAGAGACAGGAGAACAAGTGCAAGTAAATTGGAGACCGGAAAGGAGAAACAAGGAAAGAAGGAAGTGTAGATGACCCAGAAAATTGGCAGATCATCGGGGATCCATTTGCAAGGAGAAGTTCACTCGCCAGAATATGGGTCTTCTTCTTAATAAAAAAGAAATTGATACCATGGTCCAGTCTAATGATGACGACGATGTATTTAAACAGAATACCAAAAGGAAACGGGAAGATACTCCCACTTCAAAACAAAGTATGCAAAACAATAGAGGTGTACAAAAAAAAGACCTTATGAAATTATTAAGTTATTGCTCAGACTACACTAGCACAGAAATAAAAAACACTATTAAAGATGTCCATTTCCATGTACAAAATATTATAAGGAAATATAACGAACAAGAAGAGTATCTCAGAGAGTCACTGGATGAAACAAACACACAAAATAAAACGGTAGATGCTGGAGTACAAGTACATTTTAAACCTGAAATGACGAGCAAAAGAGCACAAGTAAGTGTAGGCGATCACAACAGAGAAACAGATCAAATAATAATAACCATAGGAAATAGCAACAAATTTGAAGACCTTTCAGGACTTTTAAATCAAAACTGGGCAGAAGAAGTGTGTAAGAGCACAACTGTAGAAGCAAGAAACCCTATGAAAAACAACCACACGGACGATATAGCGCTAGTAGTGGACCCCGCTGAAAGAGGTAAAAAAGGACTCGCAAAAGCAATAATAAATAACTATCCAGAAATCGAAGAAATACTCAGACAAATTAAACACATGGAATATATGGCAAATATTACAAAAGCTACCACAAGTCGTGGGATCGACGTGGAAAGACGGGGTAAATGACACGAAGGAGTTCTATAAACTAGCTGAAGATTTTAAGAAGCTAGTGTACGAACAGAACAGGAGTAAAATATCAATTGCATTCCCAGAGGGACTTGATAGAAGCCGCTGCAGAAAAGTTCTAGAGTAGCTATTTCACAACGGTGATATAAAAATAAAATGCTTTGTGCCCGGAAAGGCAGATGATCTTATTGAAGAAAAGAACAACCGACCGACATGAAAGAAGAAACTAGGAAACGAAACTGTAACCGTAAAGTCGGCTAGCAATTCATATGAATATTACTGAAAAAGGTAAAACAGCAAGTGGACATTAACAGAATAGGGGTAAAAATTAAAACCATCAGGAAAACTGCTAATGATACCCTAATCTTTACCGTTGGGGGTGGAAACTACATGGCAAGTAACTTAAAAAAAGAGATTCAAGAAAAATACACGACTGCGAGGTCACAACGAAGAAAAACACTATTACGCTCTATTGCAACATCTGAATCTGAAGTCATAGACGCACTAAAAATGAGTACAAACTTAGATGGGAGTAAAATTATAATTAAATCAATGAGACCTGACAAGTACGACCAACTTACTGCAACAGTAGAAATCCCAAGAGAGCCAGCGCTTACACTCATAAAAGCAGAAACAATAAAAATAGGCTGGATTAACTGCAAAATAAATGAAAGGGTAACGGTAATCCGCTGTTTTAACTGCCTAGAACACGGCTACGTAAAACGTGACTGCAAAGCCCCAATCAGGCAAACCGGTGCATGTTTGAACGGTAGAAAGGAGTGGTACAAAGCTAAAGAATGCAAAAATGCACCCCACTGCACGAAATGCAATATAAAAGTAAATCAAATTAGATGCCCTCATTTTAGAAAAGCTGTAGAGGAGTTCAGATGAAGAAGAATGAAATCACTAAGTGACTCGAGAAAGGGAGGGACAGCAAACAATAATGGGCCTTAAATTGCTACAGACAAACCTAGGGCGGGCGCGGGCAGCACATGACTTCGCCAACGCTACTATTAAAGAAAAGGATATCAACAAAAAGACAGAAGTAATAAATGTCTCGTGTAACGAAGGGTACGTGTGCTTTAAATTAAAAGACTGCTGGCTCTACTGTTGCTACATCTCCCCAAACATTGCAATAGAAAGGTATAAAATAGAAGTGGACAAGATAATGAATAACGCTAAGCAAAAAGCTGAAGAATTTATCATCCTAGGTGACATAAACGCAAAGTCGGCCCAATGGCGATCACCCAAAACAGATGCAAGATGAGACTATTGGCTAGAATGGCTCTCTGCACTAAACCTCGTCATACACAACACTGGAGGTACACCCACATTTGTTAGGGGCAAAAGCGAATCATTCATAGATGTAACCTGTTCTACAACCAAAATAGCAAGAGATATCGTCGACTGGAAGGTATTAACAGCTGAAAACCTCAGCGACCGTCAATACATATACTTCGAATTACGTGGAGCAAAGGTGGCCAAAACTATTTACGAAAGAAGAAAAATAGAAATAGACTGGAAAATTTTTAGTGCAATCTGAAAACGCGTCAGACATGGACTACAAACGGACTACAGAGCTGATTAAAAGAGCCTATACAGACAGTTCTATTAAAAAGAGTAGAAACCAATCCCCACTAGTTCCATACTGGTGGAATGCTGACATTCCTTACACAAGAGCCGAATGTATAAATCTGCGTAGAAAAATGAGACTCACTTCGCAAAAAAAAATGCAGAAGAGGAAGAAAAGAAAGATAAAGAGAAAAGAAAGGAGAGAGATGCGCAAATAAATACGTCAAAGAAGAAGCACTGGCAAGCACTGTGCAACGAACTGGAAAACGACGTATGGGGAAATGGGTATAAAATTGTAACGAGGAGCTTGAAAACTTCCACTCCATACGAGCTAGACTTAACGAAGAAAAAAGCCCTAGTTGAGGAGCTGTTCCCGCGCGGAGTCAAAACACCAGCAGTGAGTGGTGTGAAGCCTTTGACCCTAGAAGAACTACACGAGTCTGCGCAGAGCATAAAAAATGGCAGAGCTCCAGGATCAGATGGTATTCCGCCCGAAGCAATTAAGGAGACGGTAAAAGCTGTACCAACACATATTCTAAATGTCCTGAACACGCTGTTAAAAGATAAAATCTTTCCCGAAGAGTAGAAACTCGCAAAAATAGTTTTTATACTGAAAGGGAATAAACCCCTTGAAAGCTTATCGGCATTCAGACCTTTGTGCATTCTGAGTACTATCAGTAAGCTATTTGAAGCAGTCATAAGGACAAGGCTTGAGCAAGAGATCGAAAGAAATATGGATCTTCATGCAAATCAATTTGTTTTCCGTAAAGGAAAATCAACAATCCAAGCATTTGAGCACTGTAATAAAAATAGCGAGAGAATGCACAAAACCGTGGTGTGTGCTTGTAACGCTGGATGTTAAAAATGCATTTAACTCAGCAAACCATGGAGTAATTATACGAGAACTGAAGAACAGACGCATCTCCCAGTACCTGATTAATTTGATCTCCAGTTACCTGGAAAATCGTAAGGTCTAAATAGTAAAAGGTGAAAACATCAACATACGTGCAGGGCTCACAGGGCTCAGTTCTAGGGCCAACACTGTGGAACATAGCCAAGACTTGGCACTAGTGGTGACAGCTGAAAACGAACACGTATTATCAAGAAATACAAACGAATGCCGGAGACGACGCATAAGCTACAGCTGGCCCCGCAAAAAACAGAAATGCTCATCCTAAAATGTAAAAGAAAGAGAGACCACATACCAATCAATCTGGGTGCGGTGGAAATACAACCAAGCAAAACCGTAAAATATCTAGGTATCGCTTTGGATGAACGGCTTAGCTTTAAAAAACATATTGAAAACACAATAAAGAAAAGATCGGGAGGCAAGGCTAACAAGGCTGATGCCAAATATAAGAGGACCTAGTTGAGTCAAGAAAATGGTGTTATGCAGAGTGGTGGAGAGTATTATCCTGTATGGGGCACCCATATGGTATACAGCATTAAAGCATAACAAATCTCCAGGGTCCAGCGAAAAATGCTAATCAGAGTGGCATCAGCATATAGAACCGTCTCGACCGCCGCTTTGCAATTTATAACGGGGACTATGCCCATCGACCTTCTTTCTCAGGACAGGCCATACGTATACGAACAGTTGCTCACAACCTAAAGCACTCAAAGATGACTGCAAAAACAGAAAGCATACAAACCTGGAAACATAGATGGGAAAATAATTATACAAAAGGGCAATGGACTAAAAGACTTATAAACAACATAGAAGACTGGGTAAATTGTGCTTTTCGGCACACTGACTATTATCTAACACAAGCCATCACAGGCCATGTGTGTTTTAGGGCATATGCCAAACAGTTTGGATAGGATACAACTGACACCTGTATATATTGCAATGCAAATACACGGCGTAGAGCATACAATCTTTAAATGTGCGAGATGGAACGTAGTACGAAAAAACACCTACCAAACACTAGGTGGCATAATGGATCCTCGAAATTTAGTTCTCAAAAGGCTAGAAAATGAGGAGCAGTGGAAAACAATACACGATATGATTAAAACCATAATGAGTCAGAAGTAGAAAGAGGAGAGAAAAAACAATATGGCGAGACAACAGATTTAAGAATAATCTCAGAAGACTAGACAATCTACCATCCATGATCATATCAATCAAACACGGACGGTTCCATGGATGCGATGCAGGGTGTAGAAATAGAGAGATTTTAGTGGGTTAGAGGCCCACACTGTTTTGCCCAGATAAAACACGGCAACTCGTGCATGATGCATTTCCTCTTTTAAAAATAATAATAATAATATTAATAATATATAATATAATAATAATAATAATAATAATAATAATAATAATAATAATAATATATTTTATATTAATATAAAATTGAATAATACGTTTTAATAATTTAATTTATTTCTCGTTAGTGCTATTACATGAATTACAAATTATTTTAAATGAAAGTTTTATTTTAAAATTGACTAATTTTATGATATAATATGCTCAAACAAGGCAAAGAAATTTCAGTTTTGTTTAGCACAATTGGAATAGTATAAATATTTTTCATGAACAACAATAATGCACAATGCAATCCGCAAAAATGTCACATTTTTAAAAAATCGACAAAAATACAAACAATTATCATATTTGTAAATACAAAAACTCTAAAATCTTGAGTATAAAACATTCATTAATAACATAAAAATAGAATGTGATTTGCAGTGTTTTATTTAAACAATCACTTATGTCTAGTCGAAACTATTTGACGTCCTAGTCGTACTTGGCGGGAAGTGAATGTACTGCACACTCTACATTTTTTTGTATTGTATTTAAAGCTAAACATAAAGCTGTACATTTATTGTGATGTCAATGGGTAGATACCGGGTATCCCGTTTATTATGGAATGACTTCTTATCTCAGAACCATTAAAAAATATCAAAGAAACCTAAACACAAAAGTTATTTGCATCCACTTATACTAAGATGTTATATTGTCAATATTATGTCAAAAGTGATCGATCTCTTCGACTGAAAAGGTTAGTATTTGGGGTTGTTTCCTTTATATGGGGATATATTTACTGTGTTGATATTTTAAAAATCAATACCAAAAACTAACAATCTTGTTTATAATTCTATCGTATTTAATTTGTAACTTTGACTTTGTAAAAGCTTGCCTATTTCAAAAGGTTGTAAATTTCGAAATATTATCAATAAAATGTTTTTCTCTTGTAAAAATTCTATACGATTTTTATGTATTTGCGTAGTAGCAAAAAAAACATCTAGCACAATAGAAACGTCACCATTTTTGCTTTTTGATAATTTATTATTTGTTTCATGTCGGTTTTCATCTATTTGGATCCTTTTTGGGCAAATGCAAATTTAATTTTAATTTGTTAAACATTCATAGAAATTAAATAAATTTATTGTTGATAACTTTATAAAATTGGCAAACTTATAAAAAAAAATCACCCATTTTTATAATGCGAAAGTACGAAAAAAAAACTTTTAATTAGTTTTTCATTTAAATTTTCAATGTCAATTTTTGAACAACCTATATATAAAACCTTAAATATATAACATGTGCTTTCAGAAAATACAAACATCGTGTATATATAACAATAAAAGTGTAAGTATAACTGGATCCATACAATTTTTGTCTTTCAGTTTTTTTGATATCTTTTCTAGATTCGGAGACAAAGAATCGTCCCATAATAATACTTATTATACTTATTATTTATGTAAAAATTTTAAAACAAAACCAATTTCGTTACAGTCGAAATAATGAAACAATGTTACTAACACGAAAATATCAAAAAACTCATTCTTCCCAAGTAATTTCAGTTAAATCTTAATTTTTTAAATTCTAACTAAACTTAAATATAACATATATTATCTATTTGAGGGGTCAAAAAAACACGTAAATAATTCCATACATATTCATTGCAGAACAACGCAGGAACGACGGTGATTTTCGTGACCCGGAATATAATTCCCAAGAATTCTGCGATTGTTGCAAAGTATACCAAGCGATATCGCAAGTTCAGCGAAGAGCAAAACCCTTATAACGCCTAAATAATTCAAGGGAAAAACTTGCTCCAAGCACGCGATTCAAAAATACCGATTCAAATGTCCTAGGTACCCGCTATAGTCTTACTAGGCTCTACGACTTGCTGCTGCCAATGATAGAAGACCAACTTACAATAACGTAATCACGTCCATCTTGTCACTTTCGAAAGAAACTGTTTTAACGGTTCCTCATTTACTTCGACAAATTTCGAAATCAAAGCTTTCGCGCCCGAGTAAAGCTTTCACGTCGGCATGACGCCTCCGTCTGAAACTAAACGCGAAGATAAAGTTTCACCAAGTTCCGGTTCTCTCCCGGGTTGGTTAAGCACAACAATGATCAACACGCATGCTAATAGCGGATTAGCGGAAAACGAGTAATTCACCGTAAAAGAAGTTTCCCATGCAAGTATTTCAAATTGTTTTATCTTCAATTTGTTTATAGGTATTTAAGTATTTTTGGTTTTGACTAAAGCCCGTTGCAATTTCTACATCTATTTCTGCAAATATTTTTCCTTAAAAATATATAGAAACTTGACAAATCAAATTTGTAGATATTTTTACTGTGAAATAATTTAGAATTTGTGCGTATCTGTTTTCAAAAACTTATTGGTTTAACCACATTGTAAATAATTTAGAAATAACGATAAATGACGAACCTAAATACTTTTATAAAGAAACCCACTTAGTTAGTTAATAAATACGACATTTTTAATAGACTGTGTAATAATATGAAGCTTTACCAGTTACCATTGAGAAGCCATCAAAGTATCAGTGAAATACCCCGCACCTGACACCACCCAACCCCCCAAAATAATGCTGCATCTAATAATTATGTGTTTATACAATATAATAAAATTAGCAACGATTTTTACTGCAAAATAACCAATATTATAATTATTTTAATAACGTTATATTATGTTTTTTTGTATACAACTTACTAAGTTTGTGTAACTTTATAATTGCAAAATATTGAATAAATATTAAAACTGCGATAAATATAAATAAATGAAATATTCAATTGCCGTTAAGAATAGGCAGAAATGAATATACAATGAATTGGTATCTAATTTACCAGTAGGTTGACAAAAAAAATTATAGTCCACTTTGAATTTCGCACAAAAGGGCGTTAGTTATACATGTATCTCCTGTAGTACGAAACTAATTGATTAGAAAACATTATTACGCATCAAATTTAAATATTTAAAATATCGTTGAAATGATCGCCCAGAAACCCTCTTGGGAGAAAATAAAATTGAACTTGATTTCAAATAGAAATAGAAACAGTATATATAATATTATCTACCGGTAATCTTATTTAATTTTTATTTAGGAATGTAAGTACCATCGAAATGACCTTAGAGTTGTTATTGGCGTTTTCCTTGTACGGCTAACGCCATTTCGTTCCATTAAATCGTATATCTAGCGTAAATTAAAACATATTGGACACCGGAGGCTATTTATGTGGCAATCTGTGGATAATGGCTAGACTCAATTTTTAAAAATTAAGGCTTTTCTAGAACTGGCCTCGACTTACAATTTCATTAGTTTTACTATACTTTCACATTTTCACCGATGAAAATCGAATACAACAGGAATAAATAAAAAAACGAGATTAATTGGATAAACTGGAAATCGTAAGGAAAGGAATTATTTGCTTTGTTAACGTATTTCTCCATCCAGGTTTATTAGATGGCATATTCTATTACGTCAGTTTCGTTGCTTAAGAGCGAATATTATCCGATTTTCAATATTATCCACGCAATTAGTTTAGTTAATTTTAGGTAGTGTTGTATTTCAACATTTTGATTGCTCAAAAGTTGAAAGGTACATTTCTTGGTGCGTACTTTAAAAAACTTGGGATGTTTTTTGGATTTGTAAATTTAAATTTAGGACTTGGATCTAAACATGACATAGTTATTAAAATTATTCTTATTCTAAAAAGACATAATTAAATTGTATATCTTCACGTGCGTTCGGGTCTAGGTTATTAGTTCTAACCAGATATACTGCCTGTAATTTGTTTAAATAAAAATTCCCTTCGTAAAATGACATATTCTCACCTATAACCTGAGCCAATTTATCAAATATTCAACACAAGTGGTTATTGTTAATAATTTACTGCTAGAATATCATTGGTATTATTGTCTTAGTAGGCCACCTTTGTAGAAATAAAGTGGGTGATAAGGGTCAAAGTGCAGAGGATGCTAAATGCACACTTTTTGTCCTACGTGTTAATCTCATCCATTCGATTCTTAAATTCGTGAAAATTCGGTTTTAATAGAATTTTTGATCCCGTTATTAGAATGTTGACGTGGTGTTTCAAAATTGAAATTAATCAAAATTACATTGATTTCGATATAACGAGGAACAAGCAATTCAAAATATGCTTTATTCTAGAACCCGCGATTAGTAAAATAAATAATCATTATTAAACCATTATTGATATAATTGATATTGTAAATTTAAATTTATGCCATTGGCGGGTGGGGGAATAGAATAGTATTCTCGTTAGGAAATTTTGTTTCATCTGCTCAAAGATTAATTGCTGCACTACCAGCGGGACATGCAAACCACGGCCAATTAATGGCAACCTGTGTGAAGCATCTCGGGCGGTTATGCAAACCAAGCTACCGTTAATAATTGAGGTTGTTAGATATTTCTACCAAGCTGTAGCTCCTTCAATGGTTAGAAAGTGTAGAATATTTTAACAAGCATCAATTAAATATATACTAGTTTTATTAATTTTAATTCTTATGAGCTTTTTACGTTTACTCAGTTTTACAGTTTAGAATACGAGAAACTTAAAGAAGTGGAAGTGGAACCAAAACTACCTATTGTTTGGAATTAATACTGTCATTTAAATATTTCTTCAAATAATTTTCTTTAGGATTAAAACCCGTGAATAATCAAATCTGTAGAATGTGATACATTATCTGCAATTGTCTGTACGGACTAAAATAAACGGTTATGGTGCCAAATATGTCAGCGTAAATTGGCAACACATTTCACGTGAACATACTGAATTATTTCGTCCCGTTCGGTAAAAATTGGTACGTCGATCGTGCTCCTTTCCACGAAAATAAGTGTCAATAGAAAAAAAAATTGCACCGTAAGTTAAAATTGTGTCAAAGCGATTTCGTCTATATAAACTGCTATATAATCTTTGTTCATATAATTTTCTCAAGTTTTGTTATATGAACGTATATGCATTCAGATTAATTTTTCTCTCAAAAACCACCTGGATAATTTCACACCTAATCGCTAAAAGATTTCGATATAGAAATCTATATAATTTTTTTTAAATAATTTATTGTAATTAATGGTTATCATTATTAATACATTAAAAAATGTATGAATATTCCCGAACATTGCTAAAAAAATTCCGTTACGCACACGTTGTTAAAGTTGAAGTGTCTTTATAAATTATATCCAATTGAGTCGTTAATAATTCCAGCTTGAGTATAATTACGCTAGAATTGCATCTAATGTTTTTGCATAAAAAAGTAAGATGCATTGCTTTTAATTGTCTGCAAATTAAAATATTCAAAATCCATCACTGTACCCTTTTAACGGTGTACTGAAAGAAATATTTTGTGCTTACACAATAAAAATTCATCAGCAGTTTATCAATTTTTACATTTATCACAGGAAAATGGGTTCATCGGAAACTGGATGTTCTGCAACTCCACCAATAAATTTCTCTTGGATAGATGAAAATATATTAGCAGCTTGTGGATGGCCCAGGACTGAAGAAAATTTGGATTTTTTAATAACAATGGGCATTAAACATTTAGTAACGTTGTCGTCGGAATTTATTCCACCACTTGCGAATGTCAGTGGCTTAGAATGGACGTTCATCCCTATTGAAGAATTTGAAGCACCTGTGTTGGATGATATCAGAAAGTTTATAACTATTTGCGAAAAACATCGACAAAAAAATGAGGTACGCATTTTTTTTGCACGTTTATATACACCCGAGACTCAAGCAGGTGTATGTTTCAAAATTATATACGCCGTTTTTTTTAATGTTATTTTATTATTAGTTTACGATCCACCTTATAATTTTCAAAATTTAACACATTTAACACAATTTTCAAAGAAACTTCCACAGACTACTGCAATACTATTTACAAAACCTAAAACCTTTATTGTTTGAGGTGGGAGGAGCTAAAGGAGGGGCATGAACATTGTCTCGGATGACTGATTCGCAGATTGGTAAAAGGTAAAGACGTTGCTCATAGATCTCTATAGATTTTTTTTTTAGATAAAATTTGATGTACGGTTTTGTGATTGTGATCGGCAACTGCTGAAGCGTTTATCACTCGTAATCGTGAGACTCTTTCATATTCTTTGAGCCTAGTAAATATTTTTCGTCCGGTCTTTCCAACGTATTCTTTGCTGCATGTGCATAAAATGCTGTAAATTACTGGTATCTCAAACGGACGGATCGAATATGTTGAGAAATTTTTGGACAAGTTTTAAATCTGATTTTGACGTTATTTCTTGAGAATTTTTGATATGTGGCCATTGATGTTTTGAATATAAGGAAGGACAACAGTGGCAAGTATGGGGTTGTTTTCGGACTCATTGTTTTGGAAAGGTTGTGGTGAAATGTATTTGGTGAATAACTGAACGTTGAATAACTCTAATGTAGAACTTATTATTCCACTGCTGTCACAGAAATTGTGTAAAGAAGCCTTTCTCTAGAACAAGTTACAACATTTAGATTTAAGTATGGTGACAATATTATCTATAGACATTTTGAATCGAATTTCAGGCTGTCGCAGTCCATTGCCGATCTGGCCGAGGAAGAACCGGAGTGATGGTGGCATGTTATTTGGTACACTATTTCGGTATTATTCCACCATCTGCCATTTGTAACGTAAGAATGGCGCGTTCTGGATCTCTTGAAACATACGCCCAAGAAAAAGCAGTCTCACTCTACTATGATTATTTGAGAGTACAAAAATGAAATTGAATAAACCTTTACAATGAAATTGAAAACGTGTAAACAAAAAAAAATAAAATTTTGACACCCTGTAGTCCACAAACTAAATCTATAGATTTGCAGATAAAAAATTGCAATTGCATCACTACTACTCCAATATTATCACTGTTTTTTTTTATTTGCCTTCTTAAGATGATGGCATGCATGTGGACGAAATCTGTAAGACAGTTTTAGTGGAAGATCTACTGACAACAAAATTTCTCTTTATATTTTCAATAGAATTTATTTTTATAAAGTAAAAATACAATAAAAAATAAATAACAAAAAAAAAACAATGGCAACGGGAGGCTGTCAGTTTTGCTGGTTTCATTTTACCAGTATTGAAATCGGAGGAGAAAATCTCCAAACATGGCCAGTTGAAACAAGCGGAACATTTGTAGATGATGTATCAGGAGTATAACATTGCATATCGAGTTTGAACAAACCAGGTGCAAAAAAGATCATGATAAAACTATGGTTCACCTCATCCTTAGGGTGGAGGCATGTCAATCGTCTTCTGAAATAGTGTTTTTTTGGTAATATGTTAGAGATTTGAAATTTAATGGTTTACCTGGTGGATCCTGCAACAGCTAATCGTGTGTCGACGCGATAATTTAAAGTGCCGTTTTCATAATCCTGGTAGAACTGTATTGAGAGCATCAACTGCTTTATTGAAGTTTCTAATCTATTATTAATTGACATTTGAACTGTAACTCGTTGTCCACATTCACACGGCACTTCTTGACCATTGACCATATCTCCATTTATCCTGACTTCTAAAAAAAAAAAAACTTTATTTTCAAATAGTGCCTACTCATATCCATTGAAAATCATGAGTGTAAATGAGTCTCAAACCTTATTTTTTAGTTTCTAAATTTCCAAACAGTCGTTACTAACTTAACTAAAAATATTCAAAATAGATGATAACCATAATATTATATTATATATGATATATTAAAACTAGCTCAAATTGGTATGTTATGGTATCACATTGTTTTCGCCATTACAGCTTGTAATTATGATTCACAGATTGAAAAATTCGTTCCAATTGTTATTGGACGTTCCGCCATTTACTACATTGTTAAAATTGTTACACTTTCGGTAGCTAATAATAGCGGGAACTAGAAAGTAGTCATGATGTCACATGTAAAATTCTAATGAATTGAAAACTGTAAGCTACAAAATTAAAAATCATAATGGTGTAATGTAGATAATTTAGATAACTTCCCCAGTTTCAAAAATGATCACTTACCCCAAGCTAATGGCGATGTTCTTACAATATCCAACATACGAGTATTTAAAGTGATCCCATTGAGTGACGCTGAACCCTTTGAATCTGTTGCTAATAAGTTCCACCTTAAATCCACATGTTTTGCTACATGTTCAGAACATATTCTGCTAATATCTACATCATTTTTTCCTTGCTCAGGGTTGTCGTAAAAATCTGCAACATAGATTTGTTTGTTTTGTTTCTATATTATTTTTTGTCCTAATCTACCCAATAATTTAGAAAATGGACACCTATCAACGGGAACAGGTATTCTACAGCTTTCTTGACTTTCAATGAGCATGTGTTTTGTTGGAGTGTAATGCAATTCCATCTCCTGTGACGTCAGATTTGCCACATCCAAAACCAAATAAAACTGCTCACTTCTAAAATAATTCCTTTACTGTATCGATTTAATGAGTGATTGATTTCAATTAGTTCAGCTCACCCTTCTGCTGGCAAAACATCCCAATTAAGAATATATAGAGAAGGTGTTAATTCCAAAATAAAGAAAACCGCGCTTGTTCTACAGTATTGTGCTTGAAATCCAGCTCCGCCGCTATACCTAAAATAAAGGTATTGTGAAAATCCATGGTTACATTAATGTATAAATTAACGCAGCATATGAATCATACCTTATCTTCAGTTGACTTTCAATTGTCGACGCTGATGGCGGTTGTTGGAATAGAGTTGTTAAACCACCAACTAAGCTTGATTGACCAGAGTTGGAGGAACGCGCACTACCGAAAACATAGTGATGTAAAACTGAGCAGAAGAGAAAACAACAACATAAAACGTTCTTAACAAAGGATGTGGGGCTAGTGAAAATGTAACAATTAATAAAGAATGAATTCAACTCGACTTTTATTATTTTGTTAATTGTTTTATATTCAGTAATTAATATTATGTGACCAAAATAACACAAACTAGTTCTGGAATTTAGCTTAAACAAATTTGAATTCAGAAAATCATTATCTAGTTGTTTAAGAGTTTAAACAATTAATCACAGGAAAAAAACCTAGTCAGGAAATTAAATCATCAGGATAACTTCGAAGGCTGTATCATGTTTTATCATATATACAGGGTTATTTTTTATATTTGCGTAACCATCTACAGGATTAACGCAAGTCACCCAGGAAAACATTTGATACAAAACTTGAACAATGGTTGCTGTATTTTTATACCAACATTCAGTTAGGAAAACATGTTACTCAGAGTTAGTAAAGCTTCAAGTAGCTTGCAATGTATCAAAATTGTTTAATAAAACCAGATTGAAATACTTGTATAATTAACACAGATCAGAATACAAACCTTGAATTTACTTTTGAAAGTGACGAGTTTCCAGGCAAAGATGTAGATATACTACTACTAAACATTCCACTCAATTGGTCATTGGTATTGCTTAAAGCAGTTCCACTAGGTGCCAAAAAATTAGCTAAGCCATACACTGTAACGGTCAACGTGATTGACTGATTGGGAAGAAGCGGTAATTGAGAATTTGTCTCATTCTCATCGAAATAGAAAATTTGCTCTTGTACTGATGGTTCTATTAGACTATTCATTTTGATTTCCATCATTTCAATAGGAATCTGACTAATGTTTGTCAGAGTTATGATACAGTACTCGGTTTCGCCATGGAAGAGACTTAAACTGGCTGACGTCACAATAGTGTCATCATGAAAGTTAGAGAATGAAGCACTTTGAGGCAGTGAAGTTGTCACCTGCAATAAAATTATTTGTAAGCAAACGCCTTAGAGAGTAAAAGCATGTTTTTTGAAAATAGTCCAATATGAATACATACTTCGACTTACAGTTATTCAAAGTTCATTATAAAATTACATATTTGGCAAAATATTCATCCGGTGATTCATGAGTGGTGGAACTATTACTGAACTTGGAAAAACAGACCAAGGAAATTTGGAAGGTGATGGTGAACTTGAACTAATTCAAATAGGGGCTTGGACTCGGGATTCGGTCAGTCTTTAGTCATTAGCAAAATAAAATACAAATTGATTTTGAGATCTACCAAGTACATTCATTCAAAGGTCTGGTTATATTTAGTACAATATCTTTTTAATAAATTTTTGAATATATATAAATTATTTTGAAATAAAATATTTATGTATTTTCAGCACCCTGTATATGGTAAAAGTTGTAACTAGCTAACCTTAAGAACAATGTATAATGGATAATCCGCTTGAGCTATGAACTGAGATTAAGTGTAAATACTTTTTGACTACCACCTAACCTGCAAAATTGGAAGGCCAGGTACAATTTCAACTTTATATTGTGCTGGAAAACTGCCACTCATATGCTTCAACCTAGCATTGGATTTAACTCCTAAGGCGTGTGTGCTATAACCTGATAACTCCAGCTCGCCACTTTCTCTAGCCCAACCGCTTAGGGTCAGAGATGTAGGAACATCTGGAGGTAGAATCATGGTTTCAGGAATTGATTCAAAAACTACACCATTTGTAAGTAATCGCATATTGGAGACCTTTAGTTCAAATGGTAATGTGTTAATTAGTTGAAGTCCTACTTCACAGAGCTCATTTTCGGCCCAGAGAAAATCTGAAATGTAAGTTTAATTAGTGAGCCGTATACTAAAATACTAATTACCAATATTTTTACTTCAATTAGCCAGTTTATTAAGTATTGCTTCAAGAACTTAACCTTGTTAAAAAAAATGAGTTTAAAACAACAATCAAAATTACTTACTCATTTTAGAATTGGCTTTGTTGAGTTTTCTATCCAGGCTTCCACCTCCAAAGTGAATTGGAGTAAATAAAAATGGTCCCATATCTTCTTTTTCTTTTTCTATTTTTCTAGGCCTTAAATGCGGTTTCAAATCTTTAGGAGTAAAACCAGAGCAGAGTGGAATATCAGTAAGATTAGCTGGAGGTATAATAATGCCAGAATCTAAAACTAAAGGTACTGGAGATCCCTCGCATTGAACTGATAGACTTTGTAATTGAATAGCTAATTCTTTTTGTTCTGTAGGACTTAAGTAATTCCACATAGTTTGGAGAAGAAATGTCATGTGGCGGGTAGCTAAAGCTGAATATCCAGCCCTCTTCGCAGCAACTCCGAGCTCCTATATTAAACAAAAAAAAATGTATATACAGGATGTTTCCTAACCTCTAACAAAAACAACAGAATAATTGCCACCTAATTATAATAATTTCCAAATACCGTGTTAAAAAAATTAAATTTGAAGTATTTTCTTTCCCTAGTGGAAACAATATTTGGACACATAATAAGGGATTTTAGTACTTTGGAATTGTTTATGGTATTTTCATAGAAACAGAAATATAAAGGCTATTCGCAACATGACGTTTTAATAAATAATAATGTTTTCCGTATATTTAACAAACCGAAACAACACATACTAAAGATATTTTTGACTACTACTGTAAAAAAAAATATTGAATACAACGTGGGCGCGAACAAATTTCGCACCCTAGTTGTATAAATAACTATAATACTAATAAAGTCGCTTTAATTTTTCTGATATCTCTTGGGGTTTTAGAGTTAAATGGAATTTAATTACTAATGTTACACAAAGTATTAAATTACCTGAGCATTGTTCTCCTTTTTCTTGGTCAGAGAAGTTATGAAATACCCTTTATATAAGTCAGCAAACAATAAAAATAAAAATTTTGAAAATTATTCGGCAGTTTAACATCATTATACAAATTGTAAAGTAATATGTATCCAAAAAGTTTAATTTGAGTTAACAACATGATAACAAAAAAAAAACAATTACCAGCAAGAATGCATTTTAAAAATGTTGGTATTGTTTTTCATTAGTATTTTTCTGTGTGAATGAAAAAAAATTATCTGTTAAAAACAAAACAAATTTGGAATTTTAAAAAATACCTGTAAAATTTGAACTTGTAAGGCAGGCCAGCCTTGGCCAGTAGCACGCATCTCTACTGGGTCTAAAATAAGCTGGTGGCCAGGTAAACTTTGAAGCATAAGAGCATAAAAACGACTCCAGTTGGGGCTTGGATTTTGTGGTGAAACATATCTAAGAATTAAATTTGAATATACAATAGAAACTGTGAATTGAAAGAAAAATACCTGGTTGCAGCTAGTCTCATACAAAATGCAGCTTTTCTATTAAAACCAATTTGGGAGTACAGATCTGCCAATGTCTCAAACCTTTGTATTTTTTCTTGTTCGGATAGTGCTAAATTAATATAAACAACATTCTGCAGAAAACTCGCAACTTTCAAAGCATGGTTTTGTTCAACAGCTATACGTGCAGCTTTGAAACTGGCTTCGGTTTCCACAATTCCTGCATTTTGATATTTACTGTAATGTATAATAGCTTCTCGATACCACTTAGATATTTCATCTGGGGCCAAAAGATTTGGAATATTTTTTCTTAGTATTGGTGTATTTGCTGCTATATCATGACTAGTTTTTCTAGGAGACCCTTCCTGCAAGCTGGCATTTCGATGAAATGAAATGTTTCTCTGCATATTTGGATAAAGAATCAATGCTGATGCAGCACATAATCCCTCATAAGCAGAACCCAACCACAACCAGTCATTTACACTTTTTAAATTCTCTGCAGCACTTGAGTAATATGATAAACTTTCAAGTAAAAATCCTGCTTGTAAACATAAATCACCCAGATGTTTAGTCATTCGTCCTGTGCATCGTTTTTTATTTTGTCTGGACTCCATATCAAGACCAACAAAATCTTTTTTCTCAAAAGGGGCAAGAAGCAATGACACTCTCTCTAGTTTCTCACGGGACCTTTCTAGACGTTTTGATTCCAAAACCCAAAATAAAGCATTAATAAATTCTGTTATTTGACTTTCTAAATCACCACAAGGAGCTGAATCATCACAAAATATTGCCCTAGTTTTAAAATTACTAGGTGTAGTAAATTGTTCATTGACCGAGGGTGATTTGACCTCATGGTCATCAGAACCACTTGAAATATCATTTGGTGACTCACATTCTTTACTTGGTCCAAACAATATACACCTTGAGTCAAATAAAGTTGAGTTGTATTTAACTTTTAAACTTTCATGCACTCTACAAACTTCATTAAGTTCTTGTTGTGAATCATACTTTCCTAAAGAAATCAGTCCCAGCATCCTTCTGTGAGTCTGAAAATCTCCCCAATCATTGTTTTCAACAGGATATTCTTTAACAAATCTTACTAGTATATTTCTAACCTGACCTGTGGAATCTGTTATTTTCACCTTACTCAATTTAGAAATTCTGTCATAAAATTTATTATATGACTTCGGTTTCAATTGAGCACCAATGTGTTTAACTAGAATTAACAGAGCAGCATGATCGTGAGAATATTGTTCATAATCTGGATGAGACATATTTGGTTCACATGTACTATTTGATAAAATGTAACTTACAGATGAACGCATTTGTGCACTCTATGGAATGATAATATCATTGAAAGTATTTGTTGCAGATACGTAATGTTTAATTGTATATATTATTTCAACATTTTTACACTTAACTCTAAACAAATAACTAAACAAAAATCAGCTGATTTTGAAACAGGTTACGTACTTGAAAAATTGACCTTTCCATAGAATATTTCTTTCTTGCATTTTGAAATGTTTGACAAGTTAACAAAGGCCTAAGAATTAAAGGCGCTCGCATATTATTAGGTATTTTTCTGAGCATTCACCTCCGATCAGTATTCAGTATAAAAGTTTTGGTATCGGTCTGAAGTCCAAGTTGAAACAAGATATAGCATATTTGTCGGTCCGTGATCGAAAATTTCTTGGATTGATTTGAATTTACTTTGGTATCTTTGACACCGTTCTCCTCCTCCTTAAGAATTAATACAGTGTCGATCATGGAAATGATCGACACTGTATTTTTTTTTGTATTTATTTAATTGAATTAATTAACTGGTTGCATATCTAAACATTTTCTGACTTCTGCCGAAGAATAATTACACCGATAACAACTTCCTGCAAATCGCAAAAGATATGAAATACTAAAATAAAATTTGCACAGAACAGAAAAATGGACAGCGACGGCGTTAAAGCAGAAAAGTATAGTTTTGGTAAGGTACCGTAGTTTTACTTCCCATCAGCGCTGAGGTTGAGAATTGGATGATTTGACTTTGGAGTACATTTCTGAATAGACTTGAATTTTTGCTTGGTGAATATTTTACTGTTAACAGCGAAGATGATAATTTTTGATTTGTTCTTTTTGTAGAAATTTTTTTTAGTAATGAATATATTTAAACTTTAATTCTTTCATTCACTAACTGAATCAATATTTCAGAAAGCATATAACAAAAATTATCAAAAAACAATCAATTTATTTTCCCTTAGAAAAAACAGTCAAAAAAAGGTGAACTATATGACCCTTTTATAATAACAATACGTGAAATTTGTTTCGAGTTAGATGGGAGATATCGCTGCCATCTTGCTCACTTGGTAGTTTCGAAATTGTGATGTAACTATTCCCTCTTGTTTGGTGACGTTGCAGCTGATTCAATTAAGGTTTATACACCAACCCTTGATGCTGATTATCACTGATTTAAATACATAAATTATATATTTAATATATTGTAAAAATCCGATAAAAAAAATAAGGATCGCCTAAAAAAACTTGTCAATTTCCTTCTTTCAAAGGAGATAAGTTAAATTTTATTTTGAGATAAATTAATTACTTCGGAATCGTTCAATTTGACTTTTTGATTTAGGTTTAAAATACGATAAACAAATTATAAACGCAATAAAATCAAAGCTTATACATACCGATAGCGGGTAAAAAGAATGGGAAGACGTCATAAAACTGTCATGCTTGCTATTCTATGCAAATAAAGGTTTTCTTGTCCTTCGATATCATATGGATACTACGGTAACTAATTTACAGCAGAAACGAAGACGAAGAAGGGAAAAGTGTTAATCACCATAAAAAGATTCGTAATCATTTATAAATAATTGTTACAATATGACCGAACTAAGAAATCGAAAGAAAAGTGATTTTGGTGAAGAATTTATTGAAGGTACATGTTAATCTCTGCGTTGGAAATAAGAGACAATTGGAATTCTAATTGACTTGTATTTAAACTTTGGCCTTAATTACGTTGTAAGATTGATTGTTTCTTCTGAGGATGTAAACTTTAGGCTGTCATCACTTGTTTTTAATGGGCATAGATTGAATACCCTTAATTGTCTAATTTATAGATATCTCCAACTTTAATGAACCTGAGGAGAAGCCACATGCAGTACCAATAATATTAGCCAATGATGACCACACTTTTAAGCTAGATGAAGAAGCTTTAAAAAAAGTATTGTTAAAGGAAGAACTGAAAGACCGCTATGTGGTTGTAGTGTCAGTGGCTGGTGCCTTTCGTCATGGGAAATCATTTTTACTTGACTTTTTCCTTAGATATATGAATGTCAAGGTATTTTGAGTCTTTTTCGGATATATTTTTAAAATATGTACACATTTTAAAAGTGCAATTGTTATCATCTATCATTAATGATAAGAATTCCAAAAAATTGATACCATGTTCGAGTATTGAGTTTTTAAACCAAGAGAATTTAGAACAGGGTAAAATTTTAGTCGAACATTTATTTGTTTAAAGAAAAACAGAAAAAACTGAAATATTTGTAAAGTTTAGTTTCTAGGCCGTGGCTTAGAAACTAAAAAAGAGCTAGTGACCGACCTTCCACCATTATTATAACATTTAAAAAAATCCTGTTTCTAATAAGCCAGAATTTGTTGAAACCCATAATTTATGAAAATTTGAACATTTAAAACAGTGCATTGCAAAATATTATCAGATCTAAAAGTCTGTTTTCAAAAAAAGCCTAATGCAATAAATTTAAATTATTTTTAAATAATCCTATTAGAAATATGATGACAATTTCATTCTTGAAGTTTAATTAAAACTTTTTGATTTAATCAGAAATATTAAATTTTTTATTAAATTAATTCATCATTTAATATAAATAAAGGATTTTTACCTTAAATTCATTGTTTTAAATAAATGGTTTTCTCAAAATTTATGTCTAATTTTTGAAGTATTGGCAAAAAATATTTTTATTTGCCCTGTATTATATATTAAACACTCTAAATCAGGAAAGATGATGACTACATCATAATGATGAGACCAACAAATGCCATAAGAATACTCTTGGTGTCATTGCTAATGTAATCATCTTTCCTGAACTATATTATACATAACTATTCGTATTGTTGGAAAAAGCAATTAATATTCCATTTTGGCAAATTGAGTTAGATATATCAAGTTTAACAACTTTCAGTATGTACAGAAACAAAATTCCTCAAACTGGATAGGATCAGAAGAAACTCCTTTGGAAGGATTTTCTTGGCGAGGTGGATCTGAACGAGATACAACTGGAATTTTGATGTGGTCAGAGGTATTTCTTACAGAACTTACCACTGGTGAAAAGGTAAGATAATGATTTTTCATTTGAGCACATTTTGTTGCGTCTATAGTCTTTTAATCTGAGATGTTGCCAAATTTATAACGAAAAACTTTTTGAGGCTCCACATATTGCCTTCTTTTTTTTTTAAAGAAAGCAAAACTTTCTTTTGCAATCAAACTGTTCATCCATATGATCAGGACAAAGTAATTACATAAGTACACAGCCTTATAATTTTTATATTTTCTAGGTAGCCATTATTCTGTTAGATACACAAGGCACTTGGGACAGTAAAAGTACAGTGAAGGAATGTGCAACAATATTTGCTCTAAGCACAATGATCAGTTCTGTGCAGATTTATAACTTATCCAGTAATATTCAGGAAGATGATTTACAACATTTGCAGGTATAGAAAAAATTAATTCTTCAACAAATTTTTTGAATAGTCACAAATTTTTTTGTAATCCTTGTCAACTTAACAAATTTGCAATGTATCATAATTTGTTTTTTCGGACTTTTGGGGCCATATTTGATCGATCATGGCAGCCATTAAGCTACATTATTTCAATGGTAAAATTAGTTATTGTTATTTTAGCTCTTCACTGAATATGGCAGACTGGCGTTAGCTGATTCGGGCAAGACGCCCTTTCAAAGACTTCAGTTTCTTGTAAGGGACTGGAGATTTCCATATGAAGCACCTTATGGTGCAGTGGGTGGTGCTCAAATTTTGGAGAAGCGCTTAGAAGTTAGCGATCATCAACACTCGGAATTGCAATCTTTAAGGAGACATATACGAGCTTGTTTCTCCGAAATAGCTTGCTTCTTAATGCCCCATCCAGGTATTAAAGTTGCAACAATTCCAACATTTGATGGAAGATTATCAGGTATATTTTGTTAAAAATGCATACTAATGTAACTGTTTTTTTTATTGTACATTATTGAGTACAAAGTATGTCCTAATATTTGATGTAAACAATACAGAACCATTAAAATAATATTTTTTTAATATAATCAATATACTGAGAGCCAAAATTTTAAAACTCAAATTCTATTAATTTTTGTTGTAATCGCGCTCTCCTAATAAATATTAATGTTTTAAATCAATTTGAGAATAGACTTAATTAATTTTAGGCATCGAGTATGTTAAATTTTGAGTGTACTTATTTTGGTGTGTTGCAGAAATTGACCCGGAATTTAAAGATAATCTAAAAATACTTGTACCCATGCTTTTGGGTCCTGACAACTTGGTTTTAAAAAAAATAAATGGCGAGAAAGTTAAAGTGCGAGATTTCGTACAGTATTGTAAATCTTATATGCAAATATATGAAGGCAATGAATTACCCGAACCAAAGTCTATGCTTGTGGTATGTATTTTGTTTAAATATTTCTGCCATTACTTATTCATTTTTTTTTAGGCCACTGCTGAAGCAAATAATTTGGCAGCAGTAGCCGATGCTAAAGACACTTATACTTTGATGATGGAAGATATTTGTGGTGGAGCAAAACCTTATATGAAAACTGAAAGAATGGAATCAGAACACAGGATAGTTAAAGACAAAGCAATACAACAATTTCAAAATAAGAAAAAAATGGGTGGTGAGGAGTTTAGTGCTATGTACAAAGAACAATTGGAAAAGGTAATATTATATTAATTATTAATGTTTTATAAGTTATATTTTATCAATTTGTTCTTTTATTTGAAATGTTCTGCATTGCTTTTAGGATATTGAAGAGACATTCTTACAGTTCAAGGCACACAACGAGAGCAAAAACATATTTAAATCTGCAAGAACACCTGCAGTGTATTTTGCTCTTGCTGTTATATTTTACGTTGCTTCAGGCTTCTTTGGGCTCATTGGATTATATTCACTTGCTAATATTTGCAACATGGGAATGGCAGTTGCGTTCATTACATTGATGACCTGGTCATATGTTAGGTGAGTGTTCACTGCATTTGACAAAATATTCTGAAGAGTGATCTTATCCAAAATGTCATTCCTTCAGATAGATGAACTAAATTGAATAATGATGGAAAAATAATACTCATTATAGACTCTACTATACAGTGTGTGGTTCATAATGGCACCATAGTGTTGGGACGTTGAATTATGGTTTGTAGTTTCTGGACATCAAAAATCAATTTATCGACCACCATCTTCAGATGTTTTTGAATTTAATAACACTTTTAACTTTGCCATAAAAATTTTAACTTTCATTATCTGATATGGGATATAAATATAAATATTCTAATATCTGATCGTCACATGCAAGATTATTTAAACACACTAAGTGAACATCGTTTTAAATCGGCTATTAACAACATAATGAGATGACAAGGTCATATCGAATCATGTATCGATAACATATTTATCAGAACTAACGAAACGCTGTATGAGAGTTTAATATCAGCTATTATGTTTACCGTTTATTACTTCATATCAAATATTGTTACTGTTCCTGAAGGAGTAAAACAGAAAAATAATACTCCAAATAAAGTTACTTATGTGGATAATGCTTTACTGGAAAACTTAGAATTTGAGGAAAGAAACAATATTTACTCCGCTACTGATACTGATAACGCCACAAAAATGTTTGTAAACAAATTAAAACATTATATTGAAAAATGTACTACGGTTGTGAAAAAGAAACATCAAAATAAAAGAAGAGACCCATGGATAACTCGGGCGCTCGTAAACTACGTGAATCACAAAAATAACTTTACCATAAAGTTACTGCCCACTCCTGAAAATATTAAGACTTATAAGAACTATAAAAATAAAAATGACTGCTCTTCACTATGGAAATGCGTAAAAAGTATCACCAAGACAGAGACGTAATTAGCACAATTAAAATTTTTTATGGTCATATTTAAAAACAATTGCCAATAACTTTTGTAGCTATTACTCAGAAATAGGTGAAAAACTAGCACAAAATATAAAATAATAACGAGGTTGGGTAGGTTGATAAAGATATGATACAGTACTGGAAATTAATTTTATCTTTCAAAGATCACAGACCAGGATGTACTAAGAACAATTAATGGCTTAAAAATAATAAAGCTCCTGGGATGGATAGCATTAAATCTGAAATCTTAAGGTTGGTTGGTGACGGAACCTATTATTACACCCCTCTATAAAAATGGATGTAGAGACTATGTGTCAAGTTACAGACGGATTGCACTGGTTTTAAATTTTATGAAAATATTTTAAGGAATATTGAAACAGAAGATGGTAGGTTACTTGGAAAAATATATTTTGTCGAAAAATAAGTATGATTTCAGAGAGAAAATGCTAACATAAACAAATGTCTAGACAAGAAGCTCCATCGCTGTGTATATTTCTTGATCCGGCTAAAGCATACAAACAACTTTTAGCTTGTCTGCACGATAGTGACTTTAGAGGCATTCCTTAACGGTTATTACAAAGTTACTTAAATAATCTAAAACAATGTGTTCAAATTCAAATTGTTACCGTAGGAACTGTACTTGGCCCTATACCCTTAAATATGTATATTAATGGACTTAAGTTTAACATAAAAGGATGGGTTGTGATTTTGTTGACGATACCGCAGTTATCTCTAAATTGTGAAAAAACATTTTTCTTAGCCTTTACATCATATGCCAGAAACATTTGGATAGATCAATTAGAAAAAAATCAAACATGGATCTTAAAAGTGATTTGCAAGAAAACAGTGCTCTTCCAAACACTAGAATTATAAGATTTGGCAAAAGTTCTCGATCAGCGTCAAATATTCTGCCACAATCTGTTAATACATCAACACAAAAATAAACATACTCTTGAAAAAATCAACCATGATTACAATTCAAGGAAAAACTCCAGCATATATAAAATTGTCATTTCTTGAGAAGACTATAGCGTCGTGATGCCACACATACCTTGTTCCAAAATTGTAATAACTGCCTACCTGAAGATATTAAAAAAATAAATTCTTTAAATTTATTAAATAAAAAACACGTAAACTTATGTACCATTTCATAGATTCTCGAAATATGTATTTATTAGTCAATATATAAAAAAATGAATAAAATAATAGGTATAACACCGCAATTAATTTATTCTTTAAATAGATTTTTTTAAATAATTCATTTAACTGTTGATTTTATCTTGTCGGCTCAATTATTATATTGTTTATATCTGCTGGAATATAAGATAAACTTTGTTAGTTAGGTAACAATATGTATCTGTTTAAGATATTTGAATTAATTTGATTATTGGTAATGTATTCCATATTTGAATTCCAGGTACAGCGGGGAAATGAGAGAGGTGGGAAGCTACATTGATGAAACAGCAAATTTCATATGGGAAAACGTAAGTCGGAAAAATATCGTTGATTTGGCAATTAACAATTACTTTGTGCTTAATGCTTGTATTCATATAACTATTTCTACTAATTATTTAACGTTTATTCCTTCTAGCGATCCTATTTTAAAAAACGAAAACTGAGAAAACGACGTATGTATGGACAACATTATATCGCATGGTGCCTTAATCTCTTTTCATTGCTTCGGTAACAGAAGCCAATTTCTTAATTTGCTTAATTTCGGTTCCTAATATGCACTCCATGCAAGGTATCCCACGATTTTCTTAATTCGCAAGCTTTAGAAGTTGAAGTTTAGGGTATTAATGTATCTAGTTTGTAATACCTTTTAAAAAATTCTGGAGCGAGTTGGAAAAATCGTGAAACACCTTGTAAAATAAAGCACACATTATATAATTTTCACTACACTCCTGTCCATTTAGGTAGGCATGTATGATTTTTGTTTCGTTGTTGATATTGCTATTTTCTTTACCTTAGTCCGAGAATTTTCATTGGTGGCCGAAATACAAATATTTGATTGCGGCATTAATTAAAAAATACATACAGTCTGTCCACCTTGGGGATATTGGAACCTATAAGAGATATGAAGATGGTTAATATACAACAAAGGTTGCAAAATTTAAAATAACGTGCTGTTACGAAAACAAAAAAAAATCCCGTCACTTCCGAAGATACTCCAAAAAAACCGAAATTTGCCGATTTCGTTTTTTTTTGTGTTATTTAAAGGTACATAATAAATAAAGATCACTTTCTCTTTACCACTTTGTGAACTTTATAAGATAGCGTTGAGAAATTTTAAGTACAACGTTTCTCCAAATAATCGAGTGGAGTGAGGTCCGGTGGTCCCGATAGGTACTCACGTACGAGGGGAGCGGTTTAAACACAGTTTTTAACTTATGCAAAGCGTCACTGCCGTGCTCCAGGAGGTAAGTGTAGTTCAAAAATCTCAACTCACATATTAAACCCAAAACGATGTTGATGTCTTGATATTCGGTGTACTCGAGGATTATCTTTTGCCCAATAATGAGCATTTCGCCGATTAAAAATTCTTTCTGTCCGACCAGATAACCTTATGGGGAAAATTTTAATCTCTCTAATACTTCCTATTATATCATTCGCAAAATGTTCTTTCTTCGCGCTTGACAAATTCTAAATTTGAACGGGTGAAATTATTGTTTTCTCAAAATGAAATGAGCCAGCAGGTTTCACAATTCCACTTGTACGTTCTATTTTGCAAACAGATGTTTCCGGGTTTTAAATTACAGCTTACAATATATTATTTACTTTTTCTTCATTGTAGAGTTTAGTAGTAGATAAAATTGATTTCATAAACGCATCATACTGCTTAAAATTTATAGTTAATCTTCCAAAAAAAATTGCACTCTGCTACCTTCTGTCTAAGTAGTTCAACGGCGTTGGTATAGCAAAAAAGAACCAACAGCAAAAAGACGTAACAACAACGTTAAAAAACATGTACCAATATGTCAACAAATTATTTTGACATACCATACCCATACATTTAATAAAAACCCTCATCATATTGTGTTGTATAGCGTTGTGATCTTAAAAAAAGCTATTTGATCTTTTCACTGCCCATATGAAAAAGTAAAATTGTTGATAATTTCGCCGAAACAGAACGTCGTACTCAAAATCTCTCACCTCTCTCTTGTAGAGCTGAAAAAGTGGTAACGAGACAGTGCCCTTCCATCTTCGCATTTTTTATGGTTTCCAATACCCCAGGATAGACGTACTTATTTAAGAAATACTGTATACAGGATGATTCACATCGAGTGCCCCATCAAACTTCTGGAAATCTAGAGAAAAAAAAACACATTTGGCATGCGACGATAATAGGTGGTTCGTTGTTTCGAAAATATGGAACAGAAAAGTTCCGTCTGTTAGCCTCCTAGAACTTTTAATAGATCATCGGGCGCCATCACTATAACAAGAAATGCTGTGATAAAATAGTTAGGGTGTGCATTTATATAAAATTTAAAAAAAAAATCGTTTTCAGAAGTATCACTTTTTATATGATTAAAAATTGTAGTTGTTACTAAAGTGCACAATCGTGCTGATCTAAGAACGATCATTTAAATCTTTTATACTTAAACGGTTAGACTTAATAAGGTGCGTTCGATTGGCATAGCAGCGTAAATGTTGACATTACGGTTTAGACAGTTAAAGACAGCAAACGCTCTGTGCGTGATGATTGCATTTAGTTTCTTAAGATTCATTTTTGATAATGTAATATCGCAAAAAACTCAAAAACAATTACAGTGACACATAAACATGTCGCCACGCTTTGATGGTACTGAGGATTAGTTATAAATAAAGCAGATATGGTACATTATTACATTATTGCACCACCCTGTATATTTCTAAATTTTTATCTGAGTGCCTTTGAATTCTTAATATTAAGCTAAGTAGTGTTTATTATAATTGCCCAAACTGCGCATTATTTTCAATATATTAAAAACAATGAGGAGAAATGCTCGCTTTAAACGTTAAAAAGAGTTAGAAATTTCGACTCGTTTGCTGTAGATTGGATGGGATTGTTGGTTTGCTTTACTCTTTGATTGTCACGCTTTGGTATAAAATATGTAGATATCACTTCAATAGAGCTCACATTTTATATAACTACTTTAATTGAAATGTTTTGTTTCAGTTAATGAAAACGGTTGTCCAAGGGTTCGTCGAAAACGGTATGCAGCAAATGGCTGTAGAAGTAGCTGAAAGGACAGCATTAAATGCCACCCGAATAGCGGTGAACAATGGAATGAAAAAACATTCATGATTTCCCCTTAAATCCAAGACATGTCTCCATTATAATGCTTGAATATAGTTTCAAAAATTAATTTGTGAAGATTTCTTCAACTTGTATATAAATCTATTCGGTTTGAGTGTTTTTATTAATTAACATTGTAATTTTATTTGTAGGCAATGCATAGCCAACACTTGCAATTACCGCTGGCTTCTTGTCAAAACTACTAAAATTACCCTACCTATAAAACCGTGGTACGCAATGATTTAATTCTATTCATATTAAAAAGAAGGCAGTGGATATCGCACTGATGGTGTCGCCTGCAAATGATCCTAGAAAAATAATCAAGCGGAAATACAAAATAAAAATGCACAAACCGTAAACTGAAGGACCTTTATAAAATGGATTGTTATGGGGTGTAATTACCAAACTTTAGGGAACTTCATCTTTGTAATTCATTCAATCGTTGTGGGGCTTATTGTACATACATAGGTGAAGTTTGACATGGATCTTTATGTGATATATAATAGCAATGTTCGTATTATTGAATATTTTATTTATTTATTTTTGCTACATAAAACAGTTTTTATATTTGGCTTATCTTTATGGCATTTATTTAATTATTGTACCTAATTATTTGTAAATTTATGTGTACCTTTAGCAACCACATTTTTGCCAATATTGTAAGTGCATATCACTGTGATAATAATTAGAAACCTTTTTTTTTTCAATGAATGATTAATCTTGAATGAAGGCTGTTCCTTAAACAAAAATGTATCAAGAAGAATTTCAATCGAATCTATTAAAATATAGGTAATAACTGACCATGAATGGCTAATGGGGATGAATTAACATTGACATCATAAAAGAAACCATTGGCAAGTTGGAATTAACCAAAAAGATATTCCTCAAATTAAACAACTAATTTTGAAAATTGATTTCTCTTCAGGTAAGGTATAATAAAACGACAAATCTCCTTGATGCATTATTTGTTACAAAATTAAACTCCGCACTTACATCTTACGTCTTTTAAATAATATAATTCCTCTTTCAGGTAAGATTGGAATTAATGAGATATCCCTCTGTGCTCCTATCCCAATCCGTTCTAAAGAAGTTTTATATATTTTTTAGATTATCTGTTCTTTTAAAACATTTGTACATTTCAAATAATTTGTGTTATGGTTTTTATTTGTGCATTTTAATTTGGTTAGTTTTAGGGGACTTCTTAGCTCACTAATAATGATTGTTATATATAATTTGTTTAGCATTGGGCCTTTGCTCAGCGGGTCAAAATTGGGTGCCATTGTTCGCCGTTTTTTTTTTGTTTTTTGTAAGTTCTTTTTTTTATCCAGAGATTTATTCATATGTATCTAAAAGATGATGCCTGGAAACAAAAAAAATATAAATATGTTTACACCATTCAACTGTGTTAAGATTTCAGGGAAAATATTTCTTGAAACGCTTGCAGGCTGTTCCGGGTTATAGTCTAGAAATCAGCTGGCATTTTTGACCATGATCAGTAAGAACTCTAAATGTTTTTCGATAGTTCACTGAGTCATCATAAAATGGGAAAAATGGATATGAACCTCAGCATTTGCGGTGGGTGTAGCCGCGGCGGACGCCCACACACGTACAATAACTATTTAAGAAAAAACAATATGCAGAAAGCTGATACTTTTTTATACGTTAATCATATTGTATATAGTTGTAAAAAATAGCCAGCTGACTGTACCATGGTGTATTATATGTCAGCTTGCAGCGTGAAATACAACAATATCAAGAAGCTGAAATTTGGCGATAGTTAGTTTTAATTAGTTCATGAGCGTTATGGAAAAAATAGTCCGCTGAATTTATCGTGGTGTAAAAGTGCTCGGCTGGCAATCAGAAGTTACATTTTATTGCTTCAAGCACTGGTGCGTGATATATTTAATTCAATCGCAAAAATTGCGCGAATAATATTTTTCAGATAACTGATAATTTATCATATTATATTTGCAATATATTTTTTAAAATCGTAATTAATTTCTGTTTTAACAGATAATTAAAAAATACTGTTCGCGGTTACTGTGCATCAGTGGAATTGTGCTATGATTTACGATCGTAATATGGATGAGTTCAAGCATCTAGCATCGTACTAAATATTACTTATATTTCGGACTGTTAAAATTATTACTTATGTGTTGATGTAAAAAAATTTAAAGTTTTGGTTAGTTTTGTTTGTCCGTTTTAAAATACTGTAGACATATTAACTTTGACGATTTCTATAAAGCTAATGTAGCTAACTATTTCTTTATAAAATTTCAGTTTTCTTGATATTTATTTACGTAATATGGTTCACATGTTTTCACAGTCGGCTGACTATTTTCTTTAGAACTACATAAGAAAAGTATCAGCTGTCTTGATATTGATATTTTTTTTAATATTTCATTTACTGTCAATACGAAATGAACAAAAGTAGAAAATCTCAACCTTTTTCCCCATAATGACCCAAAAATTGCAGCTGTCTCCCGGACTATTGGTTTACGTTTTTACTTTTTTTTTACTGCGTCCTAATAACAGCCACGAATATTGGGCCGAACGACCAGCACATCTTCGGGCCATTTATTTGGTGTTTTATGGATCAGTTTTAATAAAGGCTTCTTCGGTAAACTTTATATTATCAACGGCGAAGTTTTCGGGACTAAAATTTGATTAGAATACAGCATACGACACAGATTTGAATTAAACAACTGCTAATTTTGACTATCGTATTTACATCTAAATACTGCATGGACCACATTTCTGACCTGATATCCTTAATGCTATTTTGCTCTCTATAAATGATTTAATTTAAAACATATTTTAATATAACTGAAGATGAAAAGGTGGGCAACTAAATTTAACTAATTCTTTAGTGATGGTATCGTTATACGGCCAAATGTTGTTAAAACTGTTTATAAATTATTCTATTTTGCAACGATAAATTGTGGCGAGAATATTTTTAAATAAACATGGGTCTGTAAGGTTATAGCGTAAGATTACTAATTTACTTTCACACCCAAGTGCCTCCTAACTAGTAGTTAGTATCTCATAAGTTTGTCTTTTGTAATTTAGTTATGTTGAATTGTTTATTTGTTAATTATTTGTATTACATGGTGTTAGTCAAAAATAATGCAGGAAAATAAGGGTAAAGATAATAATGATTTTCATGAATTGCGATATATATATATATATATATATATATATATATATATATATATATATATATATATATATATATATATATATATATATATATATATATATATATATATATATCCGGTAAGTGAAAAAGATTTAAGCTACCCTTATTATTTTGTAGCAGCAATTATAATTTTTAGATTATTAAATAAAGTTTGCTAATGGTAATCACTTTTACATGAATGCTTAAATATTAAGGACAAACAAAATTAAACAATTAATTAAAAAACAACTGTAACCTCAAATAGATCTTCAAAGATTTTTTGGTCGGTAATCCACGAATCTCAACAATCAATTTTTACACCTTCAAATTGCATTATGAGATCATGAAAAGCATAATATAGCGTAAATCCTGCAATTTGTATTTGGTTGAGCAGTTTTTTAAAATATTGTTTCAAATATACGAGTTTTTGGTATTTTCAAAAATACCAGTGGTGTGTATTGTATTAATAATGTCTATTATTTTATGGAAGGAAAGAATCAATCCTGTTTTTTGCACATCCACTTTATTTTAAACAGGGTACAAACCTCATTTGCCTCGGTTTTCAAAATTATTTTTAAAAAAATACAGGTAAGTGACTGTTACATACGTAATTCAGAAATTGTTTATACTCTAACATGTAAGAACTTGCAAGAATTATTATTTTAACAAATGCTCAAAGGGGTGTCCATTATTCTTGCTGTGTTTTATGTACACTTGCTTGCAGGTGGTAGGCACTGATTCAGCAGAAATACTAAAAGGATGTCGAACTTCCATTGTCTTTATATTTAACTTACACAGTTCCGTTATCAAGTGTAAACTGTTACACTTGATAACGGGTAGTGATACAACTATCCGAAACGTTGTGTAAGTTAAAAATAAAGATAATGGAAGTTCAACATCCTTTTAGTATTTCTTCTGGATAACATATTTTGCGGTATGGAATGAAAGGCACCCTGAGGTGTCCTTGGCGGTATATTGTAAATATTTTTCCCAAACTCTTCATTTTTCGTAAAAAAAAAAGATGAATGTGGTGTGTATTTGTTTCTTATCTTATATGACAAACATGTATTTGTTTTTGATACTGGATTGAGTACTTAAGGTTTTATAAGAAATTGTTCCTTTTAGTAAAAGTTGTTTAAGTAAATAATTGTACTATAATCGACTAGGTATAGTAAAGGTCAACCATGAAATGATGACCATTCATAAAATTAGATTTATAAAGCTGTTGTCTCTTCACAAGAGTTGACAAATCAAATTAATAAGTACTTGCTGGAATGAAGATAATGGAGCCAATCTTTTAGAACTATTGAGGGGAAAACAGAGCAGTGTGCAAAAAAAAAGAAGTTTCCAATGTTGAATCCAAATATGTATGTCATAAACAATCATTCGCCAAAGATTCAAAAAAATGTACAGTTCAGGTCAGCTGTGACATCCCATTGATGGACACCAATGAATGAATAAGTTGTGGAATCCAGTTGATTAGAACCTTCATTTCTATTTTAAGGTCTACAATGTCTGATTGCAATAACAATACTACATATTAATGTAGCTAGTAGCTAGTAGAGCTAAGGTATAACTTATAATTCGTAACTTTCAATTAAATAATCAACATCAACCTTGGACTTATTTTCAGTTTCTCTTATTCCAATAATAAGTTTCCACAAATCTGAAATAATAATATTTTATTATAATGAAAATTCATACATTACACTTACTTCTTTTATCAGTCGAATTCATAAACATCACTAGTGCCGAAAATCTCTTCACTCTGGTGAAATTAACTAAATATTCATAAGTTTCATCCTTTTGTTTAAAAAATTCTGTGGCTAGTAGGTTTAATATACTGCTAAAAACGTTACTATCCAGCGATTCTTTAAAAATATCTGGTATATCTGTCGGTTTTATCCGTTTTAAAAAGATATATTGTTCTGAAGGACTCCTTAAATTTCTCCATGCACTATAAAATTGCACTGAATTTTTGGGATTGTCTAAGTGTTCTACTAGGTTTTTTCCCGAATTTGTTAAAGAGATATTGCAAGTATTTTTTATATCCTTTAAATTTTCTGAATCTTTTCGTTCAATGACTTTTAGGTCATCACTTTTAAGGGATACGTAATCTTGGTTGGATTGAGGCCTTACTTCAGAAGTTTTAACATTTTGCTCACTTGTACCTTGCTCTCTCTTTCTTTTAAACATTGACCTCTTCTCTTTTATAGTTTCAACATCAAATATCATAGTCTTTTCAATAATTTCATGCTTTATTGGAGAATCATGATCAATTAATGTAGGCATTATTTTTTCGATCTTTTGACCATCATGATTTTCATTTTTATCATACTCTTTGATTTCATCGATTTGTACTCTCTTTAAAGGTTTTGTTGATCTCAAATGAGGAGGTTTACTAACAGGATTAATCAATATTATATCATCGAAATGGGGCCATGATCCATGGGCACATTTTGTTTGTAATTTAGAGATATTCTCAATTTTAGATTGTTCTTGCTCTGTTTTTGTGATATCATCAGGAGTGTTAGAGTTTTCAAGATTAGAGGAACCTGATTTAAAATTCTGCTGAATCTTGTTACGAGACGCTGAGAACTTTGAAACTGGACGTTGCTCTGAAGACTGAAAATGTAGAAAAAAAATCATGTCACATATTTCGAAATGATATTCCAACTTCAATTTGAAAGCAAACTGGCCAAAAATGTAATAAACTTTTAATTTGAATTTCAGGAATCCTAATAAAATTTTACGCCATGTTCAATTGTTTTTTCGGTGCAACCACTTTAATCAGCTATAAAAATACTGCAACTTCACTAATTTAACAGTTCTCATAGCTTCAATAGATGATGAAGTTAGCCGTAATGCCGACTTGAGTTGTCCGCAATGTATACATACTCACCTCCTTTCTGTATCTAATACTGACATGATTAGAACTTACTGTTTCCTCGAATTTGCCAAACTTTTTCTTTATTCTTTCAAGAACTTGTTTTGTCTCGTTGTTTTTGGGTTCCAACAATAAAACATTTTCGAGATCAACTTTAGCTTCCCCAAATTTATTTAGCTTTTCCCTAGCTGCTGCTCGCCTTTGTAAAGCTTTCACGTATGTTTTATCCAGTTTTAATGAAAATGTGCAATCATCTTCAGCTTTAATATATCTGCAATCATAAACCGTGTTTAACTCTTAACTTACATTTTCAGGCGTATATAATAATAAGGAATTTATTTACGATAATCATGTTTGTGCCTTTGGTCCTACAAATTTGTAGGCAGATCATTGACCATCATCAAGGATTGTTTTTTTTTGGAGAATTTTGTCAATCAATCAATAGGTTTGTGCAAAATTTGGAACAATTTGTTTGTGTTGCACCCAGAAGGCGTTTCAGCGTAGGAAGGGTTAATAGAGACGAAAACTTTTTATCTTCAGAGATGAAAACATCATTGCAATATTGGACTGTCATTATCTAACACACGTTAGAGATTCTAAGGAAAGGAGCTCAATTTTTATCTTATGAGGTATCTACCAATGTTACAAACATAATTACATAAAATAGGGATAAAGGTGCAAAAATGTACTCATTAGGAATATCATTAGAGAGATATTTTGTATTTTTCATTACCTAACATTTAAATTGACATTCTATTGAATTGATTTTGAAACAAATCTCTCAGTAATTTTTGCGCCTGTCTTATGATGGTGACAAAGATAAATTGCCGCCTAGACTCTCCATAAATAAAAGGTAAAGTTTTGGAGTGGAACCGTGTTCCAAATTTCAATAGCTACTAAACCATGCCTAGCCGAGCGTCATTTCACAATCCCAACAAAATGTACTTTTTACTAGATTCTCTGTTTCATTTTTGTTTGTTTTCAAAAACAATCAAAATAATCTTATAAATTAGGTTAGATGGTTTTCATTTCGATACTTACTGCTCTATTTTCAAATAGCACAGTGCTCTATTTGCATAGAATACAGGATCATATGCAAAAGCTTTTATTGCTGATGTGTAACACAGAATTGCTTGATCCCACTTTTTGTCCTGAACAAATTTGTTTCCCTAAAATACACAGTGCAAAATACATAATGATTACAAGTGTTCTGGTTAGTGTAATTAAGATTAACTTTTTGACATCTTTTTCATTCACTGTAAGTTTTCATAAATTTAAATTGCCTTTTACCTATATATTTAGATGCAAATTAAAATAAAATGATAATCCACTTGTGCATCTAAAACAGATCGGACAATTTTTTTTTCTTTGATATTTTGAAAAATATTTTGAAAATCGTTTGATATTAATTGGTAATTTTTAAAAATGCTGCTTGCTGCAGCAGAGCTAAAGTTGAAGGAAAGTATATTGTTTGTAGTTGGGATTATTTATTTTTCTTTGCAAAAATAAAATATTAATGTACATATCTAGACTTATATTTATAGGTAATACAAAAAAATTGTTGTGATTACCTTTTCTTTCTGAACCAGTGCTTCATCTCGCGCCTTATTATCAATTTCATCGGACAATTCAGATTCATCTTCTACATCACCATCTAAACGATTTAATTCAGCCTCAACATCAAATTTTTCCCATGAGTTATAATCAGTTGCACCAGTTTTGCATCGATTTTTGTTAAAGGATTTGATAACTGATTTCCTTTGTTTCTCACTACTAGGATCCTGTGGAATTTATTTACTATTTACTATTAAAAATCAAAATGGATGTATTTTAATAATAATCAACTCGACAATAAACAACCGCAAAACACAGCGGGCCCCACACTGTGTGTGGCGACTGGCCACTGGCCTGCTATTCATTTTTTTTTTTTGGTTCTATATGAGAGATAGAAGGAGATAATTTTGCGTTCAAATTAACAGTGACAAGACAAAAAAAATGCTTAACTCTGGAAATTTCCTTGGAACAAAGGTATTTACGTTTAGTTTTGAATAAATAAAATAGTGCACAAATTGGAAACCTGTTTATGTGTGAGGGAGATTTCCTTTCGTTTCATTTCATTGCCCCAACTCTTTAAATCTCTGGAATATTCCGCTAAATCGGCTGCATTATCTCGAAGTTGTTTTTGTAAAATGTTTAGATCCATTACTTCAGAAAACTTTTGCTTTAAAATTTTAATTGCAAACTTCAGCCTGTTTTTGGTTAGTTACAACAGAGTCAACAATGTTTTTCTAGATTGGTATGCGATATCCATGGAAACAATATATTCTTTGGTGGGATTCTGTCGGGGGCATTGTAGATAGCGCCTTAACCTCCGTTCGCTCAAGACAGAATCCCTTGCATTCGTCCCTAAAAGTTTGAAATCGGTCTCCACTCAATAGATTTGGTGTTTGTGGTGTTGAGTGCATGTTATGAGTTATTGTCGTATAGAAAAACGGTATATATTTTTTCTAAAATATTCTTCAGATTCATATTCAGATACAAATATTAAATTTTTAATGCTACTTCATTGTAGTATATTTCAAAAAAAATTCGTTGGCTTACATCCAATATTTTTTTATAAACTGTTTTTCGAAAAATAGAAAATATTTTTTTTAGATACGTTCCGGTCTATGTGCAGCGATTGTGTTGATACCGCTAACGTATAATCACAAGCCATATTTCATCAAAATTTGAATAAAACAACTTGGAGGTTAGGGGTTGAAATAAGCAAAAAACGGATTTTAGGGAAACAAAAATTATTTTTTGTAGATATGTTCCGGTCTATGTGCAGCGATTACGCTGACACCACAAACGCATAATCACAAAAGGGATATTTCATCAAAATTTGAATTAAGCAAGTTCAGTTTTAGGGGTCGAAATAAGCCAAAAACAGATTTTGTGGAAAGACAAAATATTTTGTTTTTGATACGTTCCGGTCTATGTGCAGCTATTGTGTTGATTTTACTAACGTATAATCACAAGGGATATTTCTTCAAAATTTGAATAAAGCAACTTGGGGATTAGGGGTTGAAATAAGCAAAAAAGGGATTCCGGTGAAACAGAAAATATTTACGTTACATTGATATTGTTGATATCGTTGTTCGTTATTTCTTAAATCAAAGTTGAAATATGTTACACAATATATATGCAAAAAATACTGTTCTCAAAAATACCATACGAGACTGCCCAGTTTTAGAAATGATTTCTTCTTAGCACTATTCAAAAACTATATCAAGATTTTTGGAATTATTTCTAATTTTTTGCACTAAAACCAGTAGTTGGCCTTTTTTTAATCACGTGATAACGGACTTGAGTTTCGCTAATTTACATGCGTTTGACAATATATCACTAGTCGAATATTTAAATCTAACTTTCGACGCTATTGTTAAAAAATCAATATTAAAAAAGAATTTTATCATTATTCGTGTTTGTTGTTCGAATTTTGTTAAAAAATATATGTAAATTAGTTTATGAAAACTGCGTTTCTGTAGATAACCAAGAAAATGTTAATAAAAGAAGTATTAATTATGGGAACTAATCTTCAATCACTGGAAGATGCTAAAGTTTGGGTATCGAATATATGTATCCTCTTTTTAAACAAATATCGAAGCCAACACACGAACCAAGCATTAAATACACTGTAAATTTTTTTTGCGCTTAATGAGTTGCAACTATCTACAGAACAACATATATCTGACAACTTTGTAGATAATTCAACTGAACAAGAAATAAAAAGTCTAAAATATTTCAGTCCCTTGTACACACATATTTGTCAAACATCATTTATTCCGTAAAAACATCGGAACAACGGGAAGACCATAATCCCCTTAATAACAGAGAATTGTTGATTATATTTCTAGAAAGATATATGGCGTTTTATTCCCTTTGGTCTAAATTAATGTGGTCTTATTTAAAAAGAGGAAAACATTTAAAATGTTCTAATTTCATCAGAAAATCGAGATAACATGTTTTGAAAACTTCGCGAGAGTGTAGTTTAAATTTTAAAAAGGTGGATTAACGACCCTGGCAATAAATGAAAACGTCTAGGAACTAAAATATGGAGTACCGCAAATGTTCCCGCTTTGCGGATGACACGACCTTTGTTACCTCCAACGGCGCATTGAAACTTTGTCCGACACCTCAAATGCTGCTTTAGATCTAGCTGAAAGATGATTCCGTGTCAATAATCTTCTCTTAAATAAAGATAAAACCCAAATTTTGAAAATACTGACTAACTCAAGGTTAGCGGTAGGTAACAGTGTTAAGCTGTTGAGTCTCATTTAGATGACAATCAACTCTCTAAAGCTTTATTTAGTCTGATATTTTTAATAAGTCTGCAATCGTATATAAACTTCCCCACCCTTAAAACATGTTATTTTGCGCGGTTTCATTCAAAAATTTCTTATGCTGTTCCATTGTGCAATGTGTAATGAAAAAATATCTGGTTGTTCATTGCTTCTATTCCGTTCAGGATACCTTGAGAGCAATTTCATTTTCGACAGAAATAATTAAGCCCTATCCACGTTTGTCTTTTTTTTTTATGCTAATATTTATTTCAATAATTCTGTATTCATATGTGAAGGAAGAATTTAATTGTTGTATATTTAAATTGTTTTGACTTTGTCTTGATATATTACCTTACCTAAACTTGTAAAAGTTCCTGGTAAATAAAGTTCTATTTCTATTTCAATTTCTATTGAACACAAAATTACACACCATTTACATCTCTTCTTAACTCCTAGACAAAATGTTCATTAAATATTAATGTATGTATATATTAAACGACATCCAAAGATGTCATTTTGTTATTGTTTCACTAATCATTTTTCTCATAATATCATTCATTCTATGCTGTGCGTTTCGCAAATTTTGTTTAACATTTGCTAAGTGCTCTGCACAAGCCTTGTTTTGAGGTTCAATATCCAAAACTTTTGTTAACATTTCATCTGCCTTTTCAAAGTTTTTGTCATTTTCATAAGCTACACCTAGTTTATATAGGGCTTTTACATTATTATCATCAAAATTAAGCACCTTGTTGCATAAATTAATAACTATTTCATAACACTGCCTTTTGAAATAGCACGAACTTAGATTATTATATAACTTCATTTTCAATTCCCGTATATCACTTACTGTCACTCCATCCACAATTGTCGGAGGATTCTGTATATCAATGGGAACAGAAGAAATTATCTTCAACCCTTTTACAAATTTAAAGGCAGCTTCAACATAATTTTGTTTTACAAAAAAATCTTTTCCTTTCTTCTTATGAACCATGGCCAAATTATATTTTTTTTTTGCATTCCATTCATAAATGTAACTGTCAAACTCTAATTTGGTTAAATGCATATTAAAACAAATTTTATTTTGGCCGCTTAAATCAATTGTAAAGTATGATCTTTCATGTAAATGTAGGGTTGAAATACAAATTTCTAACAACCTTTCCATATCATTACCAGTATCGCCTATAACAAATGAACTATTGCAATATTTTTCTAATTCTGCTGATGAGCTTTCGATTTGTATCTCGCATTTGCTGTTTTCTGTTGGTTTGTTGCCCCACTTTCCTGGAACTAATATTTTCTTTGAAATTTTGCCGTCCGGGCTTGTCCAGAACTCCATAGCGATGTTCCCAATAGTCCCGCAAAACAAGTAAAGGAGTTGCTCCAAATTTGCTATAAAATTAGCACGGGAATAGTAGTGTCTTTTTTATTAAATAAAGCGAAATCAGATTATGGATTCATTTATGAAACCAGTGCAAATTTTTGCTTTCTTCTGGGCGGTTTTATAAAATTTCAATAATTTTTTTATAATAAAATATTACAAACTTAAATAACTGTCACTTCACCACAAACCAAAATTCTTTGGTAAAGGTAATCCTTGTCTAAGCCAACGTTGTTGGTTATAGAAAAGAGAGAAAGAAATATTTCAATTGCTCTTGGCTAGGCTAGACTGCTGTGGTCATGCGCCCATGTTTCGGCATCTCCCGAGGATTATTCCTTTTCAATTATTGTTTTCAGATTGAAAAAAAGGACTGACTGATAACAAAAAACGGCCACCCTCGCTCTCACCCCCGACCATCCGGTCTTAACCGGCCTTTAACCGGCGTGAATGGCAAAAGCAGCAAGACCGACAACGATTACACACTTTAAAACCTTGAAAGGTCAATTGACATCATACATTTTATGTATACGGAGTTTACAATCAATTGGAATACTTAATTCTCCCTGCGTTCCTAAGTTCCGAGTATTGCTTTCGCACTTTATGATATAACGCGCTAGAAATTCACAAAGTATTTGGCCATAATGTTAAGAAGAAGAGGAGAATGTACAAATACATATATATATATATATATATATATATATATATATATATATATATATATATATATATATATATATATATATATATATATATATATATTTATTTTATTTTACTTTGTGTTCTATGCTTTCCCGCGTTTTTGAAGAATTGCTTTCTCTGTGTTTTTATTAGAAAATTGGGTTTCTATCGCATATATTATACCGATATTCGTTTGTATAATTGGTCGTTTTAAGTGGTTTTACTATTTGTGAGAATGCCTGCACCGGAACAAATGGGTAATCGAACACCACAACCAGAAGGTTCTCAAACTCCTCCCACGGATAGGGGCACTCCTCACACTGAACGTTCTCGGACTCCTCATGCCGGAAATATCCGTAGTCCACTACATGCTCCCGTAACTCCTTCTAGGGCAGTTCGCTCCACACCTTCAAAGACACCTCGAAAGCTGGCTACTACTCCAGCAAAGAGTGTTGGATCTTCAGTGGATACACCTTTACGATGGGGAGTGCCACGCAGAAATATTCAAGGCGAAAACGAAGTACCTCCTTCTCCTGCACATAGTATTGCCCCTACAAGTCCAGGAACAGGTTAATAATGTTGCATTTTTCAAAGTAATAATAATATATCCTCCAAAAGCTAAAGTCTAGCCAGGAGTCGAGTTCATAAAATGTTTAATCACTGCCTTTGGTTGGTTAAATTTGCATAAAATTTAAGGTTGATATCTGATTTTAGGACTTGCAATGAGCGAAATTGATTTGAGTTCTCCACTAAATTATGGCACACCTAGTTCCCTGGGTTCTATTAGAACACCCCGTTCTGGTATAAGAGGAACGCCAATCCGAATGAGACCTGATGTACGTTCTGACAAAAGAATGAGACAAGTTAACATTGGAATTGAAAATGACCAAGTGAGTTGGGAGATTTTGGTCTCTTAAAAATCTAAGAATTATAACGAAATTATTTTATTTTAGCTTGAGGCAATTCAAGAAGGAAGTGAAACAGATTCCACTGCGCCACACTTGGTGATTTGGGGTACAAATGTGTCAGTGGCAGAATGTAAGGAAAAATTTAAACAATTTATTTTGAGATTCATTGATGTGAATGCTGAAGAAGATGAAAGAACTGATGATATGAATGTAAATGAACCGTTATATCTGCAAAAACTGGAAGAGGTAAGATAATCTTGCAGTTTTCTAATAGATACACAATTGAAAGATTGAAATCCTTGTTATATTTTTAAGATCCATACTCTTGAGGAACCATTTTTAAATGTAAACTGTGCTCATATAGAAACATTTGATTTAAATTTATACAGACAGTTGGTTTGTTATCCTCAAGAGGTAATTCCTACATTTGATATGACTGTCAATGAGATGTTTTATGATCGATATCCGGCAGCAGTTTTGGAACATCAGATTCAAGTCAGGCCATTTAATGCTGATAAAACACGTAACATGAGATCTCTAAATCCTGAAGGTATTTAAAATTTTATAATATCAAGATGTAATAATATCTAATATATCTATACAAAAATATAAATAAAATATCTAACATAAAAAGAAGTAAATATGAACTAAAAAGTATCATAGGTGTAGGTAATATAATCTTATTTTATTTTTTAGATATTGATCAGTTAATCACAATATGTGGAATGGTGATACGAACTTCGAATGTTATGCCTGAAATGAGAGAGGCATTTTTTAAATGCATTGTATGCCAATTTACTACAACCGTTGAATTAGATAGAGGTCGTATTACTGAACCTACTCTATGTTCTAGTTGTAATACCAATCACTGTTTTACTCTGGTTCACAACAGATCTCAGTTTACAGATAAACAAATGATTAAACTACAGGAATCTCCAGGTAAGGAAGTAATAAATGTTTTGTGAAAAAAAAATTAAATGTCCAGAGCCTACAGATGTGTGTAAAAAAAATGCAACTATTAAAACAATATTCGTTTGAGTAATATTGAATATTAATTTAATTATACTATTTACTGGATTTCCAAAAAGTGTGGAAATTGCGAAATATATTGAAAACTACATAAATCAAATTAAAAAACTTGCGCGAATGATTTTTTCTGTTAAGCAGATTTCCCTAAGTTCTCATAAATCAAAATTTTAGATGATATGCCAGCTGGTCAAACCCCACATACTGTAATTCTATTTGCACACAATGACTTGGTGGATACTGTACAACCAGGCGATAGAGTAACTGTCACTGGTATTTACAGGGCCCAGTCAATTCAAGTCAATCCACGAATGCGAAATTTGAAGTCTATCTTCAAAACACAAATTGATGTTGTACACTTCAGAAAAATTGATCAAAAAAGACTGTATGAAGATGAAGATGGGTACATTGATTTTTGATTTACAGGAAAGACTTTAATTAATTTCCGCATTTCAGTAAAGATCACCGTTTTCCACCAGAACGTATTGAACTTCTAAATATTCTTGCCCAGAAACCTGATATATACGACCGTTTAGCCAGAGCTATAGCGCCGTCCATTTATGAAAATGATGATGTTAAAAAAGGAATTCTATTACAGTTATTTGGAGGCACCAAGAAGAATTTTACTATATCTGGGAGATCAAATTTTCGATCTGAAATAAATATCTTATTGTGCGGTGATCCAGGTAATGGTTGTTAGTATGAATACTATTTTTTTTTACATGAGTAGAAAGATTGAAGAATTTTGGGGAAGAAATTTTGGGACATTTTTCGGGAACCCTATGAAATAAAACCAGCCTTCAATTATAATGGGGTACCATACCAATACAAAGCTTTTAAAAAGAAAAATGTTACCTATTTGCCTATTTAAATTATAATTATCAAATTTTGTAAATGTAGTAATTTGTTAATAACGCAACAGCAGGAGCTAACTTGGCGTTTACTAAAGAATTTCTAATTTTCAGGTACATCAAAGTCACAGCTTCTGCAGTATGTCTACAACTTAGTACCTCGTAGTCAATATACTTCAGGAAAGGGCTCATCAGCTAGTGGTTTGACAGCTTATGTAACAAAAGACCCGGAAACTCGACAGCTTGTGTTACAAACGGGTGCTTTGGTACTGGCTGATAATGGAATATGTTGCATCGACGAATTTGATAAAATGAATGATTCTACAAGAAGTGTTTTACATGAGGTTAAAGTTACTGTTGTTTTATTTTTTATAATTTTGAGTACTTTTAAATTAATGTTAACAATTAAGGGCACTTTTGGGAATGGCGCGCAGTTTGTTTCGAGAAGAAAACTGCTAATTCTACTCTACTACTACTCATTGTACTTTATGTAGATAATATTTGAAAATATTTGAAAAATATAAACACACTGCGCAATAAGTCTGTAATAAGAAAATAGCTATATATTGGTTTTGGGAGTAGTAGTCATATTTCTAATTTTCTGGCGTGTCGGTATCATAATTCTCCGTCTTTACCAATTTTCCCACAAATACAACAGATTTCGTTGGGTTTGGAAGGTTTTTTCAAAGAAGGTGGTTTAAAGTTCCAGTTTGTTCAGTTTCTGCCTTTAAATTTCTTAGGAGCTTTTTCAGTTATCTTCTTGCCGGTTTTCTCTTTTTCCTTGCTTTTTAGGTGTTCTTCCCTTGATCTTTTCTTTTTTTCAGCGGCTGTTAGTTCTTCCCTGACAGTGTGCTTGTAAGAATATGTGTTTCTATCTTGGTCAAAGCTGCCTTCCACAGTCTTAAGGAGCAAAATTATCATCATTAAACTGATCCGGATCTAAGAGATATATTCCTGAAGTAGGGCTACTTTCATAAATGCCTTATTTTATAATTCAGCAATTCTGTTATTTTTTGATATCCAATAATGGAGAGGTTCTTAAATTGACTAAAAAATATCAAGTCTAACGACTGAAGATGGTAGGCGGTATGGAGGGAAGAGATATTATATTTTCTTTCAAAAAATCTGCACCAATCGAAATGTGGCTGTTGTGATTATCTAGAACCAAAAGGATGCGATCGGATGTAGATTTTTCGTGTTTTACCCACCAACCATTCTTAGAACATCTGTAGAAAGCACCGTTTTTTTAAAGAGAATACCTATGAGAGGAATATAACTTTCAGCCTCAGTGACAAAAAATAAAGAACTGTGATAGTCCTCCCTCTTTTGCTCGTTTCGCTGCGTAAACCTTTGCACATTTGGCTTGTGTAGTTGTAATACTGGTTTCGTGCATATTAAATATTCTGTTGACTTCAAATTTAAACTTCTGCATGACAGTTTGAAGATTACAATAAAATGTTCCTACAGCTACTTTATTGAAGGATGCGATCCGATTTAAACGAAAAATCTATTTAAAAATCAATCCTGTAACTCGATCTCAATGTGTTGCTGCCTAGGCGAGGCGGCATTTTCTACAAGCTTCTTTCTTAGGAGTGATTTGGGTATTTTGAAACATTTTCCCGCTTCCTTAATTTTTCGGCCATCATTTGTTATTGCACAATTCCATTTTGAAAATTTTCGGCTATGTAAGAAAGTAGATTACGAGTGTAATTTGTAGGCGTCTAGAACAATTAACAAAACATAAATGTCTTCTCTACATTTTTTTAAATAAATCACAAATATGACATGAACAGAACTTGCTTAATTATCATTCAACTATATTAAGACGTTCATTAAACATTACATTTTAAAGAGAGACTTCATTGGAAATAATTACATGAACATTGTGGACCTACCGTCTCTTTTTCCGGCCCGGCAAATTAATAATACCTTGTAAATACACATGAACTATTCTAACGACGTTTATAGGTTAATATCCCAGTGTGTGAAGCACTACCCAACTTCTTCGAATAAGCCGCGAAATTGAAAATATTTGCGCGATTACCTACTGCGCATCATTACCCAACCCTCCCTTAGATATTTTTTTGCTTTTGGTTTGAGGTGATCTGCAAATACTACATGAATCTAGTATGTACTATAAACTATATATTAAGCAATACTAGATTCACATTATATAGTTATTAAGCAAAGAACTGGGTGAAATAACAAATTACTATCTTTACAAAACTTCTGCGAAGTCAAACTTGCTTGCGTTTCGCCAATCATCCTGTTGGCTTCTTCAGAACAAGTGCGATTCAGCAAAAACCGACGCACGAGGAATCCAGAAGTTTTGTAAAAATTATTACAGTAGCCTGTACAAGTTTCTTTGAAAAATGAACAAATGACTATGTTGTCATTTCTTCTGTTGTACATTTTAGGTTATGGAACAACAAACGTTAAGTATAGCAAAGGCGGGTATAATTTGTCAATTAAATGCTAGAACTTCGATATTAGCTGCTGCTAATCCAAGTGAATCTCAATGGAATAAGAATAAGACTATTATCGAAAATATACAGCTGCCGCATACTTTATTGTCGAGGTAATAAATTAGTATTAACTTTTGTAAAGTATCCTAAAATCGAACAAACGAAACTTCTGGATTCGTCCTACGCCGGTTGTTGTTGAGCTTAACTGAAGCCAGTTTCAGTTAAGCTCCGATGAAGCCAACAGGATGATTGGCGAAACGTTAGCAAGATCGACATAACAACAGCCGACGCAATAGGAATCCAGAAGTTTCGTAAATAGTAATACAGTAGTAGTAGTAGTACAGTAGCTTGTGGAAATTTCTTTAAAAAATTATTCTAAAATCGGTGTACTTTTTTTGTAGGTTTGATCTCATTTTCCTTCTTCTAGATCCCCAAAATGAGCTCTTTGATAAAAGATTAGCTAATCATCTAGTATCACTTTATTATAGAACGAGGCAAGAGGATGATGATGAAATTTTAGTAATTTAATTCATTTGTCCAAAATCCAAGTCTGTTTTACCCCACAATCTGTTGTTTTAGAATATGTCAATACTGCGAGATTATTTATCTTATGCAAAAGAACATATCCATCCAAAATTGAACGAAAATGCGTCGCAAAAATTAATTCAGGCTTATGTGGATATGCGAAAAATTGGATCTGGTAGAGGACAGATTTCTGCGTATCCGAGGCAGTTGGAATCATTAATTCGACTTGCTGAAGCTCACGCTAAAGTTAGATTTAGTCAAAAAGTTGAAGTTGAAGATGTGGAAGAAGCCTGGAGGTAATTTTTTGCTCTTATTGATTTGTAACTAGGATTAAAATCAAAATGTTAGACTCCACAGAGAGGCACTTAAGCAGTCAGCAACAGATCCTATCTCTGGTAAAATTGATGTAGGAATTTTAGCAACAGGTCTAAGTAGTACGGCCCGTAAAAGACGTGTGGAGCTTGCCCAGGCATTAAAAAAGTTGATCGACGAGAAAGGAAAAGTGCCTACTCTAAATTATCAGAAACTTTTTACAGAGCTCAAAGAACAATCTAATGTGGTAGGTTTTATTTTTGTCCTCTTAACTTTAAAACCAATGTGATTTAAATAAAAAAAAATTCTTGTTTAGATGATAACCAGAGAGCAATATGAAGATGCTTTGAAGGAGTTGCAAGACGATGGTCTAATTGCTATTTTAGGAAAGTCAATACGCATTTGTAATAATAGAGATTAACTTTCTTATCCATGTTAAGTACTATTAAAATAGTTTTCGATGGCACTAAAAATTCTTTTTTTTTTTCGTTTTTGGCGGTATGTTTTATTTGTGGAGGGGTAAAGTGCTTTTAGATATTCAAGTTATGTTTGTAAAAAAGTCTACATCTAAAGGTGCTTCTTCTATGATCATATGTAACGAAGGAAAATCCCATATATTGGACGCACAAGGAATCGCGTCCTTGTTGCTCATTGCGACTGTGTATGGACGCGCAGACATCTCCGCGTAAGGAGGCATGTGCCCTGAAATGTCATGCTGCCGCCAGGCACATTATAAATTTTACTTTTACTAGTAAAATTTAAGTGTTTGGCAATTTATCGACTGATGCCACTGCTCCCCTGAGCAAAAAACAATGTAGTCCTTCAATAACTCTTACAGCCACTTTTGACAATTTTCAGCCCTAATTTGACATTGGATTGATTAAAAAGAATTGTATAAGCAACAATTTATTCAGATTATTTATGATTAGTGAGTGACAGCTGAGAGCATCCTTTGGTGTGGCAATAAAACATTTACATTTATATACAGGCTATATATTTCTTTGATGGTTGTTAATAAATATTTTCCACTGTTGTATAGTGTGTGTCTCTCTAGAATACAAAGGTTTCCCTATATTACAAACACATTAATTCAGAACATAGGAGCAGTGATTGTTGGCACAGTAAAAATCAGTCAATATAACTTCCACTTCCATCTTGATAAGATGATCAACTCCACTTCATGTCTCACAACACTTAAACTCAATAGTACATGCATCACTTAACCTAATGACTAATATTCTTCATGAGATGGATAAAATATTAATTCAGGTATCTGTCCACCCTGCACCCCAGTCCCATTGGTACTTTCTGAAGAACATTGAAACTGAAAAGTTACTTGTCCCACAGTCACCTCACTCATGCCTTCCTGGCCAAAGTAACTTAACTCCGCACCATCTAACACTGCTGAGGCAGTGTAGAAACATTCTGGCTCAATTTGGATGGGATTGTCAAAGTATACATGAAATGTATTACTTGAGCCATCTGAGAAAAACTTGGTATTATTTTCAGACAAAATTCGTCCCAGTCTTTTGAGTTCAATTTTCACACTATAATCGGCTGCTCCATTTGATGATCCATACAGCCCAAACCCTATTACAAATATTCTTCGATCTACTGAGAATTGTATACTATCGCAGCGACCTCTATAGCGCCATTGGTTGGATCGGTATGCACAGGATTGAAATCTATGACATACCTGTAATATAACGACATTAATATATAAAGAGTTTTGTGTGCAACATGTGCAAAAGCAAAAACAAAAAGCTGTTGTTGCTGCAATTTAAAGCATAAATCATTTCTTTGATAAGAGCAAACGTTTCGGAATCAGCTTCTAAAAAATGAAATACAGGAACACTAACAGCATGCTATTCTACTGATTATTATTAAATTGTGTTTCTGACCATATTTGTACATTTTTAAAAAAACAATACATTTTGTGAAATGTGAATGTGATATGTTGAATACATAAACATTAAGGCTTATTGAGTGTCCTTTGGATATAAGCTCCAAGTTAACATGGACATGTAACAGGCGAGGAAGATTCTACTACCACACTAAAGCATTGATCAAGAAGGAAAAGTTTTCCTTTAACAGAATAGTTCTAACTTGCGGGTTTTACAACTAATTAAAATATTATTTTTTTACCTGAGTTTTAAGTCCTGCTCTAGGTTTAATAGGATACTGCAAAGATGGTTTATTGTTGGCAGTAAAGTGAAAGAATATGTCAATTGTTTCCTGTTGGGTCAGAATTCCCTTTTGTGCAGCCCCATTTGCAAATTCCTCTAAAGTCATTGTGGGTATTCGAATTAAATATAGTGCCTTTCCTAAAAAAATAATTATTGACATAAATAACTTTTTTAGAAAGAAATCCATTCTATCAACAGTGGAACATTTAGAATGGAAGCATAGCAACATTATATATCAGCCAAAGCTTGAAGAAAGTCCAACATTTAAAATATTTGAGATTACCAATACAGCTTTTTTTCTCAATAAATGAAAAAAAATTAATGACAAATTTGCTGTTGATTATAATGTACTGCCCCAATATTTGCTGGTAAGTGACAAAAAAATGTGACCAGGCATCGCGATTTTATAGCAAAATCGCAAGAATGAAAATTTAAAAAAATTTCAACACAACATTCAGATATAAAATACGTTTTATTACCGCATAAATTCCTGAAAGTTCAAGCACAGCAAAGTTAATCAGCAGTGTGGAAAAATTGAGCTGTTTTGGTTCAAACTTAGCCAGTTCTCCAAAGTTTGGCCGATTCAAGCCAGGCTTTGGAAAGCCGAGCTCTTGGCAAATTTTGCACTCAATGAGTATTCTCTATGTCAAAAATTAAATTTCTATTTAGAAGTTACACCTAAAATGTAAATGGACCTAATCTTGAGGAAAGGCTGCCCCAATGTTCTTACCCAAAACAGTTCTTTTATTTTGAGGTGTGGGTTCAATTTCTCTCCTACCACACTCTGCAGTGGCCCAGTTTAACGCAGCTTCCAGCAAATTCATTTCTTTGCAATTTAGGGTCTCACGAGCTAACACTGATTCCAAAGTTGACATGTCTATATCAACAAAACCTTCAGACCCAAGTGCCATGTCTGCCTGAAGAAAATAAACAAACATGCCGTTTGCTATAATTGTAAAGTGCTTTCATTTTAATTTATAAAAAGCATAATACAGTAATTAATTTAAGTTTAATATTTTTATAACTAGGAAAAATTAAAATGAAAGCATGATATTATAATGTGCATTAAAAATGCTGTAGTTACAGACAATGGAAAAGCAAATTTGCAAAATATTTCTAACACTCTAATTAATCATTTGAATTTACCTGCGCGTCAATCACTTCCCAACAGCGTTGCATTAACTCTGGCTCTTCAAATAACCTAGATTGACTTAAAAGGAGGCATGCATTTTTGGCTGTAAGACTAGTTTCAAGATAATTGACACAAGCTCTGGCAAGATGAGGTACTATGTACTTTTTTGCAACATAAAGAGTTGCCAACACAGTATCTGCTTCTAGCTGAATTTCATCACAGTAAAGGTACCTATAACAATGTTTCATAAAGAACATTTTTGTATCTGTGTCAAATAAAGACTACATTAAGTTCTCATACAATAATGGAAAGGAGTTAAGAATTTTATTTTGACATACTTGAGCAAAGTCAAGAAAACATTGGGTTCAACATCTGGAACTTCAATTTCATCTTTACATTCTGCCAAGCCCCCATAAAACATTGCATAAAATACTGAACTACCAGTTGCCAGGACATACTTGTGCGCTGGAATTACTTGAGTATTGTTTAATGGTCCAACAATAAATCTGGAAAGAAATATTAGTTCTATGCAGTCTAAGATTTAATTAATTATTACGATTTTTTGGTGCAGGATGAGGGGGGGGAGCTGCTCAATATTATGATACTATGGGGAGTGAGTGTTTTGAATAAGAGAATTATAAAAACAGGGTGTTATTAAAAAAAGAGGGACTTTTCTTTCACATTTTTCAAATTCAACCCCAATGTCCATCAAGAAACTACAGTCTACAAAAATATTTATATTGCGTAATTCACTTTTTTTTTTTCTTGGAGTCAGTAGACAAAATATTCAGTTATTTGGTAGACACAGGAGTTGAATCAAAATTCAAAAATTTCATGTTGGGTAACAAAATTCCCTGATTTTGCGATAATTATAATAGTGTTCCCTGACTTTTGCAGGTTAGTAAAATGCCTGGAGACGAATCATGCAAATGGTAAATTAGTGTTTCAGTTGGAAAAAGTACTTAGTTAGGATTAGTTGCCTGACATTTAACCAGAACTTCCATTGGCATCATCAGAGGCTGAGCGGCCATGTCACTTGTATGTGTCTGCACTTAAACTGTTTAAGTGCTTCAGGCAACTGATCCTACTCTAGGATCAAACAATGAACAGATGAATAGCCGGATCAACACCATATATATAGAGGATAACTATGGGAAAGTACTTTACAGTTCTCGCTTCTTAGACCAGAAAAAAAAATACCTAATATCAGCCATGAGATCATTATTAAACATTGCCGCATTTCGGTCTCTAACTGTGTGCTTTGTTGCCTGCCAATTTGGATCCAAAGTTCCAATGGGAGCCACTGGGGAAACACATGGACTTAATGGAGGAGTTCCTGGGTTGCTTGCAGGTTGCATTATTTGTAGATTTTCTTTTTGGGATACCACATGAGGAGGAGGCGATAAACTGAGGGCACCATTGTTAAAAGTTTCTGCTACAAAAAATACAATAACACAAGTTATTTTAGGATAAACGCATTTGTAAGGATCAAAAATCAAATTTTCTAATTAAATATTTTGCACCAAAACTGGCTATTTTTAATTGCAACAATTATTTTATTGCAGGACTTAGTAACCAAATCAAAACAGAAGAACCTTTAAATTTTATTCCAATTTCATAGTGCTCCTTCACGATGCATAAGAAAGCTGTTATTTAAGATCCAAAAAAACTTTTTTTAGGAAATGCCAATGCCAAATGAATGAAAATATTATTTATAAGGGCGTTGACCTATATTTCATAGGATTCAAATTTCAAAAGCTATCGCATCCCAACTTACCATTTACCCAAGCATTTGTTTGGGACATCGACATGTTATCGTCACGTTTATTGACTGGTTTTGTAGAAATTTTTGAGTACAAATTCGACATAGCCATTATCGACCAGTGGACACAATTTTTATTGTAGGTGAAATCACTATATAAATCCACGCATTATCACATATCGCTATTCGTAATTTTTCCAATTAATTAATTATACCTTAACTTGTTAACACAATAATATTTATATTTTGAGATTTGGCAATGAAATATACAAGTAACGAAACAAATAGCAAAGCTCAGCATGGCACTGAATGGGGAACAAGAAGAAAGTTTTGAAAGAGCATAGATAATAAAGAGGATTGAGAAAGATACGAGCAAAGTTGAAAAAGGTATCACGACATAAACGTCAATACGTTACCTCACGGTAGAACAAATATATTAATTAGAAGAGCTAATGGAATTACTAAGACCACCTGCAAGATTCGGATTCCTGACGCTAAGATAATTTTGATAATTTTTTTTCTACACCTTTTTAAATCAGAAAAAAAGATGACGAAATTATTTTATTATTGTGACAATGAAAAATAATATGGTACAAAATGGATTGAAGTACATATATTGAACGAAAATTATTGAAAGTTTTAAAATATGAACTCCAAGAGCATTAAAATTTGTATAAGCTTTTAACAGGGTGTAGTAGCTTTGCAGTTTCATTATCTGCCATTAATTTCATGAGAAAGATGGATAATTAAATATTAAAGCAGACTTGGATAAAATAGAAACTTACCGTTAAGGTTTTCCTCATTTATTTCTTGCATTGCGAGCGGTTGTTCGTTCTCATCTATTGTAAACAAATCGTCTAGAATTGATATATCGCTTTTTTGAATGTTGGTAAAACTTTGTTGTCCTGTTTTGCTGAAGTGATATAACATGTACCTACAATAAAACTGCCATTAGATTTTTTTAATTTTGCTATTTACGAAGAGGAAAATATCACCAAAAAAAAATTTTAAAAATGCAAAGAGAGTTTTTAAATTGTATTCATATATAACTATACAACTCGATAAGTTGTTGTCCCTAAAATTTATACCTCGGCGGTGTCCTATATAATAGTATATTATGGAACAAGAAGTGCAGCAAAGCGGAGCAAGTGCTTAAAAAACGAGTGAACGAAGAAGTCTATCAACGTGTTGCATATGTATTATATTAACTTGTTCTACAAACATTAGTATTTTGTTACAGTTTTGCAAAACAGCACGAATATATGTAGTGAGTAACGCATGGCGTCAGAACTAACGAACGTCCAAATGCCAAAACTAAAATCTACCGAAACGCTCCTAGACCCATAACCAAGATACGGGAAAAGTCAGTTCATAATGGGTTATCTTAGAATGGGGAACAGAACAAACAATTAAAACGATCTATTAAACATACCCGCTAAGAACACTTTTCAATTAGTAAAATTTGCGTTTACATAATAGTTATCGAAATATTTAGGCTATCAATTATACCCATACCATATATTGGTTGAATTATTTCATCTTAGGTAAATAATAAGTTGTTTCTTTAGTAGCTTCTAAACATGATAGTCAATTTTCCCAGGACTTTTCACAAGCATCCGCATTTTCACCTTCTTGCTACCTGTTTTATGTAAACCAAGTTAGCTTTTAGAGAAAAATTTAAGGTTTTACATATTTCACCGCTGTTTTTGCTGACAGGGTAGCAATAAATACATAGAAAAGTCGTTTACGCACTCTCAAGCAAGTTCAAGTCTCGGGTCAATCGTGTTTGAATATTCAGAGAGGAAGTTTAAACATTTTCAAAACTTCATACACTGATGTTGCTTCGAAACACATAACAAATCTAGAGGTTCATTCCAACAATGTTCCGAAGAAAGAAAGTTTTAAGTGATTGATTCTAAACATCTAAACTGTTTGCAATTTAACATTACGTTAACATATCAAGAACTGATACAATATTTGCTAAAGTATAGTTTATGTTACTTGTATTGAGTTTGTTGTATTAAATTTGTTAGTTTTATTAAATGTTTAAAATAAAACTTGGATGGCATGAAAAAAGTTTGAGGCAGCAAAACTACTACTAAAAAATATACTGCCCAAATTTTTCTTTTTCTAGCAACACAGTTGAGCAACTCCTTCCCAAATATCGCAAAAGAATTTCAGCACACTCTCTTGTTGCATAGATCGACATTAGATTAGATTTCATTTTTAGACGCCCTATAAGTTTGTAACCAATGAGATATATAAGTGTGTTGTATACCTCGATGTAAATATCGCTTGCTTCTTTAATTGGAAAATAAAATTAGGTAAGCTTGTGACAAAATTCAAATTAAAAATATTATCGCAGATACATATTTTGATAGCAAATTTCAAAAATGCTACAGGCGTCTTCATTGTGAAATATGCTTTGATATTTCTACCATTTTTAGGACAATATCTTGAAAATACGTAATATTAAAAAGTACAACGGAGCCTCATAGCTATATCAAGGTGCAAGGTGTTTTTTCCCAAAATCCTGTTTCACACGTCCAAATTAATACACTGACACTAAGAATACATTTTTAAATGTTAGAAAAATAAATTAAAAAACTTTCTAATATATAATATATATGACAATAAATTAATTAAAAAAGCAGGCAAATCTAAAACAGATTTTATTTCTAGTCAGTCGCACAATACCTATGTGTTTATGATAATCGTATTCATAGCTTGTTTAATGAACTCTACGTTACTAGACAAAGCACATTGAAAAATTCCGCAGACACGTTGGCGAAAGGTAGTATGTACGTACCTACCTATAATAAAAAAAATGTATTTTTTTCAGTTAGTAGCGTTCACAACGATTGTTTACCTTTGCATTTATGGACCAAAAGTGTTATTACTAAGTCATTACAAGGAATGGCCAACAGAAACGATCATTTTTTTACAATTTGTTGATTTGACTGGTTATTATTAGGATTTACATTAAGAATGACACGCAGAAGATACCAAAACAAGAATTTTTTGTTAGTTCCACGAATACTTTTTTCAACAATTTTAATAGATATATAAATAAATTATAAAATACATATATTGCTATATAAAACTTGTTTCCGTAGAAAAATGTTGCCGAATTTATCGTACCTTTCCCTAAGATATTGTATAGTTCTGTTAAGACAATTTGGAATTCCGGATAGAATCTCATAATTTATCAACGTGAACAAAATATTATTGAATTTCCAAGTAAAACTGCTTTATTATTTTACAAGACGCTGTTGCGGGGTCCCAATAGTGATCAGACTGCATTAACTTCGAAAATTACCGAAGTATAATTACCATTTTTGACTTTAACGTTATATTCTACAAATAACGAGGAACGGTTCAAAAATAAATAATAACAATACGTTGTTGTCCAACAGGTTATCCCATATAGCAACTACGAGATATCGATAATATAGCAACTTATGAAACAGTTATTAATTTTTTTTTGAGAAGATCCATTCAACACGCGCGATATTTAAAATCTCGTTTTACGGCACTATTTTCTTAAAATATGCCCAGGTCCCATTAAATGTTCAAGCAAATAGGAATTAAGTGTGTGGATATCTCTGCTTGGAAAAATAATGGCACGCAATGCAGGCTAGTGAGTGAAGTGCACGAGATAATTTTTTTTCTACTCCCGTCTGTAAAATGTCTAATTACACACCGATCTAGTGTGCGGTCACTTTACCACGTCAGTTTCGTTTCCCACGGATCTGAGCCACTTCGGATATTTCCGGGATTTTAGCGCACGGGTTTGGAAGCAATCGGTTGTTTTCGGAGATATTTCCCACGCCTTGAATTGTGACGTTTGTCAATTCTGTCATTGAATGTATTCGTGTTGTTTTGTGAAAATGTACCCAAAAACTAACGGTCGTAGAAAAAGTGTAGTATGCAACACGTTCGGCAAACTTTTTAGGTCACTCATTTATTAAACACTCGCTCCAGTCAAATGCCGTTTACCGCACTAATTGCATCATATACTATTACCATAGCAGGTCTAATAGCTATATCGGTTATCCATTACTTGGACCAAAAAATGTGACGGTAAAAACCTACAATAGAAGAACAAATAATCTTGGTAGTAATTATGTATGACTCACAAAATCATTGATCATAGAAACATGGATATATCTCATCAAATTTACAGATGAGACAAATACGTGGGTTTTGCAATAGAGAAAAAATAAATAAATAGTTACTGGGAATGGACAAACTAATCAACTTAATAGGCGCAAGTTGATCATTTAAAATATGTGCTTAGTTAAATACTATATAGCTGCATAAATATAAGTGTTTTTGTTCTTATTTGCTAATGCGATTTGCTTTAGCAAGGTTATACGGAGAACATTTATTGTCTCTTCAGCTACATTCTCATATATTTGAATATTGAGAAAGTTCTTGGCAGAAGTATTTGTTTTTTGCTTAGATGCAATAAAATTTAACAGTAAAATTCTCCCATAAATCTTCTAGAGGATAAATGCCTATTGTGTGGGTCAAAGATTCTATAGTACCTTCATACACTTAAGAGGCACGTATTTTTATTTTTAGAATATGACAAAATACGTCTTGTTTTGGTACAAAATTATTTCTTCATCAACGATACTGATTATCATTGTCGATTCAGCAACAGAAAGTACCATTTTCTCACATTTGCAGTCCATCTCATTTACCTTTAAAGATAGAAAGATGCGGACAAAATACGTCTTGTTTTTTGTACAAAATTATTTCTTCATCAACGATACTGACTATCATTGTCGATTCAGCACGTTGTTATCAAAATTAGCAACTTAGTCTAAAACACCCTTTGACGAATGCAAAAACGCATAAATGTAAACTAAACTAGATTTTTTGTAAAAATATAGAATATCAGCAGATCCAGCCAAAGGAGAACCCGTAAATATTTCACAATCAAGATAAATCTACATATCTTTGTCCATAATTAAAAAAAATATTTTTATTTTATTTAAAATCGTGTTTATTTGAGAAACCTTATTAGTCGATATCATTTTACCCCTTATAATCTATTTAATAGATAAATTTATTTAAATTCATTTAAACAAATTCAGCAAAAATAGTTTTCAGACAACTTTTACAATTTTATTCATGTTCTCAGCTTTTACGACCTTCTCAAATATATGATCATTATGGTTATTGGTATCGGTAATAATAAATTGTTCTTCTGTTGTCATTACTATTACCATACTCACCAAACATTGGCATTTCCTAGCAGCCACGTCAAAGCGTTTCTGCTGGCACTAAGACTTATCCGATCATCGCCCATCATATTCCAGACATTGACACGTACTCGAAGCCTCGGTCCTTAGATATCCTGCAATAAATAATAAATATTTTAAGGAAGGGAATCACCATTTTCAGCCGAACAAATAAAATTGCACCATTCTCTATTTCAATGCACAATTTTGATAATCGATTCTATTGACAAATTTTGAGAAGAAACAAATGTTTCAAAAAACAACCAAAGAAGCAGTAATTCAGGTTACATTACTTTCTATCTTACCCTTTCTTAAAATACTGGAAGTGCATATAGGTACAGATTGATCACTTCATACGTCAATTACTTAATTGTATGGAAATATACAGAGATCGTTTACGGGAAAAATCTTCTTAGAATAGTCAAAATACTAACCAACCAAACCAACAATTAAATGGTTTTATATTTTGGTGAATATTATTTCAAGGCTCAATTGAAATGAGCTAACCCCGAAACAAAGCTTTAGTCCACCAATCACGAAACATATAAAAAGAAACATATAAAAGTTTAAAACATCTTAAATGATATTAAAAAAAGAGTTTCATGTCGACAAGGACTTTCACAGTTTTGGCTAATAGATTCCTACAGAAATATTGAGTGTTCTCCCCACCTTAACAATTTGATATTGTACTAACGTGAATGAGAGGCATCGGGCTAAAATATTTTTAAAATGAAGCCAATTCCCGCTAAGCCAATACAAGGTTTCAACTCAGGGGAACTAATTTCCTTAATTACTTTGTCTTTTATCTTAGTGTTTTTTAATTGTCCGCCAAATTGATAAAACTAGACGAAAAGTGGAATATCTAATTAAAAATATAAAAAAAAATAAAAAAAATTGAATGGAGGAAACAAGTGGAACATTTTTTTTAAATAATTAAAAATATTGTTATTAAAAGTTATGGTTAATCCTTTCTTTTGAGGCCATAGAAAATTGTGTCACGTATGCAAACGTATCAAGTATTCGTAAACAATTGAGAAACAATGGCAATACGTAAAAATTATTTTCTTGAAGGTAATGAATAAATGAAATTAAAACATCCATTTGTTTTAATGTTCGATGAATTATTGATGAAATTAATACATTAACTGTACACAAAGAATCGAATTTTAAAATCGACCAAATCAACATACTAATAGGAACGTGTTTAAAAAACCATATGTTTTCGGGTGTAGAGGCAATAATTCTGAAGGATTTGTTTTACCAATTCTCGGTTCAAGTTCATCGTGTGGGTGTTTATGAATACATCTGACAATTCGGTTTAAATTGATATAATTTTAACTTTTGAGATTTTTGTTTAAATGTTATTTGATTATTTTTGGGATAATAACATATCCATCCATGCGATCAGTTTTTATAAACCGCAATGCAAACAATAAAAAAGTGGAATTTTCATAAAAATGGACATAATCATCTCGTGTGGATAAAAACAACTTTAACTCGCGTTTTTTTGCTCTTAAATCCCAAAGAACAAAATGATACAAAAATAACCCTATTTTCTATGATTTTTTAAAGTCAGTGGGTATCAGCAAAGGGCATACGATTTCTTTCAGTCTACAAAATAATTATACTCTGGTTATTTCCGCAAAATACGGAAACTGCAACATGTGCAAATCGCTCAGGATCATTGCAATCGAGGCCGGTTACTTTACTTACCTTGATAAAACATGAAGTGTTTTACAATTCTGCAATTTAAAGTTCAATGAACACAATTGTTTAGGATTTACACTGACATTAAATTTCGTTTTTATTTCTCATTTCTCCAGTGTCATTAAATCAAAGTCTACTTAGTCTGTGATAGGTACCTTTTTATGAGTGATTATTTTCAACGGTAAAATTGAAAGAGCCGAAAACTAAATGCGATTACGTTAATTGGACGACTAATTTTCGTACCCAATTAAAATACATTTAAAACTGTAAATTTTGAGGACCGCTATTTGGTTTTTTTAATGTTTGGCGGTATCTACAGCACATCATACCGGCATATGAATAAAAAAGAATTGTTTAAGATAGGGCACAACAACTTAGAATTAAGTAGAATGTGCTTTCAAAATGTTTGGTATATAATGCTTTGTAGTTTATTGCTCAAAATACAACCTTAGCAATCGGTGCAATTTTGTCAGAAAAAAAGGAGAGAAACCCTGCGACAAAAGTAACGCAATTATTATAAACGTCTAAATATCAATAGCAAATAACTAATAGGATGTACCAATTATACGCCCTTGGCCGACTTGATCGGCTGCTGATATTAGCTATGAATTAAAATGGAACCTAATACACATTTTTAACGTGTTTAATTTTGGTTTTGCAATAGCGCCTTCACGGATTTATCGAAGCTTTCACAGACATTTTAGTGCAGAGGCGGCGCCCAGAATATTAACGACGGGCATTTCGATGTTTGTTAATTTGCTGAGAACTGCGATATTTTGAACCAAGTTTTAAAACAATTGTTTGCTTAGTGATAGCTACCGCTGGAAGATTCTAAACAAAAGTGGTTTATATGGTTACTAAATCGCCTATAGTAAAAATAAATCACTATGTCGAAATTTGTTTACTTCATTGATTGATATTGACAATTGCAAAGTGTTTAAGACTGAGAAGAAATTTGATGTGTTTTCGTTACCTGTGTAGTGAGATGAGAGAATACTACTTTTTATTGGGTGAAAATCTATTCAACATGTATTTTCCAGACGTGGCCGCTTCAGCGGCGTGCCAATCCATTAGCAAAATGTCAATAAAAATACATTAACCAACTCAGACAGTACATCTAAAAAAGATTATTAAAATATTAGTATCAAATATATTAAATATATACCTACAACAAGCATAAGTGAAAAATGCGTTTAAGGAAATTAAGATATTTATTATAAATAAAGCAAAAATGTAATCGGAAAACTGGAAAAACAACCAATAGTAATAAAAGTGAAATATAAATTATAACCACCAGTTAACTAAATCTTAATCGCAGTATATAATGTGCCAAATACAATTACCTACACCCGTTTGAAACCCCGCCGAAAGTGATAGATTCAATCCAAGTCAAGCGAACTAAAATTAAATTTATGGTGCAACGACGATTGCTACACATAAACTTCGTATTACAACGGTCGATCCATTTAACACATCGGTTATTAAACAAGTGCCATTTAACAATAAAATTTTTAAGAGCCATACCTTTTCCCATTTGTTTTTATAGTGCAGAATCTTTCTTTCCATGTTTAAGTTGATTGCAATGCTATTACATAACAAATTAAAACGAATTTGAAATTGAGATACCATTTCAATTATAGCTACCTTTTTGCTACTTCATGCTGGACGCAGCACTTTTAAGATAACAATTCTAAGCAATAAAAAAATCCTTTTAGAGAAAGAAAAGAAGAAAAAGAAAAAAGAAAATAATTTCAACTTTGCCAATTTTTTTTTGGAAAGCAAAATTTTCGAGGTACTATACCAGACCTGGACAACCCGTAGGTAAATCAAACGCTCTGTACATACAATTGTTTGTTATTATATACGGAAATACGTCTAAGAACACGCATATACAGGTTTCAAGGTGGGTCCTATTTTGACCAACTTTGTATTGGTTAATGTTTAACTTAACTAAGTAAATTTGAAGTTACCAACAACGAATTTGAATTTATCTTACCATACCTGGTTGTAAATACACGTTATTTCAGTATTTCAGTAGCCAATATCTAAAGTAGGCAAATATCTATTTACCCAATTTACTATTTCTGCGTATTGGCTGGATTGCGATAATCCCCGTTGTATAATTTAAATGATCCATGTAGTTAGGGCGTGGCCCAATGAAAATAGTGAAATTTTTGTAAAAACGTTTATAAAACCGCAAGTTAAGGCAAAATGGGCACATATTAAGCAGTCTGTTTAGTTATTTTTAAGATAGATTTTTGGAACTTAACAAAGCCAACCAAAGTATTATAATTAGCTAACCATTAAAAAACATAAGTTCAAAGAAACGCAACCCACCGACAAAATTTTTCGGATGGATAACGGGTAGCAATTACAAAAATTAAGAAATATAACGCCAGCTCGAGGTAAAATGAATTATTATAACTTGCGAATTAGTTTTGAAATAACTGTTGCTTTGAAGCAAGTACCTTTCTAAATTATTTGTTGGTGAATACGTACGTGCGAGTTATGTTTTAAAGAGGGAATTTTAAATGCAGGTGTTTTGAAGTATGTATCAACTACAGTTATGTTTACTAATTGAAAAATAAATCACAGAATTTTGTAACTTTCGGATATTCGAAGTCTCGATAAAGTAGGTTTGTTTTGTTTATAGTTGTGCGTTAAAATAAGTTAAGATCGACTTTGATCTTTCATATTTATCACGGATAACCAATATTTTAATTGTCGATCTTTGTTTCAAACCATTGTAAGAAACTACAAATACAAATCGTTCAGGAAAAATTAATTTAAAAAAAAATGGATATCCTAAGAAAATTCTTATTGGAATAAATTAATAAATTAAAACTTGAAAATGAATAAAAAGACAATAATCAAAGCAATGCAATAGAAATATTTCAAACTATAATAGCTGCATAATCACGAAAAAAAATTTTTTTACTCTATTGATTTCGGAATGGTCCAATTTGGGTGATAATGTAAGTTTTGGTGGAATCCAAGATGAACATAATTTAACAATGTCGATCTAATCACTGGAGAATGATACCTCATTTACTCTAATTTATTCAACTCAACTATCGTGGATTTTCTTGAGAATCTTATTTTACCTAATGATCTCGACAACGTTTAGCTTGCCGAAGAAACTCGACCTCCAAATAATAATACATATCAGCTCGTGACTCGGCAAAACTTACAGTGACTTGTGACTTTAAAGTGTAATCAATTTTTTTGGTAAATATTTCAACAAAATTGTCAATGAATTCGTAATGAATAGCCCATGTTTATTAATTAGTGGAAGCAGTACAAGAATAAAAATTTGAAAAACCAAGTCCTGTAGGGTGTTGTGTCCACGACTTTCAAAATTAACTCACATTATATATTTGATAAACTTAACCTCCACCTGCATTGTGTACCTTTTATGCAACATTTCAAATCTTATTCACAATCACTTGCAAAAATTCATTTCATTCGCTTCCTTTAATTTAATCTTACCGCACATATTAAGCCAGGACAATTAAATGTGAAAACGTTAAAGGCACAAGTTCACATTTATGTGTTCAATTTTTTTTTAATATAATATTGTCACAATAATAATGAAAAAAATTAAGTATGAAATAACAAAGTTTTCTAAAAAATATATTTGAGATTTGAAACAACAGGCTTTGAAAATATACCTAAAGGTTGCCAAAATTAACATAAAAGGTTGTTACCAGTGTGGGTAAAACAAAAATAACAAAATTTTATATAATCGTCATTTTGAAATTAAAAATTTAGTTATCGTGTTTAGAGACAACTACAATTACGTTACTTTTTTATGCTTTACAGAGATAAATAACTAAAGCCATTTTTATAATCTATATACACATTTTTACTTAAGTTAGTTATTTTACCATCTTTTTTAATCAGTCACGAATGTATAGATCAGACTTTTGAAATGGATCGCTTTCTTTATTCAACTTATCAGAACGTTGACACAAACTAAGCAAAATATGACGGCGTCGTGCGCTTTTATATGTCAACATTAAAATTTATTATTACCATCATCCGCGACGAACACACTTTTTGCCCAATAACTTAATTAGCGAGACACTTGGGATCCCTTTCGAAGTAAGAAGTCATCGTCTTTAAATTACCCACATAAAAGAACCGGTAGGTCAGTTACAATGGATAATTTTGGTAAATTATCTGATTGTTTGTTAAGGTAATAAACAAAATTTGACAGGAAAGTCGGTCGGTCCCAAGTCATTATTCTATTAAACTTACACGAAATATTCGACTTTTTTTCTTCGAAATTTTGGGAATTTTTCAGCGGCTTCTTTTTAATTTGAAATTTTACGCGCGGTTACGATTCAACCAACGGACCCGGCCGATAACATGAACTACCGCGCTACGAGCTTCTGCAATACTAAACCACAGCTTACACAAGCTGTGACTAAACCACGTGGTGGGTACTTTACCTTTTTCACTATCTACCAGCACGTTACGTTCAGTACCATACGGTGGTGCCAGACATGCATCATTCTCCGAGAACCGGCAGGAGTTTCTGAATGCGTCAAGATTAAACAATCAAGTCGATCTAAACCGGAATAGTACGTCGAAAAGATGGCCATTTGCCCATTTATATAAATGACTAAATAGAATTTTCTCGTTGTTAATTTATTTTAGTTACGGATATAATAATAATAATATAATAATAATTATAATATATAATACATAACTTTCGTGAACAACACTCGACAAGAGCGAGCATAAAATTGATCTACTTAGAAATTCAAAGTAATTAAGTAATTAAGTAATTAAGTAATTTGATGGATACAGAACAGCAGCATGTATTTTTTCAGGACATTATATCAAAAAAGGGAAAATATTTAATACACTTTATTTAAATTTTTCGGAGAGCTAAATTAATAAGTAAAAAAATAAGGAAACAGTTATTTTTATTTCTAAATATGTTATTCAAATAAGAAAATCAAATTGACAATCATAGTTATTGCATGAAAATACTTTATATAATCATAGTTACTTATTCTATTTATAAACAAAAATGTTGATTAATTAGCACCAGTATGAAATTATTAGTACGTATCTGTCATTAACGTGTACGACAAAGAAAAGAATCCCCATCACATCTCCCTTGAAAAATTGTGGCAAGGTGTTTTCATAATTTGTAACAGGTTTAACCGCCATGAAAAATGTAGTCCAAATCATAAATGATGAGAACTGAAAATATAAATATGTGATTAGTATAAATCTCGGTACAAATACTATTAATACTAATATATGGTACAAAAAGTCAATATGGAAAAAGAATTTGATTTCTTGTTTAGAAAAAGCCGATAAATTCATCGAGAAAATTCCAATAACTAAATGGAATGGAAAATGGAATGGTTTATTAAAGAAATTGAAATATTATCCTCTCAGTGAAGAAACAGCACTCCCAAATATTCATCATAAAAAAATTAAAAGTATATAAAATGCCAGTCGATAATTTGTTTAAAGTAAATATTTTTCCATGTAACCTAAATTAGCCCTAAATCTACTAGAATTGCTGAAAATTTAATAAAAATTTAATTTTAGAAACAAAAATCCACCCAATAGTGTCTGTCATCAAGAAATTACCGGTTAAAAGTTGAGCATCTTTTATCTGACAAAGACATTCAGAAATACTTATGTACAAATTCATTGCGTTTAGCGATCTTTCTCACCAGCGATCTCCACACACTTAAATAGTTTTTTCTCTGTAAATATTGTCGAAAAATGTCATGTTTAAATAAAATGAAATGAATTGACGAACTGTTGGGCGTTGAACGTTGCAAGGTGTTGGTTGAATGTTCCTTCTCAACATTCTATGATGCCCATTTCCAAAGTTTCTGGTAGCTGTGTGGAATAAAAGTTTATAATTAAGGATGTGACCTTGTAATCTTATAAAATATACTAACAATTGTTTGAAAAACTTCAGATCTCATGTTTAAGCAAAGTATAATAACAGTTATGTAACACAAGTAATAATGTAATAGAAATGTGGGGACAATTTTAAAAATGAGAAATATTTCTGATAAAATATTTTGTAATGAATGTGGCAAATGCAATGTTTATATCTTAATTACAGTAAGGTAGCTACTAGAGATATAGAGGCCCTGCCTATGAAGCAACAATAAAAAAAATGTAGAGAAAATCCATTCAACATAGCATGCTCGAAATTTCAAATATCGTTTTTAACGAATCTCGTTAAACGTCCTGGAAAAAACGAGTAAAGTGTGTGGAAATCGCTGTTCAAGAAGAAAATATCGCAAAGTGCAAGTTAGCGTGTGAAATGGAGAGGCCAGCGACACATCAATTTTTACCGTAGTAGGGTATATTATCTAATATCTATAGTGCTCAGACCATACACATCATATATAATTTAATAAATCTCAGTGTTGAGGCACAAATGGAAAAAATACGCATTATGATGGTTGCTCCTATTTAATTTTGAACACAACATCGCCAATCACATAAGTTCAAATCCAAAAATATTTTCACTCCTAGCGCTAACCACATTCGCTCATCATTAGTTTAATACGTTCAAATATAATTAAGCGGTACATACAATGCTAAATAATAAATTGAAATCTCAAAAAATAGTCTAATCCATTTTGAAGCTACAAATTTAAACACCATAAGTTTCCAATAGTTAAATGGATAAAAATTACAAAAGAAACTGTGACTACTTTTTTTTTCGGCAAAATCACTATCTAATTGAGAATTCACCATTTTCAAGAAAGGATACATGAAAATGTTCTATAGACATTATGCCAAAAGTCACAGTTTCATTATTGTCATTCAGCAGTCGTATGGGATAGTATCTCCAATTTAACCTTTGGCCCTGATTCTCTCTACATTAGATACGAAAACTTCCATTTCTTTCTAGATTAGGCTGCATTAACATTATATGGATGAACACTGATGTACAAACACTGTTATTTGTTGTATTTCCACATAGCTATTAAATAATATATATAATATATATAATGGATGGCATTGAAAGTAGAAAAGGCAATGATTTTTGGCGCACGCGCATATTGAATGAATTGAATCCAAATGTTGTTCATAGTTGCTTCATAATTTCCTCTATTATCGGTATAAGCAGGGTTTCTACATCTCTATTGGCTATATGGTCCCCACAAACACATTTTCTCTCAAACTTTTATTTAAAAGAAAAAATAATTAAAAATATTTTACGGACGTTCCCCGTTTTACGAGCATTCATCCTTTAGAATATAGATGTTGCTGCAATTATCGGTTTGCAAAATAATAAAATTAAAATATACTTCTTCACTGACACCTTAACAGTAGTTCTAAACCTAGTATTAATGGTCTCCTGTTATTATTTGTATTAGTATCATACCTACCTACCTATCTAACAGTTTGGGAAAAAAATGTTAAGAAAATTAATGCGCAAATAAAATTTTAATATTTCTTGTGGGCTAGAAAAATATTTTTTTATTGGGATACACAACCCAAACGAAAACTAACCCAGGTAGCAGAGACTCGTCAAAGTGACGTCATTTTCGAGTCATAAGTGGTCGCTACTCGTCAGTGGTCCGAAAAACACGTCAAATTGACTTTAAAAAAAGAATGTCTTATTAACATCACAAAAATATCGTCATAAAATGACCTGATTATTTATTATCAAATTATGCTATTTAAACCTATGATCTAGGAGAATATATATCTAGAGGGTGTCCAAATAGACTGTCAAAGTAATATATTTCCTTTACTATTTGTTTTAGAGAAAAATATTAAATACAAAAGTTATAGACGAGACTAAAAGAAACAATTTAAAATTATTTTTAAATATACAGGGTAATCCATAAATTTTTTGGAAATCAAACTTAGATGTTTAAATATATATTTTCGCATTAATAGATACTCGCTTTTATACTCAATAACCCAATTTAGGGTTGTTATGGTCTATACCATAGTATAGTATAGACTGAGTGTCTTCGGATTTATGGCCATTTTTTCGTCCAAAATGTGTTTAAAACCATATATTTTTGACGCCGTTTCGCACCGCTATAATTTTATTATGGCAACAATTTAATTTATTATGGTACAATCCTATACTTGTTTTGAAGTTAGTTCAGATCCTTTATACAGGGTGAGTCAAAATGAAAAAGTTTAGTTTTCGTGAAAAAATCAAATGAAAGACCCTGTAAATTATACTTCCGTTATTAATTTTTAAAAAAGAAAGGCTCATCTTTATTCATTTATCCATTTTTTCTTTCACCCTTTTTCCGCAGCCGGAAATGTAATGTATGTAATTTAAAACAACAGTGTCTGAGTGATTTACTTTCGATTTTCCCCACTGCAAAAAAAAAACAATTTAAAAATCGTCATATTTTTCGGCAGTAAAGACCAAAATCTGACCTTAAGTTGACGTAAAAAAGATTTCACTTAAATGACAAACATTGACGATACTAATTGACGTAAAAAAGATGTCATTTAATGACATTATTCATCTCAGACATTAGTTGGTTAAATTCACATTCTGCTGACGTACCGTATAACGTCATTTTCGTGATTTGGTGACTAGTTTATGACGTCATTTTGACGACCCTCTGCTACCTGGGAATGCATGTATGTACAAGGAAATTTTCACAACCGCCTATTTGTTAAGTTAAATTTTGGTAACATAGAGCTACTAAAAATTAGTGCCGCGAACTACTAATCAGTATAGGTACTTTGGATTAACACTTTACATTTTTCTATTTTTTTTTTAATATGAGAAGTTTCTATTAAGTTCATATTCATCCACCCAAATGGTAGCTCAACATTAACTTCCTGTTCGATAATTAAAATCGTTAAAGAGATTTTTGAAAATTTACTTGATGAAACTGTTTTAAACGAGTAGACCAAACCCGGGTGTCCGAGAGATGTTGCTTAAACGATTCTTGTGTTACAAATGATCAATTAATTAAAAATCGCCGAAAATGTGAAAGCGTTTGTAGGTATGCTGAAGGTCGAACATAAATACCAAAATCACATGTCACAAAAAAGTTGGGTAAAACGAATATTCGTTTTGAATAAAATGTCTTTTCAGAGTGAGATCGAAATTACAGTAATTCGTTTAAGCTTGACTAACACAACTTCTTTTAATAAAAATCAGTAAACTTTACAAGTCTTTATATTGTCCAATTTGTTGCCAGTACAGAAGAGATGGTCTAGTTTTCGTCGTGGAAAACAAATTTGATTTTTTAAAAAACTTTATTCAAGTGAGATGACAAAAAGCTGGCGATGTGGATGGGAACTTTTATTCAGCGGTTTACAATATTAGAGCGTTTATAACTCCTCCGCCCTTAGATGAAAGCACGGGTACAACAAGTGCTTTCACTTTAAATAATAATATTCTCGTTTTGTTTATCAATTTTAGGTAACCTTTTAAATGGAAAACATCTATATAACAAATAAAGCAAAATCAATATAATTATTAGGTACAACAGAACTGTCCAAACACTAGTTCTTGTAGAATATATAGGTAATGACATATTTCCAAGGTTTTCTTTTGCTTCGTCCATTTGGATTTGTAGCTCTTTTATTTCCTTTAGGTTGATCGTGTCCACTGCGTGTGGTTCATCGAAGATTGTTTTCTGTTGGTGTAGTAGTAAGACATTTACTTCCGGTAGACGGGTGTCATCAAATCTCAATCGATTAGGGGTATAGGTCCTTAGTTCAGTTCTTCCAATGTTTGTACTTTGCAAATTGGGGAAGATTCGATAAGGTGAGATCCGAATAATGGTACAGTGTTAATGTCGTCATTACATTGCACTGATGCTATTGTCTACTTAGGTGTCACAATAATCAATTTTACATTTTGGATTCTAAAAATTTTTATTTCTTGAAGTTGGATTTTAATTGGTTTACAGTTTGTCACATTGGTCTTGTGAGTTATTATTTCCACTGAACAAGGCGGCTGTTTCTGCATATAGGTAATATATATATTTTTACACATCAACTCATTTTTTACACATTCAGAGTTCATAAATGAGTACATATTTCCACTCAATGCAAGGTATGGTTTGATCGGTATATTGACGTAATATTGCAGTTCTTGTTCACTATTAACTGGTAGCGGATACAATTGGTAATATTGATAAATTTCTAATTCTACTAGTGGTAGTTCCAAAATAAAAGTTATTATTAGTCCTCTAGAGTAGCTTTTTATTTCTATAATTTTTTCAAAATTTAATATATTTTCGATAGATAACTCGAACGGTAGTTGGTTTTCCTTTAATTCTTTTTTTTTATGTTTTTAATTTCTTCGAATAGTTCGGACGGATCAATTATCGAATTATGTAAAGTATTTAATTTAGCAAAGCTGATTGCGGTTTCGATGCGAGATGGGAAACTAGTAATATAATATGTATGGGAACTTTTATTCAGCGGTTTACAATATTAGAGCGTTTATAACTGTCTTGTGGGTAACGTATGTACGTACGTAACTATATAATTGCGCGACTGGATGACACAAGAAATTTTCTACTCAGGTTATTCTACGCATTTATTTCATTTTGAAAATTGTACCTAGGCTACTTTGGCCTTTTCCATATTACGACAAATAACCTCTGAATAGTATATTAAGAAGTTTGTTATGATAGGACTAGTTAAGACTCATTCGTGAATTCAGAATATCAAAAAATGCAATTTTAAAATTGAAAAAGTGTAAATCCCGCTCCAACCGCGCTACATATTATCAAAAACTTTCAATCAATTCAATTCAAATCCCTACCAACTGCTTAAGTGGTTAAGCTTTCTTGTGCCACCCGATATATGGAGAATTTTTCATTGATTTTTTCAAAGCAAGTTACTTTTTATAAAATCAAATGCAATAATCGGGTATCTATGTTTTCCAGACGTATGCAGTGTTCGTTAAAAAATATTTTGCTCAAGCGTAAAATACATTGATTTGATTTGTAATAAAATCAAAAACAAACGTTTACCCTTCAGCAAATATATTTTCTTTTAAATCTCGTTATACGACCGCAAAAAAATAGTCTTTCTACTCCCTTCTTTAAAATACGCAATTATACACCGACCAATCGTTCGGAAAGTGTCATTTTCCACGTCAGTTTCGTTTCGTACCATATACACTAGAGATATAGAGGCACTGCATATGCGGATGGCGCAAAAGTGCAGGTTAATGCGGTGCATCAATTTCTACCGTAGTGGGACCACAATATTATATAATAGTTATGTTTTCTTGTTTATCAAGCACTCGCTCCGCTGTGCTCCGCTCGTGCGAAATAAGGTCATGACTCAAATGCCATATTTGTTGCATAATATACTGTTATAAACCCATCAATATTTTTTCTAAATTAACTTTATTGTTACGTGTATAATAACCTACCTTTTTCTCCAGATTTTTGCCGAGAGGAGTTCCGAGAAATTTTCATTAATAAATTTGTTGCTAAATTTCAAAATATTTTAATTTCAACAAATTTAATTCTTATTTCGAACCCTTATTGATTGTTAAATTATGATTTTATATCTTAGAGTTAAGTTGGCAATGTCTATTTTGTATTCTGTGCCTTTTGGTTGTGGTCTGTGTTATGTTTGACCAGAAACTAAAAGGAACACGACGACATACAAAAAAAACTGCAAAGGAAAAGAGAAATGTTTCAACTGTGGGGAAAAGAGACATGACAAAGATCATGATGATGATTCCCATTCGTGTCCCACTAAGTGTCGTTTTTGTAGGGGAAATTACAAAACCACTAGTAAGACATGTCCCGAATATGTAAGCAGCAAAATATTAAAAAGTTGACGGCCTTTGAAAATTTGACTTACTATGATGCAGAAAAAATGTGTCCAAAAACATATATCCAAAAGAATGACCCCAGAGATTTTCCAATTCACGACCGACTCTCTCGCAATAATCGAAGTTTATCAGAGCAGGAGACGATCATCCCGTCCCAAAGAAGAGTGACTGATTTTAATACAGGTAGGAACAAAAGATCATACCTTTATGATCCCAGAGATTTTCCAATTCACGACCGACTCTTTCGCAATAATCGAAGGTTATTAGAGCAGGAGATGATCATCCCGTCCCAAAGAAGGGTGACTGATTTGAATACAGGTAGGAACAAAAGATCATATCAACAAGTAACTTCAAACGAACCAAATAAAAAGAGAATAGTACAAAGATCTTATGACAAAGCAGATCACAATATTTCCCAAACCCAAGACCTGAAAAAAATGATCGGAATTCGTTTATAAAAGACTATTCTCAGTCAAAAGAAGTGTCTCGAATCAGAGCTATGGATTGAAAGTGGCCTCACCTAACGATGAGGCTTCTTTTGTAAATTCTATCTAAAATTTAAAAAAATCTCTAGAGAGAATCAGAATACAATTAAAAAATTTGTTTTAAACCACTTGCGTAATAATAGTTATATGGACTGTAACAAGTCCTGAAAGTAATTGTAGCAAAGTGTTCTCTGACACGGACATCCAAAGAAGAAAACTAACCTTCCAATTCAACAACTTGAAAATTATTCAATGGAATGTTAGAAGTGTTAAAGCCAATAGATCAAACCTAATAACTCTAGTTAGAGAACACAAACCAGACATAATATGTTTGAACGAAACATGGCTGAAGACAGATTCCAGTTTTTATTTAAAATCGTACAACATCGTAAGACAAGACAGACAGGAAGGCTATGGAGGGTGGCAACATGTATTAGGAATAATTTAATCTATAACCAACTAAAAACTTCTAATGATGAAACCTCACAGTACATTATAATCAAAATAAGTAATTTAAATATAATTAATGTGTATTCTAACTCTAATAACAATATAACAAACGACTTTTTGTCAACAGTTTTCGAAGGACTCACTGATAATGCAGTCCTTATGGGTGACCTTAACACCCACCATCCATTATGGGATGAAGCCCCTCCGAACAGAAGAGGAAACCTGATAGCAGATTTTGTTACCTTTAATGATTATGTAATATTAAATGACGGTTCACCAACTTTTTTCCAGCCACCGCAGTCTCCAGTTAGCGCAGTCGATATAACGATAGTATCTAACAATATAGCTCAAATGCTAAATTGGGAGGTTTTGGACGACTGCGGAAAGAGTGACCATTTTCCAACTCTCGTGAAGTTCAAGGATAGAAGCTGTAGTAAACTAGGGCACAAAGTGATTTCTTACACCTATCGAAACTTTGGTAGGGCGGACCGGAACAAATTTTATGGAACTGTTGTAGCTGATATATCTATTAATGGTCAAGATCTGCGATTTGTGAAATTAAACAACATAATAAATAAAGCGGCGGATCTCTCCATCCCCATGGTAGTTAAGTTTTCATCAGGAAAAATATACAATCCTTGCTGGGACCACGATTGCTCTGAAATAATAAACAGAAGTAAAGAGTGTATTAAAAATTTTAAACTGAATCCAACTCTAGAGAATTATATTCAGGCAAAAAGCAATATAGCACTAGCTAAAAAACAGTTAAACAGCCAGAAGAGGTCAAAATTTATTGAATTTTGCGAATGTCTTAACAGAAAATCAAATATATCATATGTATGGGAAAAAATTAATAGATTTAAAGGGAAAAAAGTTTCCTGCAAACTTCATAATATCGATGACTCCCTGAGAGAGGGAATTTTGAATAAAATGGCCATTTGCAATATGGAACCCAAATTCATGCTGAAAATTCCTATGGAACATATTTAAACAGATTTAAAACATAAAAAGTCCTCAGCCCCGGGTTTGGATGACGTCTCGTATGCGATGATTAATCTACCAAATGAAGCAAAAAAAACCTTACTGAAAATATATAAAAATCTTCTGGATGGGGATGTCATCCCTATCGAGTGGAAAAAATATAACATCATGCCCATACTTAAACCCAATAAAAGCCCCCATAGCATTGACCATTTTAGACCATTTACCTTGGCATCATGTTATATTAAAGTGTTAGAGAAAATGATCAAAAACCGTATGGAACATTTACTGGAAAGCAAAAATGCTTTCTCTGCCTATGACAGTTAATATCCATAAACTATATAATAAACTCAACGAACTTAATATTCTGGTGCAGCTTTCCAACCTTATCTTTAAAATTCTGGAAAATAGATCTTTATTCTCCAAGAATAATGAAGGCTCCCTAATTGGACCAATATTATCGACTTCGGGCCTCCCACAGGGGTCCCCCTTAAGTACAGTACTTTTTAACATTTATACATTAGAATTATATAAATTCTTTCAAGGGAAAGTCAAGATTGTGGCTTACGCGGATGATTGGGTCCTGCTCTGCGAAGGAAAAGACATAAAGTTACTGGTAAGCAAATTTATAGAGCTCTACAAACATTACAGAACTGGCTAGAGAACAACAACCTTTCCCTGTGCACTGATAAATGTGAAGCGGTGTGGTTTACAAAAGGTAGGAGAAGAGCTCCACCGGTAAATATAAAAATAGATAATAAGGAAATTGCTTTTAAGAACCATACCAAATGTTTAGGAGTAGTGCTACAAAAAATATGAAGTGGAATATGCACGTGGACTATATCTGTGATAAAGCAAAAAAGGTAATTAATATAATGAAATGCGTAAGCAGAGTTTCATGGGGTGCAGACCCGCAAATCTTAATGACCCTCTGATTAGGACCCACCTAGATTATGGTTTCATCTTCTTGAACCCCAATAACAAGACTGCACTTAACAAGTACAACATGATTCATTTTGAAGGTTTGAGAATAGCGCTGGGAGGTCAACACCAACGAATGTCTTGCTGGCGGAAGTATCGGAACTGGACCTGGATACAAGGAGGAGAAAACTGGCAGTGTCCTTTATGGCTGGAGTTCTAGCCATTGCGGACCACCCTTTAACAGACCTCATAGAGAATCTCAGAAATTACTATGGTATGTATGGAGATGATTTAGATAGAGATGAAGATAGAACATCGGGAGCCCCCTAAATGGTCCAGGCATTTAATATGTATTTGCCGTACCGTAACAGACTTTACTCGGGTGCGACTTTCCCGTGCTTTAACGTAGACTTTTTTAACTCTATTGCCGTGATCAAACCACTTAAGCTAAATATAAATAGAGAAAATGCGGAAATAGATATCCTAACACATTGTCTGGTTTTTACTGATGCCTCTAAACAGGGTGAGAGGGTTGGCTTTGGCGTTTATATACCAAAAATTAATTATAAATTTTCGGCAAAACTTCACAAAGAAATGTGTATTGCCACTGCAGAGACGATAGCAATAAAGGAGGGACTAAGAGTTGCTCTACAAAGAGCCTTTACAAAAGTTATTATTTTATCAGATTCTCTAAGCGAGATTTCTAAAATTGCAAATGGAAATTCCAACACTAAAATGGACTACATAATGTTACAGGTCCGAGAGATGATGGCTAAAAGTATGGGAGTAGCTATTAGGATGGCCTGGATACCGGGGCACTCGGGTATTGAAGGTAATGAAAAAGTGGATTCTCTGGCTAAAATAGGAAAAGACCTAAACATCCGCTTGAATATCAAACTGGACATACATGACGTGAGGAATACAATTCTTAGAGATATTACTAATGTTATTCGAGAACGGTGGAAAAACCCAATACAAGACAAAGGTAAAAGATATAGAAAGCTAATACAACGTAATTTTCCTAATAGAAGATGGTTTTCTGAACTTGCCTACATAGACAGACGCCATATAACTACTATAATTAGAATGAGAACTGGACACTGCGCGGCGGGGGAACACCTGGCCCGGATAGGGGTTAGGGACTCTCCTTTCTGCGAGTGTGGTGGGGTTGAGAACCTTAATCATATATTTTTCGAGTGCCTTATAACAAAGGTCCCGGGTGGGGATTTATACGTAAACTTTAGAAGTTTCGGACTTAACTTACCACTTTGTGTTGAAAATATGTTAAGCACTCCGAGTGCGGAGATCATACAAATGGTCATATGCTTTTTAGATTATAATAGGATAAAACTTTAAGTTAGGAGTCGAGGTCGGACAGCCTCTCCCTAGTAACAATACTAGGGAATTTTAAATTGTATGTATTTGTTGTTTTGTTTCAGATCTGACGAGCGTGGTCCCATGGTCCATCCTAGGCCAGGAACGCCCGTCCCAAGATCCATAATGCTGGAACTTGTTTGTCCTTTTTTGTTTTTAGATGCCTGTTTGTCTGTGTTTTTTGGGAGCTCTGAACCTGCCTACTAACTGACCCTATCTCCTTAGCAGCTTTAGATGCCTCTTAAACAGAAATAGAATTCTGAAAAGTAAACTTCCCCAGGAGAACATTCTCGATTATCTGGGGCAGTTCGAAATAGTGCTGGCAAATTGCCTAGTAGCAGCGCCAACCGCAGAAGAAGAAGAAAATTTAGTTAGAAGAATTCCGTTTTATCATTTTAACATGGTAGCAGAGGTCCGTGGTTATTGAAAAATCAAAAAAAGAGAAAATCATTAAAATGACTACTGAAAAGAAAGACGAACTGATCTTGCAAGTGTTTGATGGAACCGAATAAAGACCTGAAATAATCACCTAATTGGAATGGAACAAAAAGGAATTGAGAGGAAAGAACTACATAGTAAGTAGTCTCAACAATACACAACTGGAACTAGTTATATTACAGCCTAGGGCAAAACAGATGATACAAAAATTAGAGAACTCTATTTGGTAAAGAGTAGTGCTATTAAGCTGTTATATAAAAGAAAGCTGTTAGATTTAAAAATAAATGAAAGAGATAACCCAACGGAATTTTTCAATGAATTTGAGAAACTCTCCACTCTAAGCCGAGGTAATTATCAACGAAAAGAAGAAGACAGTCGACATGTTGCAAGTACATCAAAAGTAGAACATATCGACAGCAATTACACATTCCATGTGGAAGTTTTGACGACACAAACTGAAGATTCCCCAGCAAAATAAGATCACATTGATGGCTGTTGGACAGTGGTTGTTCGGACCACATAGTAAACACTGGTAAGTATTTTTCAGAATTCATAAATCTTACAAAACCAGTAAATGTCAGGTAGGTTATGGTTTTTCTTTAACATCAGAAAAGATAGGTAATATTAATGTATACTTTGAAGTTTGTGGCAGAGTCATGAAAATTAATATTAAAAATGTATATTTTGTGCCAAATATGAAACGTAATTTGTTAAGCGTGTCTTGTAATACTAAGCTGAATAATTTTATTATGTATAGGTACATTAGTTGCCGTAGGCACAAAAAGAAATAAGTTATATGAACTAACTACTAATGTTTATGATTATAAAAATGCAGAATCTTATCATACAAATGTGCAAGAAATGACAAAGAAGGAAGAATGGCATTGAAGAAGTAAAGCAAATGCAAAAGCAAAAAAAGATTATTCACAGAGATGTGTATGGTCCAATAAAACAGGAAAGTTATGAAGGTGAAAAATATTTTGTAAGTTTTGGTTAGTAAGTTTGGTATGTCTACGACCAGGACCTCCTTATACTCATGAGTTAAATGGTGTAGCGGAAAGATACAACAGAACAATTATGAATCATGCTAGATGTTTATTAGCTGAAGCAAAACTTGATAAATCTTATTGGCCAGAATGTATCGGGACGGCTGCCTATATGGGAAATAGTTTGTTAGCAAACACAAAAGTTCAAAGTAAAAAACCGAATGTATCTAAATTACGATTGTATGGAAGCACCGCATTTGTTAGAATTCCAGAAAAATGTAGAGATTAAAAATTAAATCCAAAAGCAAAGGAATCTTAGTAGGATACACCGACCTGGGCTACCAAATTCTAGTTAACGGCAAAGTGATAATTAGTATAAATGTACAATTTATTGTACTATGAAGGTGACAATTCAATAGAAAATGACAATATAAAGCATGAGTAGTAGCAAAAGGATTTCAACAATTATACCAAGAAGAAAAAGAAATATACTGTATACAGTATTTACGGTTTTACATCATTTCTCGCCCGCAATCTAGACGCGATGACGTCATTTACTATTACTACGTACTGCATGTTTTCAGAAAACAAGTAGTTTTTTCAAAACCATTTACCCAAGATATTTGAAAAAATATTATTTTAAATTGCACTTACCAGTACAAATTTAATATTTACCGAAGTGTGCCGTAATTTTCAAGTTCGACGAGATGTGAAGGACACTTTATACAGGGTGCATGCACAATTAAATTACATCGATTTTGCCAAAGTTCGAGATTTTAAACTAACAATAAATTTAAAGTCGGTATTTATTAAAATCATTTGACGATCGATTATTTTGCAGGCTAGTGTATAATTTAATATCCTGTAAAAAACTGAAAAATATACCCGAAGTGGGCTCGATTTACTTGAATTAAAGATTTTTCGAATTCAATTACTTTACCCATATATCTTTTTTTTTAAAAAAAAGGCAGATCATAGGTTTCGTTTAACCATACATACTCATGAAGAAAATAATTAGAATTTTCTTCTTTTTCTTTCTGCCTTCATAAACTAATCCGATAGTAGTCAAATTACGGTATAGGTTTTCACATGACATCCGATTTGGGTTATGTCTGCTCTTTTCTAAAGAACGTTTATATATTTTTTCATTTATAGTTGTTCTCCTTTTCCGTTGAGGATGTCGAAATGAATACGATACTTATTATTAGCTAACCAAAAATAACCAAACTTTTATGGTATAGGTATACAAGTGAGCCTCGGTTTCCTAAAATATTTATGTAAATAGGGTTCTTCACCGATTTGTTACAGGCGATTTATGTATCGTCAATAAATAACAAAAAAATAAATAGCTAACCGAAAATGTGTAAAAATATCACTATGCGTTTTTTTTAGTAAACTTTATAATGGATAACTCTTTCAGTGGGGCTATATTTTTACATTTAATTAACTTGCATGGTGATTTCTTTACTATTTATAAAGAAACTTGCTTGTTTGCTGATTGTTTAACCTTCTGCAAATTAAATTTTCCTACTTCCTTATACGTGAAAATATACAGTATTTGCTAGTTTTGTTTACTTACAGGTCGTGTCAAAAAATCAAGTTATATATCGGGTGGCCAAATAAATGTGCAGAGTACTGTTGGAAACTATTCGTCATCGAGACTTGTAGTAAAAATTCGTATTATCAAAGTGGTCAAAGGAGACCGTGGAAAATATTTTTCGATGGTTGCCAAAGGGCATAAGTGCACGTAGCAAATAACTACTGCAGATTTTCAAAGAACACTCACGATGTTGGTTCACATTATCTCTAAAAGTATATCCAATATGTTTAATTTAACTATTTATTACGTAATTATTAAATTTTCACTTTGTAATCTCACACACCAATGATTTGTTGATTCCTCATCCCACCCAATTTTAGTTGAACGTCTGTGGTTTTGGTAGTGAAAAGCGGATCCCAAAAATTGAGTTTCAAAATATCAAAGGACGACCTCCAAGTCAAGAAATGATCTTAAATTTCCCTGGAATATTTGGATTATTCCTCATTTTTATTCAACCATGTTTTCTGACGATGAACTTTATGCTCCAAGTGTTGCCCAAATTTACTGAAATCCTGTTGCGTCGCGCTTTTTATGATTTTTTTACTCGTAGGTAAGGAGATGCTCTATGATGAAAACAATTTGAAATATTACTTTATTCAAACTTAAAAATATATAATTTTTTTTTATCAGTTATGGTGCTCATTTTTTTGCTTCATCAAGAATCAGTCTTCTTGGAATTCTTGAGAATCAGTATCACTATCACTTTCCTCGCTGCACTGATATTCATCACTGGAATCATCACATAGAAATGGATCATCTAAATCATAGTCATCTGTAGGACTTTCATTAGACCTTTGCCTTTTTGTTTTTCGTAAATCTTTCTTATTGAGCTGCTGAAATGGTAATTGAGGAGAACCTGAAATTATATAACGCACAAATACAAGCTTTTGTTTTGGAAATTCCAAAGTCAATAAGATCATAATTTACTCAATTAGTTGTGATAAATAAAACTTCATGTAATACTGACCTAACTAATTTATTCAAAGAAAACAGAACATCTTTTTATTAATTTCTTTAGAAAACATGACCATGTATGTATTGACAGAGTTCTGGAGACCACTGTCAATACATGTAATATATATGTATAACTGCCTGATCAACTTGTCTAAATATTTGGCCGCATTTCATATCAAAATGTACAGAAGGAGAAAAAATAACAATACAGTGCAACTTCTCTTATCTGTGCAGACTCTAATCAGAACACCCAAATTGCGATGTTATAATGGAAACGATCCTGTTAAGACTTGTTCCCATTCGCCTCTTAAGCCGTTAAACAACATGTTTGAACGCTTATTTATGTTACAAATGTCAAAAAGAAAACATGTAACTTTATAACTATGTAAGAATGTTGCGATTTTAAAAGGAATAGAGAGTGGTGCAAACTACGAAACATGGTGTTCGGAAAACAACCTTCAGTATCACACATAAGAATCGAGAAAAAATTACATCAAGTATATACAATACATATATTAAATATATGTTCTTTTTCTTATAGTGTATTTAGTTGCTAATCCGAATAGGTCATTACAACTAGCGGTTAAGATTAAAGAGCACTGCATTTAACTCTAGCATAACTCCAAAATAAACTGGAACTCAAAAATATATTTAAATATAAAGTAATACTCGTTAAAATTAATATTTGATTTGGCGACATGCTATTTATATGTTCAGCATCACTTTCATAATTAGCCTTGCTATTCCTTTCTATTGCAATGTTCACACATTGGACATGAGTGTATAATTTGAACTGCATATCTAAAATTACTTGGTTTTGGAGCAGGTTTGGCGGGGTGCTTAAATTGCCGACGATGTACTAAGTTCTGTCTATAACATGCAATCCCATAAGGGCAGGCAGGTCGATCATCGTTGGGATCTTCATCAAAGTCGCTATCCCCTGGGTGACTAAAGAGATCACGGTGATTTGGATTTGTCCTATTAACAAATAATAGTAAATAGAGAATGCTAATAGATAACTTGTCAAAAAATTAAGGTGGTTAATTTAGTTAAGGTTAAATAGTTTCCAAAAAATTACTTTGCAGATAAAATTTATAACAAATTTGAGGAATTTTTTTAAGTTCATGGCACCTATATTATGTAAGTCTGATCAGCAAAAATGAATGTTTACCTATAACAGGTAGGTCCATACCAACATCTATCCCGTCTTCCCCATGGACTACTTCTTGATGGGGTACTAATATCTTGTTTTCCTGTTGTGCCCTTTTTAGTCTCAATTGTTGTTTCTTCTTTAATTTTCAATTCCTCAGTTGTCTCTTGCTTTATTGAAGCATGATTTACTAATTGGTTGCTACTATATTCTGATATTGATGGTACATCTTCATATCTCAAAGGCGACATGCTGTTTTTTTCCTGTGAATTATCCAATACCAGTGACTCGTGTTTTATTTCTAGCGAAGTTATTTCATTGTCCTTGATATCATTAGACGCTCTTGCACTATTCTGTTTAGAAGTATTATGTATATTATCTATAACACTTGTTGTTGGTATTGCAGTTAATTCTGTTTTTTGATTGACTCTATGGACATCCTGAACACAAATTTCGTCCCCATTGGAATCAGGACTCACTGTTGTAGAAGTAGACAATTTTGATGTTTGATCTCCATTATCAGATTTTTTATCTAATCTGTAAAATAGAACATTTCTTGTGTGTTGGGTACCAATCCTACAAACCTTTTATTTATCAGTAATTAATATGATTTTTTAACTTAATTCTTGCTAAAACTGAATGTGGCTGTATACTGTGCAGCATTATTAATTTTTATGTTAGAGTGGATGACATTATTTCAAATCCTTCTACTAAATAATTTCTTTAAAGGTCTATGATTAAAAAATTATGCACAAATTTCAGAATATTAATAAACAATAAACTTAAATCCTAACTATGTGATTAGAATAGATAAGTTCAAACCAACTCGATGAAGATTTCTTAAAATGCTATCATATTCCATTGGTGTTACATTCTATTGATTTGATTGATTTGATAAACTACATAAAAAAAAACTGTAAATATGGAGAAGATAAAAAAAGCTCCACTTCTTTTGTAAAATGTGTGGTTATTCAATTTATCAAATAACTAGCAAACTTTCCAACTAAGGAGTAACACACAAACCGAGATTTCTTGGAGTTTGCAGACTCAGATTCGCTGTCATTTTGTCTTTTTAAAAGATTATTATGTTCAAGGCTTGAAGGAACATAATTTTCATTCAAAGCATTTTCCTCAATTTGAACATCTTGGTTAATTTTAATTTGAAACCATAATGCATCTGGTAACAAGGAGAATTGATCTCCATCAAAAAGTTCATGGCTTTGGCCACTGTTTAAAATGGTTATCTTTTTTCCTGAGGCTGCTCTGAAAAAACATGGATTCTGGTGAACCTAAAATACACATTTTTTGAACATTTACAGAGTGTAAATGGAATATAAATCTCACTGAAGTTAGTGTAGCTACATGTTCTGAAATTTTGACAACTGCATGCTTTCGAGATACTCTCTTATCTTTTACCTAAAAAGGATTTGTAATAGTAATACATATTTCAATTACCAGATATATATCATACATCTAACAAGCCACCTCTGCCTAAGGTATGAGTTCCGTTTGATAAACTCACAATAACATTTTCCTGATGAATGTCATCCAAATAATAAATTAAAATATTCATGTCTTCTAACAAAATCAATAAATAAAGTGCAAAATACTAACTAAACAAAAATGTTTTTATAAAAATACATTCAATTGCACCATATATCATAAAAGCAAAGTATAAAAAATCGTCGTCTTTTATATTTCACACCAAGGTGGGCAGGCTGCTAAGATGATTCGCCCATTATTGACGTCCTTCGAGGAAGTAAGGAAAATTGTGGTGTCACGCATCTATTTTTTGTAGTAACATCAGAGACAAGAAATTGTTCTTTTAAACGGTTGGCTATACATTGGGTACAACGGACAATGCGCTCTTGGCGTCATTCAACATCGCCATTGCCGACATCCACCTAGGGAAGTAAATAATATTAATTTGGAATATAATTTAGAAATTCGGAATTGTGGGGACACAGAAATACATAAAGATACATTTTCTTTTTGAAACAACTACAGAAAATTCAGTGACCTTTGACGACAATAGGTTTTTATGATAAATTAGTCACTGTTATCGTAAAGTGAAATCGGCAATCTTAATAAAGCCTTTGTTAAGTAACCTTTAATTTGTGACGTATATACCGAATACCGATAAATTAGAAAACTGTCCGGTAATAATCAAATAAAATAATTCAAAATTTCAAATGTATAAACTTTCCATTGAATAGGCAAAATGATATTTCACAATTTACTTTATTAAATATTGCGAAATTTATAATCGCAACAAAACAACTCTTTCTGTTTGAAAATTGGTTATTGTCATTTATTGTTTTCTTGCGGCCATTTGTAATGTCACGTGATATAAGTGCGTTGCGGGGCAGATAATAGGTATGGTTAACGTAGTAAAGTTTTCTTTGATGTAATATGATATTCTTTCACTATTTTATTTAAAGCGATGATCCTAGTTTTGCAAAGTTAGTGAATATTTTGTATTTTTTTCCTTATTAAAGTTAGCAGTTCAACACTTTTGTCTATACATGGCTGTTTGTCAATAACCCAAGTCTTTTATATTTTCCGAAATGGCGTCGTTCCACATGGTGTTATGACGGTCAAGTTTCTGTTTAGATTATTAAAACTGGATTTAATTCATATGATTTATGTTAGGTTTAGTTTTATAGTGTTTATTTCTATAATGTAACTACTCAGTCTTGTTCTTTTAGCGGGTGGTTTTTCACAAACCTCTGACTACATTGCTTATTTTATTACAGTAGTAGTTTTTTGTTTGTAATATATTTTTTAATTTGCAGATTGTTGTATATAGAATCACTGTACATATTGTACAAATAACAAAACATGAGTTCCAACATTCGAACCACCTCAAAGGGTGGAAAGGGGCTAAAGTCTGATAAGTCCCACAAATCAGATGGAAGTAAGTACCTCTAGTTTCAGAAACTTGGTAATGTTGCACAAGCAATTTAGTTTATAAATCCAATATACCAGTTCATAGTTTTTAAGCTTCAATCTTTTTTTCAATTTGGAAAGTTTGTCACTAGAATAATTTTTAAAACTTTTGATTCAAATTTATATTGAAAGTAAGTTTACAAAATTACTACTTAGAATTATATGGAAAATAGAAATTATGTACTTCAAAAATAGCACTAAATTTTTGCACTCCAAATTCTTACCGCTTTCATACAATTCATACACAAATCTAAGTTTGCACAAACTTTTTAGGTTCTAATGTTGATAAGTGTTGATTGTAAATTTTAGGCAAAGGAACAAGTGACAAATTTCACAATAAAGAGGCCAACTCCAAAAATGAGGAGCTTAGTATTAGAGAAAAAGTAAAACAACTCATTGAAATGACTCAACGATCTGAAGAGGAAGTTTGTTTGGCGTTGCATGAAAGTGACAATGATATTAATGGTGCTATCAATATGTTATTTGAGGAGTTGGGTACTGTAAGTACACCTGTTTTATGGTCATAGAGTTCTTTTTTTATTTTATTTTTTGCCACAGTAAATGAATTTCATATTTACAAATTTTCCGAAGCATATAGGTGGCAATTACAAAATTTACAATTTTAATAATCATTTTTAAGAAAAAGTTAAATTTATTTGTTCATGAATAATATTTGTTCACTTTTTCCAAAGAAAATGATATTTTAAGGGTGAATGGGAAACACGTGATAAGAAGAAAAAAAAGAGGCAAGCTTCAGCTAGCAAACCTGACAAGGGTGGTGAAGAGGGAGCTGCTGTTGATGATTGGAATGATGGAGGTACACAGGGGCCAGTTAGATCTGGTGATGAAAAAGTAAGTTTTGATTTGTCCTCAATATTATGTATAATTTTTGGGTGCCAGTTTTGTATTTGGTCCACCTAAGGTTATTTGGTTTAGTATCGTCTACCCAAGCTTATTTAGATAGTTTCTTGTCGTTACATCAAATCTGAATTAAAATGCGACAAGGACCAGCTAACCAAAGGTTGGGTTCAGCTGATACTAAACTCTTACTTATTTTTGTGTAAAGCAAATTAGATAATAACAGTTCAAATAGGAAATGCCAATTTTTTCTCACTAGCAAATTAAATAAATTTTAAATTTTAATTATAACTGTTTCTTTTTTTAACATTTTATCAGATGATATCATTGAAATCTGAAATGGCATTATTCAAATTTTTTGGTTTTTTTGATAGTGTGATTATACTTTTTACATAATCACCTAAAATTACACTGAAGCAGAATTAAACTGTAGGAGCTTATTTTATTTCATTGTTAAAGATTATTTGTATCCAATCATTATGTAATAAGGAAGAGAACTAAAGGGCAGGTTGGGGCTATTGATTGTGATGTGATCTTAGACTAAAAGCCAATTCCACTTAAATAAAAAATAAAAATATTTGTCACAGCATTATCTTACAAATTTCTTTTAGATATTTAAATTGTCACGTGATTAAAGTTTCTTTCAGGATTCATTTGATTTATTAAATTCGCATTTTATTGGCAATTTCTGGATTGTTGTAAGATATTCATTTAATTAATACAAAGAGAGTACATATTAATATCTGAATTTGTTTATGTTTTTCTCAGAATCTGAAATACTAAATTTGGATAGAGTATTGCATTTATGTGGCAGTCATTTTTCTAGGAAAGGAGTCGCAACCACAGTAATGGAGCTACAGGCCGTTATAGCCGCAAGACTGGATCAGGCAAGGAACGACATGAAAATGAACGGAACTTTGAAGATGGAAGTGCAGGAAGGGGAAATGATAGGCGATGGCGTCAGGGAGCCCCTACGCGTGGTGGAGGTGGAAGAGGTGGACGTGGCGGCGGCAGAGGGGGAAGGTGAGTTGTAAAAATATGTGGTAATCATAGACCTAGCTTGACTTTTGTTTTGATTTTTTAGATATCCACCAAGAGGTAGTCGTGGTGGTGGCGCTCATCGGAATGATTCCAATTACAACAAGCAACCTATTGATACTTGGGATAACTCGAATACATGGGACAATACTACTTTGCCTGCCACTAATCATAACACTGCTGGTAAATTGTTAATGAAAAAAAACAAAAATTAAAATGCTCTGAACAAACATTCCACTGGTCTGAAGTCAATTTACCCAACAACTTAGATTTGCTTTCCTCCTATACTCTTTGAAAGTATGAGGTAGTTTAAGAACACTTGTTTAGGAAAACTATAGTGTAGATAGTGTTAGCATTTCAATTACTACTGGTGACTGAGATGGAGCAGTGTTGTGTTTCTAAGTAGTTCTGTTATCTTAGTAACTGTCAAATTGTATGTTTTGTTTTAGATGAGTGGGATGATTTTCCTGGCGCCGACGAGTGGTCAACTGAAGAGTACAGCCTGGTAGAAACAAAAGTATTTACCCCAAGTGTGCAGCCAAGTGTGGATACATTCAGTGAAACTACGGCAGCCAATTTGGAGCAAAATCTAAGTAATTTATCTAACCAAGAAAACAATTACGGGTGAGTTACAGATTACATTCTCCACGCTGAAATATATTTAAAGACTTTTACTACAAGAACTTCCTGTAATATTTAAGTTATATAAACAAGATTGTGGGTATCAAGGTACAATTCCGTTTTTGGAGGTGCCATCTTTTTTAATATGACAATTAAAGACTGCCATTTTTTGATATATTAACATTTTGAGTTAGAATTGTCCGATGTGCCCCGACAGATGTCCTAAGAAATGGAATATCATAATAATGGAGTAACCTGCATTTGCCTTATTTTTACCAACAACGGCAATTACAACCATTGTAAATTTAGACAGTTTTCCTTGATTATCTCAAAAATGTAATTTTGCATGACCAGTTTTAACATGCAATTGTTAAGACTTTTTATCCCTCTTTAATGGATTGCTTGTACTAGAATTTTAAAATAGTCAGAAAGTCAGACTGTCCATAGAAGTGTGAACAAAATTATTTTGTAATTATTTTATGTAAAAAAAATATAACAAATTTTTGAAGAAAAATTTAACTTGTTTTTTAAATAAATTATAAAACTATTCAAAAAACAGTTTCACCTATTGCATTTGCTATAGGACTTAACATATATTATCCCAAGCATAAAAAAATACTTTTGTTGCACTTAAGAATATATTACATGTGTCAAAAAAAAATCGAAACATACAAAAAAATACTGATGCGTAAATGAACCACTGGGAAAAAACATTAAATAATGTTTTGGGGCATATGAGATGTAACATATAATTTATACATAAATATACAAAAGAAAGTTCAAATTCGACAGAAAAAAACTAAAAAAAAGAACCTGTTTTGATACAATAAAAACGCATGTATGTAAATGTACATTACACTTATTACAAACGTAAATTGTGTGGCTGTGGCAGAATCTACATCTCCTTCGGGCTGTATTAGAGGTGACCTTGATTATCATAACGCACTTCTTCTATGGTAGGTGCCAGATTTCTTTGAGTAACTGTTTTATCAGTTTTTAAAAGTCGCAATGTTAGATTTAAAATTTACCTGGGAAATCTTTTGTTCGTTGAGAATATTATACTATTTCCATGCCGTCACTACTAAACTATCCAGTGAGTTACAAAATAAAGGCCACCACCATTTTTTTCCAAATTCCTGGCACCTGTAATTAGCAATTCTGTTCTCATATAAATCTACCTCACCCATATATCTCTTGTATTGGGCAATTACTTATGTTTTTGGTATATTTACATCTTTCGGTTCTTGTTTATTATAAGGTTTTACATTTTAGACAGGATCTACACTAGAAACACTACTTGCCACAGTTACAACTGAATTCATATGCTGAAAGATAGGATGCACGGTCTTTTTTTTTTTCAAATGATTTACGATTTTCTATTGAACATTTATTTGTTCTATTTTCACGGATAGTACCGGTGCCAAAATAACCATTAGTTTTTAAATGTACAAATAGTTTAAATGATAAAAAAAAATTCTCAAAAAAAATTTGGTGATTTACTGGTTTATCTACAACAGAAAGTAGACTCATGACAACGTCATCGCAAAGACCAAGGTCAGAATGAGGTTTATTTTGATCACCACCGTATAGAAGTGAATAAAATAGGTACCCATCAGATAATCAAAGGCACCAAACTTTGAAGCCAAAAGGAACTGCCAAAGTGAGGTACCATTTGTTCATTTAAGGATGAGCTGCACGAAAATATGCCAAACTGAAGATTTTTTTTTATTTATTAAATCAAAGAAGGGTCTAACTTTTGAAAATTTATCATTTTTATCCAACAGATTATTGTCAGATAAGTACAAGTTTTGCTTTATCAATTGCAATCTATTACGGCTCATACATTTTTTTATAAGATCAATTCCTTTGTCTTCATCAATAATGCTAAATATGTGGCAATGAATGATAACCCCAGAACAATCAAATGCCTACAAAATTTAAAAGTTAATTTTTTGACAACGAGAATTCATGGTGGTTATTGTTTTGAGCATATTTTACCGAAAATTTTAAAATCAAATCAATCACTTCGTCATCAAAAAAAAAAAAAAATTCAAGCAGAGTTTTTCCAAAAAGCCTATTTTTTTGTTCCTCCATTGACAGTAGAAGCAAGCCATTTGCAGAAAGCATGTCTTCTTTTGAATTCCAGGGTTTCATCATCTGATGAGTCCCATTATTCAGGTTCAGTAGTTGCTGAATTACAGGACTGTTGAAGGACAGCTGTATCATTTGGTGTATGTAACTCGATAGTTCCAACTATATCAGTTGGTTCCCCAAACTCTTGTAGATTTATGTTATCGTTCATATCTTCTTCGTCAGTCAAGGTATCCACGTCGGGTGGAATATAGACCGCGTCAATATGTTCTGTAAATATTTTTTCGCGTTATTTTTAGCATAAATTTACAAGGAATGGAATGCAACTTTCATTGTTATTGACCTCATCTATCACGATCTCCTCCATAGCCGTCTCTAATTCCTTTTCAGTCAAATACCTCGAAATCAAAATAAATAAGAACTAAAAGTTCAGATTTTCACGAAATTATATATTATGACATGACAATTGTTTCGACAACATCGTGTCTTTATCAAATGTAATATTTACAAACTACCTGCTACTATATATACCGAAAAATGACCATAAAACCTTAATTAATGTTGTTGCGAGAATTTAAGTGCAATAAAGGAGAGGTATTTAAATCTAATTGATTGTTAAGCAATACATTTGAATGTCTCATTTTGTTAATCACCATGGCTTCCAATAAATTTAGTTTTCTACTTTTTGTGGCTGTATGTAATGTTTCAAAATTGTCGTCAAAAATGTGTTTTTCTGTGTTTAAGTGTGTAGCATAATTAGAATCTAGACTATTGTTTTTAAACGCTCTTATATGTTCGTTAATGCGTTTCTTGAAGGATCCACCTGTTTGTCCAATATAAATTTTAGGACAAGATCTACATTTCATCCCAAAAATCAGGTGTCTACAGGTTGAAATGTAGATCTTGTCCTAAAATTTATATTGGACAAACAGGTAGATCCTTCAAGAAACGCATTAACGAACATATAAGAGCGTTTAAAAACAATAGTCTAGATTCTAATTATGCTACACACTTAAACACAGAAAAACACATTTTTGACGACGACACACAGCCACAAAAAGTAGAAAACTAAATTTATTGGAAGCCATGAAGATTAACAAAATGAGACATTCAAATGTATTGCTTAACAATCAATTAGATTTAAATACCTCTCCTTTATTGAACTTAAATTCTCGCAACAACATTAATTAAGGTTTTATGGTCATTTTTCGATATATATAGTAGCAGGTAGTTTGTAAATATTACATTTGATAAAGACACGGTGTTGTCGAAACAATTGTCATGTCATAATATAAAATTTCGGGAAAATCTGAACTTTTAGTTCTTATTTATTTTGATAAATGGATTTTCATCAAGTAAAAGCCACCTCAGTTCAAATACCTCGAAATTGCCATATTTTACGAACTGTAACGTTCTCTGCACAAGGCACAAACTAATACTAAAGAATACGCTAATTGTTGAATGTTTATTGTACATGCGCTGACTTGCAATAACAAAATTTTGTTTCACAGATAAAACCAGTGGTGCATTCACGCACCAGTAAATATTTTCAAAAAATAAAGCATAATCAATATAGTATTTCCAATGTATGTTTTCTGCGATGTGATCTACATTCTATAGACTTAACAAAAATGGCAATACAAATCCAAAATATTTTTTTTTACTATTTACTATTTTTACTACACATCTATGTACCGCTTTTGTTAACTTTTGAAGTCATATGTAAGATCTTTTGTTTACACATAAATTAGCGATTTCTATGGTTTTATGTCCTTTGGTAGTGGTAATAATAAAATTTCTAAATGGATGTGCAAAAATATTTCCTGGATGTGACAAAAAAAAACATAAATACATTAACGCACCACTGGGACAAAATGGGTTAATTTTATGCACTGTTCTTGTTGGCAATTGTGTCTCTCATTTTTTTTTTGTTATTTGTTGCAGTCAACAATTGAATCAGTCGTTACAAATTGGCCAACAAAATGTACAAATTCCATCCCAAAGTCCAGTTCCGCCATTGGTAGGAACATTGACCGCTGCACAAACACAGTATTTCTCACAATTATCCCAACAGAATAGCGAGAATCTTAACAAACAATACAGTTCTGTGGCTTCATATCCAAGTTCTGTACAGCAGGTAATTAATTAATTTGCATTACACTTAAAACGAATCGAGTTTAAACAGTTAGATAACTCTTTGAATAGAATCGGTTAGCAAAACTTTAGCATTGTTTTTTTACAGTTTTTTATGATGAACGATGACGAGACAGAACATTTATTTTAAAAAACTATGTTTACTAAATGACAAGTTTTTTGTTATTTACCAAAACTAGTTTTGACAAATTATTGTTATGATGTTTCTCACACTTCTGATAATCAATTAAGAAAACTACAAATTGGTGGTTTTTATAAGTCAACAAGTTAATGAAAAGTGTAACTTTTAGGTTTACAACACCTCTCCTCAAGTTTACAATTCATCAGCCACGCAGCAGCTATATAACAGTACCTCCCAGCAGTCCTATAGTACACAACCTTATAATGCGAATCAGTTAAATAATTACAGTACTAGCAATTTTCAGTCTGCTAATCAGCCTGTTAGGACGAAAACTCAAAGAGCAAGAGTACCTCCACCTTCAAAGGTTTGTTCACTTCTTTCGGCACAGTAATGTTGCAACCATTTGCTTACAGTAAAATTTTAAAAATTAGTTCTGATTTCATTCAAAACTTCTCTAAATTTAAATTCTTGATTGTGTTGTAACATTTCTAAAGAAAGTTCTGTTCATATTTTATTTATTCTCTTAATTTTTGGCAAAATTCAGTTAACCAATTTGATATTAATAAATACAAATAATATAATACAAAAAAGTAGTTGTTTTATTGTAGAACAAATCTTGTGTGAGTGAATTACATTTGTGCAATATCTGTTCGTTTAGATTCCATCTAGCGCAGTTGAAATGCCTGGTGGGGATATGAATAGCAGTATAACTTACCTTGACGTTCAGTTTGGTGCTATGGACTTGATGGACAATAACTTTGATTCTAACACATCGGATTTGAAATTTGGTAGCAGTGCAAATAATTCTGCTTCGAACCTGGTAGAGAGTACCTCGGGTACTTCTGCTGGTGGCTTGGATTTGGCAACTGGATCAACAAACCAGAGTGCAAGTGGATTAGATCCTTATTCCAAAAACGCATCACAAAGCAGTATTAGTTCATCTTTAACACAGAATGTGAGTAGTGTTTTTGTTAAATCTTCATGCCGGGCAAACATACATCTCTATGGCATTTTCCGATTATAAAATACAAGTTTGTAACAACTTGTATATCATTTTATTTGCGTTGCTACTAAAATATGAATATATGGCAAACTCTAATTGGTTTATTTCTGATCTGCAGCTTTCTAATTCGGACAATGTTTCTCAAACTAGTGAACATTTAAGTACTAGTTACAATACCACATCATCTGTTACTGCTAGAAGTACATCTCAAACATCGGGTATTGTATCCGTTTCGTCTTCAACGCCATCTGGTTTAGATTTAACGAAACAACAGCAAGAAAATCATTCTTATAGCTCCCAGTCAACGACTTATAATTCATATCCGTCTAACGCAAACACATATAGTGCGTCACCTTATAGTTCAACACAGGTGGGTTATTGTATCACATTTTTGAAAATATTAAATGGTATTTGTTCATGATGAGCGATGACGAGAATGAGTTAGGGACATCGAAAATCATTATGGCAAGTTTTTTGCCTCCTTGATTTTCTGCGGTCCTTTAACCAAGATTTTTAATGGCATTCTGATATCTGTTATTTTTAATTGTTGATTTAGGTCTTATCTTCCGTTTGGTGCTTGACACTTTTATCTTTTAGACAACTGCAAGCTCTTACGGAATGGCTAACCAAGGCAGTACATATATAAATAACCAATCAGCTAATTCGTATAACACTGTTAGTGCGAGTTCATATCCAAATCCATACCCGGGTTCTACATCATATCAGTCCAATACAAATGCAGCATTTCCCTCCATGACTCAGACAAATTCGTATCAGACAAGTAGTCCATCTTATCCAAATACTAGCCAGTCAGTATATGGCGCTAACACAGGTATGTCTTTAAGTATTTATACATAATTATAAATATTTACAGGATCAACATGTTTGATTCTCAGTGAAAGGAAAATTATTTTATTTTTTAATATATTGTTATTAAATTTGTTATAAAACGTGAGTGTAGTAGCTTCTAGATACTAGGAAAATTTCGCAAATTTAACAAATTTGATATTTTTTAAAATAAAATTTTCTTTTGGTAACTAGGCTTTATTTTAGGGTTAAGTAAATCAAATTTTGGTAGTACAGCAACAAGTCAATACAACAATTACAGTTCCTCGACTACAAATAAATTAGGCAAAGAAAATTCATATGATAATAGCACAAGCACAGGCAATAGTTCTCACAGTGCTGCAACCAATAACACCACCTCTACGAATTCATTGTCATTATCGCAATCGACAGTTCCTAGTACAAAGACGACCGCAACTTTAGGTGAGTTTAAGGTTTAAGGAATATATGTATAAATTACAGTATCTGTATTTTTGTAGTCCTGGCATCTTATATACTTTCAAATAGCATTTTAGCAGTATTGATGTCATTACTTTTCATTTTTTATTTGATCTCGAAAATTTTAGTCATTAACAGACTTAAGAGTAAGATAACCGGTAAAAAAGTTATTATAAAAGAACTGTATATGTGAATTCAAAAAGCAAAATAACTTGTGAATTGAATTTATTTTAACACAATAGATTACTTTGTATATAAAACTGAATTTACATTCAAATAACAATTAAAAACTAGCAATAGCTAATTTATGACTAGTAATAATTGTCCATGTTTCTTATCTATTGTTTTTGTTTATTGTTTTTACACATAGAAACCTTTAATAAATTTTAAAACGTATGTAGATATATACAGGTTTATAGTCAAAAACAGCGTTTTTTACTAGGTATTAAAGAATTAATACATAAATTAATTGTAACATTTTTATTCAGATATATTTACAATAATAAAAGTAATAAAATTTCTCAGGGAAGTACTACATACTTCACTATTAATCTCTGAAAGTATGCATCATTTATGGTCAAGTGAGATCAAATTTGATGAACGTTATTACCTAATTTCCAAAAGAATGCATTTATACGATAACATGATATAAATATTTGCTTGCGATCCTAGCTTTCATTATGGGATTTTTAAATATACACCTGAAGCTTTTACTGCTTGTGTTTACAGCATAGTCAAAGAAAATTTGTTAGTTTAATTTATCTTTAAATTCGTTTTTCAATGGGATTGCGGTTATGCTACATACTGTTTCTCTTAACAGCAAAAAGTTCAAACAGCGTAGTGTCCAATATACCGCCGGGAGTGACGCCGGTTATGAGCGCTCCTTATATAATGGGGCAAGTACCTTATTTTCAACAGCCCATGTATTCATACGAGGAAGTACAGCTGTTGCAACAAAGATTGCCCCATATGGTAAAGGAATAATATATTTTAATGTCAGGTATTCAAAGGTATATATATTTTTTGCAGACGACACCTTATTACGATATGGGTTACCAGACTCCAACTACTTTGGCAGCTGTAAGAGGTGATCCGACCGGAGCCCTAGGCGGAGGAGTAGGGTATTCAGCGATGTCCGCCGATGGTAGGTTTGCCACGGCCGCCACGGCACGAGGAGACAATAATAGTTCGCCCGTACCATCATCAGCATTAACAGCGGGCGTGCAGTCGCAAGCATCTACGCTAACGGCGCAACAGGGCCATCAGGCGCAACCTATATTAACACCAGGAACGGCGCCGCCTTATTTCTTTGCGACGGCTTTCAATACCATCGCTGCGGCGCCCAATTACCCTCAGTTTGGGGCAATGTATACGGTAAGTTTGATTTTAATGAGTACATATATTTCGAGAATTTGGTCTTGGCCTCGTGATTAAACTATGTTTATAGTAAGCTATTATCTTGATTCGGGTTTAAAGGCCGTCGTCGATTGGAATTACTTCCTAACGTTTCGCTAGCACGAGTGGCGAGCTTCTTCAGAGGTTCTTCCATCTCCGATGTTGGACGTAGACTGACAATTTCTCCTGCGCAGGTTGTATTTATGCCGATCGGTGGTGGGCGGGGCTTGTTCCGCTTCGGTTGGTCTCGGGATAACGATCGGTACTGCTCGGGCGTTCCTAAGGATCGGGTTCCAGATTTGGTTGAGTCTAAGGGTCTCCTCCTTTCTATTGAAATTGTGTGGGTGTTTTTGTATTTCAATGGCTTCCCTGACTAGTCTGTTGTGATAGCCGTTGACCGATGCTAGTAACTTACAGCTCTCAAAGTGTATCCTGTGTTCCCCGCTGCCCAGTGCGTGTTCAGCTACTGCAGACTTCTCTGTATGTCCTAGCCTGCAGCTTACTTTATGCTCCTTAAGTCTCGTTCCCATTGATCTCTTGGTAGTTCCGATGTAGACCTTTCCGCTTGAGCACGGAATGCGGTAGACTCCTGCAGCTGAAAGTGAGCCCCTCTTGTCCTTCGCTGACCTGATGGTCTGCTGGATCTTCTTTGTAGGCTTAAAGATTGTTTTGATGTCGTGTCTTTTCAATACTCTGCCAATCCTGTCGGTGACACTCGGAATATAGGGCAGATATGTGTGGGAGGTGGAGGGTCGTTGTTCGGTATCCCGTGATCTTCCCTCTGATATCCCTCTTGCTGTAGCCATTTGCCTCGAACGCAGTTTTTAGATGTTCAAGTTCCATCTGAAGGTTCTCCGGTTCGTAAATCCTTCGGGCTCGTTCTGTCAGGGTTCTGATAACCCCATGCTTTTGACTTGGGTGATGGTTGGATAGAGCATGCAGGTATCTGTCCGTATGGGTTGGTTTTCTGTAAACTGTGTAGCCCAGCTTCTTACCTCGCTTCCTCACTAGTACGTCCAAGAATGCAAGTTGTTGGTCATTTTCAGTCTAAATAGTAAACTGGATGCTGGGATGCTGACTGTTGAGATGCTGCAGAAAGTTGTTGAGCTTGTCCATACCATGTTTCCAAATCACGAAGGTGTCATCCACGTACCGGAACCACGTTGCTGGCTTGTACTCTGAGGTCTCGATCGCTTTTTCCTCAAAGTGTTCCATAAATAAGTTGGCTATAACCGGGCTTAGTGGGCTTCCCATTGCCACTCCGTCCACCTGTTCGTAGAAGTTTCCCTTCCACACGAAATAGCTACCGGTCAAACAGACTTCAAAAAGTTTGCAAATATCGACAGGAAATATCCTGTTCACCAGGTCCAAGCAACTCTTCAGAGGTACTTTGGTAAACAGTGAGACGACGTCGAAGCTCACACAGCGGGCAGCGGGGAACACAGGATACACTTTGAGAGCTGTAAGTTACTAGCATCGGTCAACGGCTATCACAACAGACTAGTCAGGGAAGCCATTGAAATACAAAAACACCCACACAATTTCAATAGAAAGGAGGAGAGCCTTAGACTCAACCAAATCTGGAACCCGATCCTTAGGAACGCCCGAGCAGTACCGATCGTTATTCCGAGACCACCCGAAGCGGAACAAGCCCCGCCCACCACCAATCGGCATAAATACAACCTGCGCAGGAGAAATTGTCAGTCTACGTCCAACATCGGAGATGGAAGGACCTCTTAAAAAGCTCGCCACTCGTGCTAGCGAAACGTTAGGAAGTAATTCCAATCGACGACGGCCTTTAAACCCGAATCAAGATAATAGCTTATCAACGGGCCGCGAAAGCCTTAACCAATTTATGTTTATAGTGTATGTGTTTGAATCTTCATACCATTAGATTTTACATTTGACCCTCCTCAGTTATTCAACGCACTAAAACCTTGGGTATAAAATAGAAATAACGTCATATTTTGGAAACAATAAAAAAATGCATCTTAAGGGAGATTATACCTATCATTGCCCTACTCAGTTATTCATCTAAGATCACCTTACACAATAACTGGTAATTTCCAAGAACAAGGTACAAATTGGTATTTTGCTTATTTAACAAACATCAATTCAAACGACTCTCGAAACTGTCAATGTCCATGTGAAATTACAATATTTGATGTAGGATTGAACATTTGCTATAGAAATAGACACAACTGGAAAAAAATCTCAAACTAGTTGAGAGTCACGAAGATTCATACATTAAAATGTGTGTGTCCAATGAAATAGCATCGTTATTTTCATATTTCGACTACAAGTAACTAGCATTTTTAACTTTAGCTTCCTGCTGTGACAAATGCCCACGGTTCGACAAATAGCAATCAGTATCCTAAACCCGCAACATATGGTTCGGCTTCTGGCTATGGTCCTTATGACACGCTAGGTCAGTCAGCGCAAGAATATGCAAAGAGCGGTTTTGCAGTGAGTAATGCAGCAGCTGCTGCGGCAGTAGCTGCACAAGCACAAAAAGCCAATCAAGGTAATTCTTCTACAGGGGGTTCAGCAACGAATGATTTAAGTGCGATATATGGAAAGTCCCATACTGCTTTAGGCAAGGTTAATGTGAGTATATATGTTTTATCTAATTTAATAAACTAGAAATACTCGTTGATCCCTAAGGGTATTAAAAACGTATTTATTTGTAACTTGGACGTTATTGCACAATTTTTTTATGAGAAATTTATGGGCGCAACTCATCTCTGAATATCTCCACAACTTTAACGAATTCAAGCTAACAGTTTTTAATAGATGTTCTTATGTAGAATAGCTTATGTATGTAGCTTACACAAACAATTTTTTGATTTACCATTTTTGAGTTATTTAAAATGGAACACCTAGTAGTTTTTTCATGCCATTAAATAGTGCAAATTATATTTTTTTCAATGATGTCCAGGGTCACTATAGTTTGTCTCGCTAAATATAAATAAAAATAAAGTTTTAAAAAAAATCTTAGGTGCAGTCAAAGATGGTTGTTCTGGCCGCCATGTTTGCCTAATTTATTGCTATTAGATTTTTTTAAGGCCTGTTTTATAGCCAAAAATTATTTCGAAATAATTGTAATTGCGTCTTTCAATTATAGCAAGCAATAACAGAGGGATTTCATGAAATATACACAGACACACGCATCTTTAAAAGGTGAACCTAATGGACAAAACTTTGGTTGCCTTTAAATGCTATCAATTATTTTGTCACTAGTATTTTAGTATGTTGTATTTAATCTTACAACTTTAGTTTTGTGGTATAATTGAAAAAATAATTTGTTATTGTAAATTTAATTGGTTGTTGTTATTCATTAGTTTATAGCTTATTTCACCTTACATGTAAAAATGAAATGTCACTGAATTAAAGGCTTTACATTAGCTCTTTAAAGTATGCTAAAACAAATTTATGGGTATCTTCTACATTTATACACTACTGCAAAATTTAGATTGTCATGACCTACTATAACTTTCTTAACATTTAGCTTAAAAAACAATATGGATTTTGGTATATCATTGAAAAGAGAAAAATTTGCACTTTTTTTTTTACGCCTTTATTAAATAACAGAATGTACATTTACTGGTTGTCTCATATCAGCGCTGTGATAGCTCCGACCTGAAGACTTAAATTAACAGGCACTATTCAGTCACTTCAGTCAATTATTGAAACATTTGCTCTGAGTTAGATATAAAACTTTTAATTAAAATATAATATAAAATGTAAGTTCCCCAGATTGGAATTAAATATCTCAGGTGTGCAAAGAAAGAAGCTAGATTCTTTGTTCAATGGGAGAAATAATTTTTACACTTATAAATAATTGGAAACATAGAACCCACTTTATTCAATATTGTATTTATGTGCAATTGCTAACTCAAATATTCATCCAAAATTAGACTTAAATATTTGAGGGGTATTACACCTACTGGCATAAAAAGCACAGAATGTTAAATTTTGGAAAAGGTGTATTAGCGTTGTCAAACGATGGACTAAAAACATTGTTGTGTACAGCAATTAATTTTATACAGAAACATCTATACAAAGCCGTTTTTATCTTCTCAATATCACATTTATGTATTTAGCTTTAAATGAACCTTTAGCTTTCAAAGTTGTAAAATTATTAAGATGTGAATTGTGCTATTAAATTTCTCATAAAAAGTTCTCCAATAATACCGAAGTTAGAAATGTGTATCTTCAATGCCTCTCAAGATCGCCCATCGGCTTCTATATATCTAGTAACTATATGTTGTCCCGGTAGGCTTAGGTATTATTGTACTGATATTCCAGGACTTTTGAAGCCATCATAAAAAAAACCTTGAAAACATACATTTTTTAAGCAATATTAAAATTTATTGTGGTGTAATCATTATCCACAGAAATGGATAGGTACGCTGAATTCATTAGATGGCCCCCTCGATCATGTGACGTAACACCACTCAATTTTTTTTGTGGGGATATGTTAAAGATCCCGTGAAACCCCCTACAAGACCAGAATATATGGAAAGTTGCGGGACGCGTGCAGTAGTATAACACCGTTCATGCTAAGGAACGTCCAAGAAAATATATGAAAAATACTAAACATGTGTATTCAAGCTAAAGGGAATATTTTTTAACATTTATTGCTCCATAATAATTATTAAAAATAATATAAGTTTATTTGTACCTTTTACTACAAATATTTATTTTTTGTTTAATATTATATTTAATTAATATTTTTATTATTATTTATTATTAAATTAATTTATTTTATATATTTAATTAGATAATATTTATTATTTAATATTATTTACTTTTTCTGTGAATTTAAAATTTGACCGTTATTTTCGCCAAAATTGTAAATAACTGTCTGTTGCTTTATTTACGGCTCCAACAGTTCTTTCTCCTGTTCATTTTTTAATCTTAACAGAGTCCTCTTGGCTAATAGTTTTGGCATGGCCAACTAATATAGCAATAGTTTTAGGCATAAAGAGGGGAAAATAGTGGAAAAGTTAAAATAAATCGCAAAGTATTAAAAATAGTTATATGACACTTAATAAAAGTTATAGATTTTTGTAAGGTCTTTCAGAAAAAATAATATGATATATGGTGTGCCATTTTAGAAACTCGAGATCTAATTCAAATTCCGTTGAATATATCTTACATCATGTTCAAATAACGCAAGTATCAAATATGAAATAATAAAAATGATCGCTATCGTACTTTTTGTTTGTTTGAAAACTAGCATTTTTCTAGAAAAATTAAAATATTAGAAGACTATTAGGTTTGGGTATGTATTATTATGTTGGGACTGGTCAATCGAGCACTTCTTAATTGACTGGTCAAAAAATGTTTTAAATAATATCTTGCATTTGTAGAGTGATATTATCGTTATTTAATAGTAATACGTTTTTTATAAAAAATTATGGTGCGTTTGTGATGTCCAGTTTACGTATAACCCGCTTCAAGGAATATCCAAATACGATACTTAGCGATTATAATAATATGGACTCCATTTGGTGTTCCCCGAATGAAGCAACGCAACGTAACGCACAATGTAAATAAGTAAATTTAAATTTTATGGTTCTTTTAAAATTATTTCGGTCAATTGACACAAATAAAATTGATTGGACAATTCCACAACCCTAATTATTAATAAAAAAAAACTTGAAGAATTTCAAAACAAAAATGTATGTTTTATTCGTCGCGGTTTTTTGAGCCACTCTGTATACTTTATAAAATAATTTTAAATTGTGCATCGTAACAACCTTTACAACTTTTGTATTTACCATTTTCTTATAACTTTGGAACCCAATGTGATAATGAACTTTACTGTGTCATTGACTCACCCTGTACATAAGCGTATTTATCATAATTTTATTATTTGGTATAATACCTCTAAATTTACTCAATAAATATTACCCATTTAACAGGCATACAATTTTTTTTTCCAGTCATATGATAAACAAGGCTTCCACTCTGGTACCCCGCCTCCATTTACCGGAACATTACATGGAAGTCAAAGTACAGGTTTACCAAGTGGTACGGGATATGCTCCTCAAATGTACATACCAGCTATGGCACCTCAGCATCACACAACTGCCCTGATGCACCAACCCTTACATCAGGTAAGCGTCATAAATACTTTATATGGTAATTAGCTGGTTGTAAAAGTCTAAATCAAACATCAAAAATTTTATGGATCTATACACATTACAAGAACGATATAGAATAGAACGGAAGCGAGATGGAAAATGTTTTGCCAAATGCCTCTGCTGTAGTAGTGTTCTCTCTGCTGTAGGCTTTTCTATATTGCCACACTGTTTATGACAAAGAATGTGACTTATAAGATGTGGCTTATTAAATTGAACTACAATAAATTATACACTCCAAGATTCTGCAAACACACTTGCTGGTACTATTTGTGCCTCGCAACGCAGACGTCTTTGATGACATGACAACATGTATTTCTCATCTCTTGAAGATTCCAAGAGTCTCTGAGTTGTCGGTATATATTTATTTTTTCTGCTCCCGTCTGTAAAATACCTAATTACACACCGATCTAGCGTGCCGACAGCGTCACTTTACGACGTCATTTTCGTTTCCCACGAAACCGGGCCACTTCGGAAATTTCCGGGATTTTACCGCACGGGTTTGGGAGCAATCGGATGTTTTCGGAAATATTTCCCATGCTTTGAATTTTGTCAATTCTGACGGTCATGTCAGTGAATGTAATCGTGTTGGTTTGGGATAATGTACTCAACTAGCGGTCGTAGAAAAAGTACAGTATGCAACACGTTCGGTAAAGTTTTTGCCGTTTACCGCATTTGTTGCATAATATACTATTATGAATCGGTTATGCTGTTTATGACCATTTTTTAAGTTTTCTGAGCATAATGGAAACACTTTTTTGCTGAACTTCTTTTTTTCTTGTATTTTATTTTTCTATGTAATTGCATGAAATCAGCTGGCATGTTTTTAACTAGCAGCTTCATAACGTGGGTCAAACTGCTTTGAGTGGGTAAATCTAAAATGTTAAAAAATATTTGACTGATGTCTATGTGATATTGTCCTCTGTAAATAGTATATTTGGTGAATAAATCGGTTATTACTAATAATAATAAAGGGTGTTATTGAAATTACATTATCTAATCTAATCTTGGCCACATCCTGATTTCAAATTGATATTTTGTTCCATTGAATTTAGATGAAAAAATGGAATATTATGCAACAAGTGCTATAAACGGTATTTGACTCACGAGTTTATTTGACACGAGCGGAGCGAGTGTTTAATAAACGAAACTGACGTATTAAAGTGATGCTTCTCGTATGCTTGATCGGTGCGTAATTAGGGATTTTACAGACGGGAGTAGAGAAAAGTTATTTTTTGTGCAATAAGACGACTATTGTCGTACCCCACATCTCACGTGAGACCAACAACCGCAATACATATCAAACAACTCAATGTTGCCAACTGATTGTACCGAATATTTCAACTTAATTGGGATATATACGTTGCAAAATATAACATTTATTAATATTTCTATTACGAGTGCTTTTAGAAACTGTACTGAGTTCAAGACATACCAACAACACTGTTTACTCAAAAGTTTAGTAATAGAAAAGGCCATATATCCATTGACTAATAAAACAAAAACATTTTAAAAAATGGCCCAATCCAAAATATACTTTCCTCGAAAATTTGCGATGTTCTCATGGTGCTGATTATCAAATCACAGTCAGCGATCAGCTAATTATGGAAAGTACATCAAATTAAAGTGTTAAAAGGTAGTAACACTATTCAGTCACTTTCTGACATAAATCGATTGGATTAAATATTTTGCTTTTTTTTTTTTTGTTAACATTTGATGCCTAAGCATGCAGCAAGTTTGCCAATCTATGTTTGTGGTGTTAGTAGTAGATGAAGAAATAAGACCCTCGAATCTGCTATGATGCCATATCTTAGGAGCTATGGTTCTCCAATTCTGGGCTACAACCGTTATAATGAGTTCTCTTACCATTTGGCCCTTTTTTTTTAAATTAAGAAAATCTGTTAATTGAAACTTTCAACAGATACAGAGGCATAATTTTAATCTGTGGCGATTTAAATTTAAATTTTCTGTTTGAATCTTTAAATAAGGCACGGCTATTAAGTATGTTAGCTACTTTTAATTTAAAACAAAATATTTTGAAGCCCACGAGGGTTTAAGGAAACTCATTGTCTTGCCTGGATAATGTATGTATGGTTGTATTAACCTTAAGAACTTTGAAGTTATTAATTTAGATAACAGCATATCTGATAATTTCATGAAAAAAATATTATAGATATGAAAAAGTATATCAGGGAGGAGCGTACATAACAATGTAAAAGATTTTTCTTTGGGAAGAACATTGAAATTTTTATTTCAAGATTAGCCATCACTCTAGCCTCCCAAGAGTATTCAAATATTCCTAACACCAATGTATATAATAAATTTTCAGATTTAATGGGTTTATTTGTTCAACATTTCGTAAATAGTTTTCCCCTGAGAGTGCTACTGGCATTATGTAAATTTTACTCAAACAGTATACAAAAACATATTCAATTTTGAAAAAGGTTGTCTGGTCGGCTGAAAGGATATCTATTGAAAGAGAAATTTTTTTTGGTGATAATAAATCAAAAAAAATCTAGGATGTTATTAATAGGCAATCCAAGGGTAGGAATCCTGGACGGTCTAAATGACTATCCAACGTTGTCACTGGCTTGATCAATGAATTCAATAATTATTTTTTAAATGTAGTTAAAACTGATAAGATAAATTTCTATAAAGTCAATGTATTTTTAAATAAAAGTAGCACTCCGAACGATAGATCTTTTGATTCCTACTAGGAAGGACAAAGTAATCAAAACTCTGCGGGATACATGGGATTTCTTCTAAATTTCTAAAACTAATACTGGAAGCTGTAGCTGACAAACTTAATGCTTTTTTCAATAGATCCTTCGAGTCAGGAATTTTTCCTGACTGCTTGAAATGGTCGCAAGTCATTTCAATTTTTAAAGGTAACAGGGAGGATCTCCAAATTTACAGACCGGTTTCGCTACTGTCGGCTATGAATGAGTAAGTTTCTTGAAAAACATTCGTATAATAATATTTACAAAACTTTTGGATTCCTCCTGCGTCGGTTGTTGTTGAGTCGAACTTGCTAACGTTTCGCCAATAATCCTGTTGACTTCTTCAGATCTAAACTAAAACTGGCTCGCATTCAACGCTATACATGCTAATATATTGTTTGATGGGGGCGGAGCTAAATCAGGGGCATAAACATCACCCCGGATGACTAATACCCATATTTTTGACAGGTAAAGAATCTGTTAAGATTGTTTGGTTGCTTATGGATTTCTGTAGATTCTCAAATTTTTATGTATGTATGTATTCTTCGCCGCCCATGCATGCATGTAATCAATTCTTCTACCTACGAAAAATACGAGAATCTATAGAAATCTATAAGCAACCAGTCTTAACCGCGACTCAGGTCAGATCTTTACTTGTTACCAATATGGGAATCAGTCACTCATTTAGCTCAGCCCCCCTCCCTCTCAAACAATATGTAATCAGGTACACAGTAGAATGGGAACCAGTTTCAGTTTAGCTCTGAAGAAGCCAACAGGGTAATTGGCGAAACGTTAGCAAGTTCGACTGAAAAACAGGAATCCAGAAGTTTTGTAAATAGTATTACTGTAGCCTGTGGACGCTTCCTTCCCAATGAATCAACTACGACTGCAATGTTTGAGGTGGTGTCTAGAGTGATAGTGAAAATTTTGACCATTCAATTGAAGTTTGACTTCAATAAAGCTTTTGATAGCGTCTCCTTCTCGGTATTTTTAGAAAACTTATCTTACGTTCCAAATAGTGGACTGGGTTACACCTAGTATGAAAGCTATTTAACTAATTGACAAAACTCAGAATGGGGTGAGGAATATATTTTTGATTTACATTAATGATCCCCCGGTTGCTTCGAAGATTCTAAAATAGTCCTTTTTGCGATGACGAGGACGCCCTTTTTATCCTCCAAGACCAGTCATCGGCAGGGAAAATAAAAGTAAACAGCTACCTCAGAAATGTACAAGTGTGGTGTAAAAAACATTTTCTTTGACGATGAAGTAGCTAAAAACTTTAAATATTTAGGGTTCTCTATCATTGATAGCATGACAGAGTGGACGAGTGCACGGGAATGATCGATTGGGAAAAGTTGTTATGCTTTAAGAGTGTTAATTAAAAAGGGTAGCAGTCACCTTCTATCCTACAATCCTAAAATAATATTATGACTGAACAGAAGTGAATCATATAAACAACATTTCGTTGGTTTGAAACTTTTGACGTTGCCGAGCCTTTATATTTTAAATATATTATTGTTTGTGCATCCATATAAAAAATTTTCTTAATTTTAGTAGCTCGATGACTAGACAGAACAGCAATACTATTATATTGCCGTTACACTCTACCACGAGTTATCAAAGAAGTGCTTATTATATGGGTGCTAAACTATATAATAAACTCCCAATTTAAAAAAAAATAAAGAGGGTTCTTTAAGCAAAATCCTATTGCCATAATCACGAATATCTGCAGGATCATGACTTTGCTGGTTAGTATGGTGTTACTGTAAATAAATTTCTCTCTTAAATTATATTGACAACAATATTGAAATTCAAATTGTAACTTATACTATACTTTTTTTTATATTAATCTCAAAATCTATGTATGTACTCTATCTATGTACATATGTACTGCCTATCTTTGCAACACATGTTTACACCTTTTTTGAAAATAAATTATTCTATTCTATTCAAATATCGCATCACTGTGCTGTGGGTGTTCATAAGAGAGCAAAATCTAGTGAGTGACATATCTTCTTTTTACTTCAAATGTATAAAAAGAAAAAAAAAATAAAATTGTGGTTAAGTATGATTACCACACTGTGAACACCAGAGTATAGTTTATAATTGCATCAACAAGTTAATCATAAGATAAGCTAAGCATGTTTTAGGTGCAAGTTGGATAATGAATCATTGTCGAGACTTAACTGCAATATTAAACATAGAAGTACAGCACAGCAAAATGATTCAATAACTATCGTCACAAAATGTGTAAAATACCTTCCGTTATATCTTACATTGCCTTTACTGTTGTTTTGATGTAAATTTGTTAATTTAAAGTTGATTTAAAAATATTGTTTAATTGATTGCTGATGTTTTGAGTTTCCACACTGTGAACACCAGAGTATAGTTTATAATTGCATCAACAAGTTAATCATAAGATAAGCTAAGCATGTTTTAGGTGCAAGTTGGATAATGAATCATTGTCGAGACTTAACTGCAATACTAAACATAGAAGTACAGCACAGCAAAATGATTCAATAACTATCGTCACAAAATGTGTAAAATACCTTCCGTTATATCTTACATTGCCTTTACTGTTGTTTTGATGTAAATTTGTTAATTTAAAGTTGATTTAAAAATATTGTTTAATTGATTGCTGATGTTTTGAGTTTCCATATAATTCAAAAAAGTCAAAGCACTACATAATATACTCTTGATGGGCTTGTGTTGTAACCTCGAGTAGAGTTATACTTCGAATGAATTCAATTTTTTGTGTTGTTTATTTGAAGCACATGCTTATTATTCCTAATGCTGCCAATATATTGACGCAACCTTTTTTGGGGTATTTAGTGGCACCAAAAACTTTTGTGTGGCAACTAGCATGATCATATTTTTGTACTTAGACTTTATTTTTGCTTGTAGATGGATTTGAGGCAGCAAGGCCGACGCATGGTAAGTTTGATCGTGAAACAAACCATGTGTTCTAAAGAATATCTAATACTGATAATACAAAAACTATCCAATAGATTTGAAAAGTTTTTTTTATGAAGAAATGTTCAGTTATTACAAAAAAAACAATTTCTAAGATATGGATGTTAGTGATACAAATAAAGCTCTTTTCAAAATAAATAAGAACTAAAAGTTCAGATTTTCACGAAATTATATATTATGACATGACAATTGTTTCGACAACACCGCGTCTTTATCAAATGTAATATTTACAAACTACCTGCTACTATATATACGGAAAAATGACCATAAAACCTTAATTAATGTTGTTGCGAGAATTTAAGTTCAATAAATCTCCATGGCTTCCAATAAATTTAATTTTCTACTTTTTGTGGCTGTGTGTAATATATCAAAATTGTCGTCAAAAATCTGTTTTCCTGTGTTTAAGTGTGTAGCATAATTAGAATCTAGACTATTGTTTTTAAACGCTCTTATACGTTCGTGAATGCGTTTCTTGGAGGATCTACCTGTTTGTCCAATATAAATTTCAGGACAAGATCCACATTTCAACATGTAGACACCTGATTTTTGGGATTTTGGACATTTCGATTTATTGTTTTTTAAATATTTTCCTATTGTGTTCTTAGTTCTGAAAGCTATTTTTAAATCACATTTTGACAAATGTTTTGAAACTTTTTCGCTAGGTTCTCATATGTATGTAATTATTCGTGTTCTGTATTTGGTTTCGGATAAATAGAGTTTACTGTTGTCTGTATTTGTTTTTTATTTATAATTTTATCTATAATGGACGGATTGTAGCCGTTGTTCAGTGCTATTTATTTAATGATATTAAGTTCTTTGTTGTAATTTTCTGTTGAGAGTGGCATATTAAGAAGTCTGTGTATAAAAGAGTTAAATGCAGCCATTTTGTGTGTATAAGGGTGATTTGAGCTGTTATGTATGACTGTGTCCATGTGTGAAGGTGTATGATATATTGAAAAATCTAATTTGTTTTGCACTTCCGTCTAAAAAATTAATAGAGTTATCCTGTTCAATCTTGATAGTGAATTTTATACAATTATGTATTAAGTTAATGTAATTTAAAAAAGAATTCAATTGTCTGTCCGCTCCAACAAAGCAAGCAAAGACATGGTCCACATATCTATACCACCATAAAAACACTTTTACTTAAAGGATGTTCTAGTATGATATTTTCCAAATTATCCATAAAAATCTTTTTTATGGATAATTTGGAAAATATCATACTAGAACATCCTTCAAGTAAAAGTTTTTTATGGTGGTATAGATATGTGGACGATGTCTTTGCTTGCTTGGTTGGAAAAGATTTTTATGGACAGTAGCAGGTAGTTTGTAAGTATTGCATTTGATAAAGACACGGTGTTGTCGAAACAATTGTCATCTTATAATGTATAATTTCGTGAAAATCTGAACTTTTAGTTCTTATTTATTTTGATAAATGGATTTTCATCAAGTAAAAGCCACCTCAGTTCAATTAAAGCTCTTTTTCTAAAGTTTCTGTGCAGTTTCCGTTACCTGATTTCATTAACTTTCCGTTGGTGATCAATTGTCTAAAATTAACTTTTCGCCAACTTCTTTAAACTTTTTTCGTGAATTACTCTTTTACTTCGATATTGTCAAATTTTTTTGCACCTAACTGCCATATTTTTCTCACACAAATATATGGATAGAGTTTTCGTAAAAATCTGCTGCCTATGCCACTTTTGCTAATCAAGCATCCAAATGCTAACTCTACTTTTAATAAACTAATAAACTAGCTTGGTTTGGATTAGTTCAAAGAAAAAGTTTTCACATAAAAACGACGAAAACCACATAACAGTAAAACAGCTTTGAATAATTTTTGATCTGGTGATTTTGTGGGTGAGTTTAGTTTTATACTTCGTTAATTATGTTTTATTGTTAAGAGACAGTTAAAAATTGTTGAATTTAATGAAAAATAATAAATATCAATCAATTTGAAGAGAGAGCTTAATAGGTGAGAGCGTAAATAAAATATAAAAAACAAACATAAAAGTGAAAATAAATAATCCTTTCGTCTTCATGGCAAGAACAACCAACAGGTTATGATTGGATGCAATTTTGTTAATGACATTGTCCCCTTTTTTGCATTGGCTATGTTACTTCGTGATGTTTGTTATCTTATAAATGTAATAGGTATAAAAGATTTTTGCATTTTAACTTACCGTTTTGGAGAAACAGACCCTTGAAATCTTATGAAATTAAAAAAAAACATCTCGAAAACGACGCGTTATAAAGCAGTGTCTATTCACCCTTGAACGTAAAATTTTGTTAAAGAAATACGAAATTAACCCTTAAAAAAGGCGTTAAAATATTCAGTATCCGATCTGTGATATTGACAATGGTGTACATTCGACTGGGCAAGGATTTTATTTATATCATTTTCCATTGACCCTCCAATATTCCATACATTTTTTTATTGATTTGGAATCGCGTTGGTATCGCTATTTACACATCGCATTATAATAAAAAACGTACCCAATTTCGTCAGATGAAGCGAAAGAAAACTAATACTATACTATTTTATTTTCAGGATTCTGGAAATTCAACCGGGAACCGTTCGCAGGGTTCAAACCAGGCAAAAGCTGGCTCAAAACAGTCGTACCAGGCTTCCTACTGGAATCAAAATTAAAAGATGGCAAATCCTCCCTTTATCAACTGCTCACCATACTTCGTCCCCCACCATAATAAACCTTTATTACATTAAAATAGATTTTTTTGATAAGTATATTTATCTTTTAAATTTATAATTATTTCATACACATTACACAAACAACATTGTGTAAAATATTCTAGATATAAATTATTCTCTATTGTCTATTTATTAATTGTTTTATTGGTCCATTGAGGTATGGCTAGTCATTGCAAAAAGTGTTTTTGTAAGTGGAACTACACTAAAATTTCCATTACTGGCACGCGTTAAAGCTTTAGTGGTTTAATTTTTTTTAAGATGCTGTTTAAATTTGACTAGCGTTTGAAAAATTTGTTCCACTAGGTGAAAGGCAGAAAACAACAATAAACGTGAGATTAAGTTGCTCCCTGCAATGTTCATTAACTTATTTTTCCCTGGAGTATAACTATTAACCATCGTGAATAAGAGCTTATTTCAAACAATTTGAAATGTTATGATCCTTGGTACATATACTTTATGCTTTTTTTAACAGTATTACAAATAGTTACAGTAAAGCATTGAATTGTGCAATTACGGTGCAATTCTTTTTAAAATTTAGAATGTATGTTTTTTGTTTTCTCTTATTTCCCATGAAGAGGAGTGAATATGTTGCGCATTTTGGTACTTTTTTTGTATTATGCTTCGGTGTGTTAACATTTTAGTGTTTCTCTAGCTAAATATACAATTTAATGAGATTTCTATAGCATCTATTAAAAAAAAAAGAACCAATAGAAAACCATTTGAGAACAGAGTATGTCACATTTTTTTTTGTGACGAATATGCCCCCCAATTCTGGGGTAAAATTGTACCCGTAGATATGAGAATCAATTTTTCAAATTTTTTTAAAGCGAAGTTTGTGATGTAGTTGAATCAGTGACGGAGAAGTCAATTTGCATCAAGTAAGGAAGAATATTTCTATGGCAAAATATGTTTTGTCTTCTCACTTCAGTGAAAATTTCACCATTTAAAATTTAAAAAGTCTTACGTCTTCGTGTTGTGAGCAAAAACTCATCATTAAACAATTGCCCTTTTTTCCAATATTTTTGTACTTGTGTAGATTTTGTAACATTTAGGCAGAGAAAAATTGAGATCTGAAACATTTGTATATTTATGAACTGTCGCCAAGTACGGTGGCGTGAATGAACCAATATGGGGGTTGCTGGAATAGTTTTAGTACAAATGTTATATGTTAGATTAGCAAGATTGTCACAAATATATTAACGATTGAAGATGTTATCCCCATCATTGAGTTTTTAAATATTTAAGTGGAAATATCTGAAAAACCATTACCAGATCCAATTTTTTCCTAATGTTAAATTGAATACAGGGTATGGATTTATCGTTTTGAGGGCAGTTATTACACAAACACGAATGGTGGACTGTCAAAATTAATTCTGTATTTGGGAATATAACTTTTTAAAATTTATTTATTTAGAACTAACAAACCTGATCTCTTTAGTTTGCCAATTAAGAGACCAATTACCTTGTTGATAGCAAATGAATCAGATCTAAAACATTTGGTTCATTTAGATTCAAAAGCATTTTTTTTGTAATTTATAAATAACAACTTTTGCAAAACAGCATTATACTAATTTTAATTTGAAATCAGTTATTTTACACTTCTACAAAGTCATGATTGCTACATTTGCACGTGTGGTTTGCCATGTTTTAAAAGGAGAGCCTTAAGAATAAGAGATTAAAATTGATTTTTTTTTAATTTATTGCTAATATATTTTTTTAATTCTTTCTGTCAAAAAAACAAAGAAAAACTAAATCAATTGCAGATATATAATTGCTTTTAAAGTAGACTCCTTGTTTGGTGTATTTCAATCCCCCTGTAGCTCATTAAATTTTTATGTATGGAACATGCAACTTAATGGGATAAAAAGTATTTTTCAATTGAACAAATTATTCTCATTATTTCAAACTGCCCTTTAATTTCGTGTACTAACTTGCCACAAACCAATAAACACTTTAACATCCTCCTAGGTTAACAGTTATTTTCAAATTATCATATTCAAGGAAATATGTCATAATATTTCGCTGTCTGAATATTCTAAATTACTTGATCCTCTATTTATAATTTGGATTAATCCAATTTTCTCGTAATTGTACATATTATGGCTTTAAAGAAATAATTTGTATCGACACATTATTGCTGTGTACCTATTTTTGCCTTAGTTTACATTAAAAAATATTAGATTTAGATTAAAGATGTAGGTAAATTGACTTACCTTTGTTGTCAAGTCATATATAACTGACTTTTGGGCGGTCAGATTAAACTTCATCTGTAAGGATACCAGTAAGACGAAACGTTAAGGGTCGCGGGTTCTCCTTAGCTGATGAAGAAGTTGAAGACAACTGAGGTTTTTTTAATTTTATTTTTATGTAGGATTTATTATGGACTAAATAATAAACTTGTGTACCTATTTGCTAATTTGTATAAATATTCACCTATTGTAGACACTGTATATGTGTAGTTTTGTTTTGTATTTGCTAACTTATAAATATATTGAGGAAATACACATGGATACTTCTGAATTACTTCTTGTTTTAATTTTTCATGGTAAAAAAAATGCTTTTGAATGTGACAGTCTGGTAATTGTAAACAGTTTAGTCCTATGATCTGAATTACAAGAAATTACAGGTCAGTGTAAAAATCCAAAGATGTAAATTTAGTAAAAAATTTTTTAAGTAACGTCACATAGCGCTGATAAAGCATGTTTGTACAGGGTGGATCTATGCAGTGAGTAAATAAGTATTTTTTTAAAATATAGCAGTTCCGAAAAATTCGCTCCTCAAACTGGCCCATAAAAATTCCTGACTATGATCTGCAAACTGATTGTATACCCCTTGTGGAATTTAATTACATAGGGTGGAGTAAGTGGCTCTCCGTAATTTTCCTGCTGCTACTGCTTTTTTGCTGCAAGGCAACATAAAGCGCACAGATAAATGCAAAACTTATCTCTTGACACGCATACACAACAATTTCTGTGATCTGTGCATAGTGTCAATAACTTTTAAATGTTTCAAAAAATAATAGATTCTTTTATCTCATTAACATGACTAATCAAGAAAAGAAAATTGATTTTCGGGATCTTTATTTATATGATATGACACCACATGAAACGGTGATGCCAGTCCGATCAAAGTACACAGCTATCATGGTTATTTGAGGTTAAAATGCTTTGTTTTTGGATTTCCCTAAGTTTCGTTTGTATTTTTTTTCCAAAGAGTTCATTATACGGTGCAAGTGCAAATAAACAAAGTGATGGTGGAACCTGCGGAATCAACGCAACAGGTGGCATTTTCTAACAACAACGAAACGTCGGTGATAGTCCAAAACGTCACAATGACATCTCCAAATGGTATGAGGTTAATTATTGTAAAATTATTTTAATTTCGCGTGCTTTATCAGCTTTCTTGGAATAGGACATTACTGGCGAAGTTATTTTTAAAAGCAAAGGTGTTTACGTATGTGCTTATTGCCACAATTTGTCTAAAATCAGTATGGAAATTTTGGACTGAAGCGCATATAGGTAGGTGTTTTCGGTACCTTATTTTTTTTTTTGTTATGTAGAAGCAAAATATTTCTGACAAGATTATGTACTTAAAAATACCAAGGAATGATAATATCAAATAGGTCGATGTATATGATAAGAGGCAATGTTGCCAGAGCGTCAACAAATGAAACATTGGCAGTTTCAGGGAAAGGAAGATTGTGCTTAAGGTTTTGTTCTGGTAGCGTCGAATTAAATCACTGGTGGTAAACATTTACGTGATGATTAGCTATTCTTATTTATACTATTATTTTACAATTTTTTTGTCTCAGTCCGGTTTGATAGGTAGTAGTTTCTTTCGATTAAGAAGCAAGTAAATGCTGCTAAAAATATTTTAAACATTGCAAAATCAAACTGATAGTAGTCTTGATAACAAAAATTGCTGCAGTGGCGTTTACATTCCAGCAATCGAGACGTAGCTTTCAGAGTCTATAGAAAATACAGCAAAAATGGTTACTCTCAAGCGACTATGAACTTTCGCACATGCACCAAGTTTTGACACGCTAATCTGCACTTTGTTTTAAACAGCCATCTCCGCACGTTTAGACGATACGGTTTACCGGAAAGAAGGTCTTTCGCTTTGCAAACCTGAAGCCAAGCCTGTACTCTCGGCTTTACGTTTTATTCAAAATGATCTTATATAAATAGGAATGGCAGTTGCTTTGTTGCCTGAAAAAACAGAAAAAGATAAAGCACAAACCTTCGAAATGGGTAAAACAGTGGTTAATTTAATCGACACTTATTAAACTTATTAATTTTAATACTACCTCCCACCACTTAGTAATAACATAACATTGGGTTGCTACGGGAATTATACATGGGTGCCAAATTTCAAGTCAATCGGACACGTGAAGTCTGTCAAAATCAAGTCCGAAAGAGTCGGTCATAAAGATCAAACATACATAATACAAGTGAAGCTAATAAAAGCGTGTAAAAAATAAGAGTCTCGTTTTTTTGTTTTTATGGTTGTTATTTATAAATATTGGTGCTTGTAGTTAAAAAAATATTTTTCAATAAATACTTACCTCATCATCTTCACTAATTTCTATGTCCTCTACATTGGACTTGCTTTTTCTCGGTACTTCATTGTCATATAAGAAGTCATAAACATCTCCGTTTGCCCCAGTACTTTGGCTTTCTTATTTTTTTTTAATTCTTTACGGTACGAACTACGCATATTGTTATTTTTTTTAACCACCGTTTCTTTTGTAGTTGCTGGATCAATTGTTTTTAATTTTTCCACCAATTTATTATATGCATCTAATTTTAAAGGTTTACTTAAATATTGTTTGCTTTTAATGCTATATAAACAATGTTATATAACTGAATGAATTCTTCTATAAATTCGTGAGACCACTTTCCCATATTTGCCATTTTTTGAAAGTTCATTGAAAACCTAAAACGACTCAGTATAGTTCTGATTTGTGGTTATCTGATCTGCTGTCTCCTGGCTAGCAGAAACTCTTGGCCTGCACTCTTATAATATACACGTTCCGGCTTGTCAGCGAAAGCAAAGCCAGTGGGTAATTTTTCAAGCCCAGGCAGTTTTTTCAGAGGCCCAGAGTTCAGACTATGCGTTCCGGCGCATACGCCCACTAACGATACGGTTTGCCTTCAAAAGGCCCTGTCTTCCGGTCAACCGTATCGTCTTATGGGGTGCCTAAGTTTTTTTTTCGTCGAAATTTTACTAGCAACTGCGTTTGTTTTGAAAAAATGTCACATGCATGCAGATTCAATATCCATGCTCAATATTTTTTTTGTTTGTTGCTAAACTACATGTGTTATGTCTAGTAGCCATATAAGAAAAACAACATAAAACGCAGGCGAGCAGTATGCGCTTTACACACTACAATTTTTTATCATTATATAGGATTATTCTACCAGTCCGTTCATCGCCCGATTCAAGTATTAATAGTATTATATGACATGACCTAATAAAAATTAACTAATTGAGGGTGTTTTGGAACCTATTGATTAATTCAGTGTTAAGGTTCGTTGAAATTTGTCGAATTAAAAGTTATAAAAGAAAAAAAAAGTATTTTTGTTTAAATCTTTGTTAAAATTTTTACAGGCATGAAAAAACTGAAACTAACTTAACGATAATGTAGATATAAGGATAAGCCAGTTGAAATTTTATTAACTCCAAAACTATGAAAGGGATGTTTTTAGAGTGTCAGAAATTCTTAAATTAACTAAATACATCCATGGAATATCCTTTATTTGCCTTTAAGAAATTTACAATAAGTGATACCAATAGAGGAGCATTAATTCGTCGCACCAGACGAGGAAAATAGGAAGCCAATGAACGGATTTGCAATCTTCGGCCCATAGCTGCTCTCTTTTTGAATTGATTTTCATTACAGATTTTTTTTCTTCGGACCAAAAGAATTATGTTTCTGTTATTATTTCCACTCAAAACAAGCAACTTATTCAAAAAGCAAATGAGAATTTTTCTTAGACCGATATGGAACATGTGTTGAATGGGGACTATTCAACGGTGTAGAGAGCAGGTATCCCAACGTTTGCCATGGTTAGATTCGAGGATCAAACAGTGTTTTTTTTGTAATGACTTGGCGCAACTTAACCAAACTATTCAGAATTTCGTATTCCTCCGATTGGCCTCCTTGTCCTGAACGTCTGGAATACTCTATTTTGTTTTTGACGTTTACCTACCATACAGAAAGACACAAATTACAACAGTGTCTTTCAGTTTTCTGTTTTAGAGGAAAATTTATTAATTATTTATTTTTAGACATACAAACCATAATTTTCTACTACGCTTAGGTCCTGGTACTCTTTCCAGAGTAAATTGTCAACCGGGAATCAAAAATCCAAAAAAATATGGCCAATCGGTTCAAACAGGGCCATAGGCCGCATCAACAGCTACAATTTTTGTATTTGCGGTTTTCATCTATCACACACGCTGCTCTAGATATTCAGATGTTCAGTCAAGATGCGATGACGTCATTGATTATTACGGCCAGAAAACGTGCGAGATCTAGGGCTATAACCTACTTTTCTACATTTCCGGAAATGTTTTCAATTATGTACAGGATGTGTCGATTATGGATAAAAATATCTAAAAGAAAAATTGTCGTTTTCGTTTGTAAATTAAAAACTTAATGAAACGTTAATGAAAAACTATAAAACTTGTAAAAATTTAGTTCAAACAGTATCGTAAATTGTGAGGAGAGAGAGGTTTCGTCTATCATACAGGGTGCGCGAGATACTTGGAATAATATCATTGAAAATCATTACTACTTGTACAATTTTTTATATTCATCGAAGTTTGTCGTGACTTTGAAATTCGGCGATACGTGAAAGACGCTTTATACAAGGTGTATGCACAATATAATTACATCGATTTTGCGAATGTTCCATAGTAGTCCATACGAGCACGATAGAAAAACAATGCGTTCCTCAAGGAAAAAACCCTGAATTGGCTTCTTTTTGAAATAAAAATCTGGCGAGCGCTACACGCTACGAACGTGCCCCGCCCACCGACGATTTTTCGAAGTTATAACCACAGCTCCGTCTCATCACTGTTGTTCAATTGATGAACGAAAGTCAGGAATCGCAGCTCTATAGCGGGCACCATTGACTGGCCAGCATCGTTAAGCCCATAAAGCACACTAAACAGTTAGTTTTTCTGGGAGTGGTGATTCAACATACACTTGAGGATTAACGTCACTCCAAATACGACAGTTCTGTTTATTAACGTAACCATTCATTGTTCTGATGGACGATTATGTTGACCGTAAAATGGATGAAGTGCGCGATACGTATTTAAATAAATGTGCACAATTGAGAAGCTTTGTTCAGGCGTCAGTCTACTTTATCTTGAAATTCCAAAGCAAACCAAAAAAATATTGCCAACTTAAAGTTCAATACCTCCAAAGAAACGATCTTTATCATATCATATCGATTTATCTCTTTTTTAGCCCTCCGTGTTGCCATTATTGCAGTTTCTTTGTTATGTTATGAAAAATATGGCTATACGTGTTCTGGATGCCAGTACGTCGTGTCAGTGCCTGGATTATAATGAGTGTTTAAAAAACATGCGCCCACACTTGAATAAATGTTTATAAAAATACATATTGAAAATTTTAACGACATTTTGAAAGCGAGGCAAGATACGAAAACAATGCAAAAGTAAGAAAGTTGTACTTCTAGTAAATACGAAAAATTGCACGAAAATGTCAGTGGCGTGAACAAAAGATTAAGCATTCCCGAACCTAAGTTTATATAAACTTTTTTCTTTTTCTTTGGGTGACAAATTTCCAGCCTTTCGCATGTTTTTTGAAACACGTTGTAAAGAAGGTATAGAGATATTAATATTTATTTAGGGCGTACGTGTATTTTTTATATGGAAGCTGGTGCAAACTGTTGCAAATATGGTGGATAAAGTAAAGTAAATAAAGTCCAATTGTTCACGCAAAGGAACACACATATGAACCTTGCGGTAGATCAATCAAGTTTTAGGTCTAGCTTATCGGTTGCGATATCATTAATTAATATATTTTTTTACAATATCCTCAATCGGATTTGCGAATTTGCGAATTGTTTATTCCGAACCTAATTACCGATCACCTAAAAAATTGTACTTAATAAACAATATTTTTTTATTTTGAAAAGCGAAAGCTTCCAAAACAATCGTGCTCTTATCTTTGAAAGATAACGTCTTACATAAATAGTACCCACTTTCTTCAAAGTTGTTTAACTTTAAATCGCGTTTCTTGTGTTAAACGCCGCACGTTTATCACCAATAGCCCTCGTCTGCGTTTCAACCAAAATTGATTTAACTAAAC